TTGCCGGTAGTATAAAATACAAGATAACTACGATACTGTAATTGACGTTAAAACTCTTATCTTTCAGAGTTTTTAACACTAACGGAGGAGATAAGTATGTCTTGACGTTTTTAAGTTATATGTATTTGAATATAAATTAGTATTTACTAATAAAGATACTTTTAAATCTCGTTTAACATAGAACACAGAAAGCTTTATTACACTGGATATCTTGATGTGACGAAGAGTTCTACAGTTTATGGCCACGTGGAATTTCCCAACGCCTTTCCTGTGTTACAACTAGCTACCCGGCTACCAGACTTCAGATTCAGAATGTTTAGAAACAACATGATTAATTGTATTGTACAGCATATCGTGAGTAACCACACAAATTGACATTAATATAAAAATACAACAATACAAATAATGAACCAAACATGATAATAATAAAATATACTATGGTCTTTAAAATCTGTAAAATCATTAAGTTACAGAAGATCAGACTGATTCTGCAATACCCGCGGAGAATTTGCCGTTTTACTTACAGTCGACATAAAACGTCAATTTAGGATCTCTCCGACAACTTGATACTATTCAATAGTTGCATTATGCCAATAAATTCAATATAAAGTAGAACTTATTAAAACCAAGATCATCATTTGTAAATATGCTACGACAACCACTGAGTCATGCATTTTGCTCCCTAGGGAAATTAAATATTGGCAGCCTCATTGCATCCACCCTTATTTCAGCTTCCAAATACACAAATATTTATGTTTTACATATTTGAAGGGTAAATTATTGCACTTGTAAAATGTATATCATTACAAAACGGTACGTGCAAACATTATGCGCAGATTTTGATTACGGTTTGTCAATAGTGCTATTTAAGTTGCCCGTTTTGGTATTAGCGATTGTACTAATTTTACCTTACATAACATAATGTAATGTATTTTGAATTGCATTGCAAATGTTTGATGGTATAGAGCTGCGTCTACACAAGGTAACATTTGGTAAGCTATACAGATGAATCACATCCCATTTAGGTACATATTTTAACATTATTAGTTTTTACTAGCAATATTGATACCGTGCAGTTTTACTACCAATCAATATTAAACTATTTCGTATAATACAAAGATTTTTACCAGGAAAATACAACGAGCGATATAGGAGAACGTCTCGAGAGTTGTGATTACACCAGCCCTATGGATCTGTTAGACCAACTGAGTAAAGTAATAGACGACACAGCCACCGGTATCGTCAAATTCTTGGAGTTTATCCAGTATCCATCGTTTTCGAAAAACTTCTCAGAAAGCGCCTTACGTCATTGCGGAACCGAACTTGATATGAAACAGAACGATCTGCAAAAAGAGGAAATGGTTAGTTTAGAAAAATTCAACAATTACAGTCTGATAATTCTAGCACATTTAATTTAATATAAAGATTTTAAAATCATTACTTAGTATAGTTTTATAAAAGCTCTTAGATATTAATTATCTAGCTCGTTATTTACTACGTAGATGTTTTAATCAAACAAATCCTTGAAGCGAAATTATTAATTAAACCATTCCTGTTCACTTCACATTGTTAATGCCGATATCTCGTTTCCTTACTGAGTATTGATTTACATTTTGAGTTGCAAGATATTCTCTCATTTAGTGTCTGTATATTCAGCAAAAACAGACTGACACAGTAACTAGATACATATTTATTATATATATATTAAGTGTAATGCTACTAATAGTAGTATCTTTTCAATAGATTACGTTTTATTCAACTTAATAATACATTTATTATTTAAGATTAAGATTCATAAAAATTTAATGAAAAGGAAAGAAAGTGCATCAGAAATAACTTTACATTCGATGGATAAATTACCAAAAGACAGTTTTATTGGAACAAAGAAACTCGTTAAAATATTGTTAACGGAGACGAAAACTTTGGGGCAAAGTATGAAAAATCTAATGTGCAAGGTATGTTAAAAAAAAACTTTTTTTAATATGTCTTTTTAGGTAGTGCCAATTTTTGGGGCAAAATTAATTTAGAACAAAAGATATTCATTCAATGTTATTTTTATTTGGCAGACTTCTGAAGGGTGGCCAGATCTTGTTATTTGGTTATTGAACGGTGGGAATAGGGTAGGTTTTGCCAAAATATCCCCCGCAGATATTATCTACTCGCCAATACCAGAGCAAAGTGGCAAGCATTGCGGTAAAATACAAACAATTTATTTAAAGGTAAACAAAATCTTAATAAACATTCTAACATTTTTAATACATTATTTAAAGGAGTTGAGCATGCACTTTGTATTTAAATAATATAAATGCAGTGTGTCTCATAAATTGTTTAAAAATATTTTTTTAAATTATCTTACTAACTATATTTTAATTTTAGAATGAATTTTAGTTGTGTTAAATTTAAATTTCTTGTACGACATTTACCGTTGTTTTACTTTTTTAAGCCTTTGAAATGTCCAAGACATATAAATACATTGCCAAGCAGTTGCTACTGTATAGCGGCCAAATTGGAACTGATTACGTGGATGGGAACATTTCGAGACAAGTCATCGTTTGATAACTTTATGCCACAAGGTTACAAAGTAAGAATTAAGGATCACGACATGTGTGTGAGAGCGTCCACTATGGTAAGCTCCTATTAATAAGTTTTACTTCAAATTTTAAAGCGATTTTAGGACGCGACTTGTTAAAGAGACAACTTAAATTATATGATAACAACTTAAGTATTTGTATAATTTACATACGAATTTTATCATCGAATGTAATTTGTAGTATTTGCATTTATAGTCAAATATATTAAGGCAATCATACTTGAATTGCAAGAAACTCAAGAAGTCAATTCAACAGCTTAAAGCAGCTTACGTGCTGACTCAGGTTTGATAGCAACTGAAAACTGTTCGTAGAATGAGTGTTAACTACTTAAAGCATTTGGTACTTCGGCCTGAAGTAATCCCAGTCTAGAGCCCCTTATTCAAATAGATACTTGTATTCAGTACCGCGTTCCTCAAAGAGAATTGCAGCAAATTTAATAGTTTTATATTTTAGATGGTTGAGTGTCGCGCCTTTGTGTACCGCGCTAAAATAAATGAAGCAAACGATAGCACACCTACCCATCCTTTTCTGCGAATCAACTTTATGAATTCCGTTAAGGAAACTCAGGTAGGTTTATATTGTTTCTACTCACAGGTCATAAGCGAATTCGATGTAGTTAATTCAAATTAATTATTTTATATGTAATACATTACTAAACTAAAGTACAATTTAAAAAAAGTGAATTGAAACACTGCGATAGTTAAAACATAACAAATGTTTTATGTTAATTGTTATATAGCTAAAATGTTACTATGAAAATTGACTTCAGTGACATTTATTTTATCTATATGAATACTTATTGTAATAAAGCGTAAACACACACTTCTTTGTTGCCTAAGATGCAAGAAATTACAGCATATTTTTGAATAATTCTTTTTTTAATACAAAGTCCTACATTTGCGTCAAGCTTTAGGCTATATTTTTTATCGCCATTAAACTTAAGGGGTAAATAATTTGGTTAAAAACCCTAATGTGGGAAAGAGACCATAAGTTGCTGCCAACATCAAGGAAGCAAGGTTGTCATCATGTCATGTCATTTTGACATTTGTAATTGATAATTTGACACATGTAAACAATATAACAACATTTTCTTAATTTCATGCGGATGAAGTCGCACGGGAACAGCTGTTTACATATATTGTAGTCTCTTTAATTAAAGTGAATCTAAGGAAAATTTAGAAATAGTAGCCTAGAATTTTTAATTCAGGTTCGAGAGAAGACTACGACACCTGTATGGAATCAGGTGCTCAGGATACACAGGATTCAGTTTGCAAATTCTCATAGACTTAATATTAGTCCACCTACTGTTCTGGTAGAAGTGAATAATTGCGATGTCGAGGTATTTATCATTAGATTATTTGCTTTTCTTATTTTAAAATTGTATTAAACAATACAACTAAGTAGTTACTTAAATAAATCAAAGTAATTAAGGCCTTAGGTAATACAAGTTCCTTACAATCTTGTTAATAGATATGATATAATGATGAATAAAACAATACATATTGTTAATTCTACACGAAACCCGAAGGTTTGTAAATTGCGATGCTTTCGAAACATTTGAAAGCCCTTTGATAAACAAAATATCGATTTCAGTCTACGCCGATTGGGACAGAAAAGTGGACTTATTTTAATAACGTTGTCTCCAGTGAACCTTATTAAATTTTCTCTTCGTTTTTTGAAATTCCTTTGTCAAAGAATCTATCGATACAGATTATGTGACTTAATAATACAAATGCTGAATATTTAAATATTCAGTTCTCTAACAACGTTCCAAAATAACTTTGCATGCAGAAATAATTTTTCTGCGTTGCGAAAAATCCTTAGGATTGTTACCGCGTAGTTAATAGTTAGGAGGTTCGTTATTCAGAAGTTACATTTTTAGTAACATGTTTTTTGTGGTTTATCCACACGACATATTCATCGGAATATCCAGTCGTCGGGATCACAATACGTGTTCGTTCGTAGTTAGTTTCGTTACGAGTTTTAACATTGTTAAACTTCGCAGCGTTGTTGTTTCCATTTATTTGTTGTCTAGCCATCGACAGTTTCTCCTGCAACCGCTATCTCCGCTTCGTTATCGATAAGGATGAGGCCACCAAATACGTAGCAAATGAAAGTTTTTATTTCTACATCTATGCCAAGTACTATTACAAAGATCAAGAAATATCAAAGAAAGATTAAAATCAAAAACTACTAATCCGATTTCAAAAATTCTTTTGCTATTAAAAAGCGCTAGATTATCATTGTGTAAGAAATAGAATTTTTAAATCTGCGAGAGAGAAGAAAAGAGAAGTTTAATTTTATTATAGTAAGACTACCTTTGCCCGCGACTCCGTTCGCGCGGAATAAAAAAACAAGCATAATCGATAGTCTATATGTTCTTCCAAAGTGTATATGAACATTCTACATCTGTACCAAATTTCAGTGAGATCCGTTAAGCCTAAACATCCGGATTTTCAGAACTTTAGATGGAAGGATGGATACCCTGCCATCTAAATTTTCACATTTATAATATTAGTAAGGTTACAATACTGAATGTAGGACAAAAATGAATTGATTGGCCGCTTCGAACTGACGCCTGTAGTTGACGACAGAGCAGACTATGAATACGCTCCGAAACTCAGATGGTACAACATGGCCATTGGTGCAGAGGTGACTGGACAAGTTCTGATGTCAGTACAAGTGTTGCAGGTAACCGTAATAATTCTAGAAAAAGTGCATGAAACAGATATTTTATAATAAAGTACTGCAATTTTTTAAATAAATTATTTTAGCGCCATCTATAGGTAGGAGCAGCAAACAAGGCAAGCTAAATTATTCATTACAGTTCATAGTCTTGTGTTAGGTTTTATTCTTCACGATAGGTGGCGTTGATCATAGTTAAAATTCTTTTTACACGTTGTGTTTAAAAATAATTTTTCAGTATTCTAACAAAGACAAAAGTTAACTAAAATATGGTTGCATTTTTCAGGTTCCGGAAAAGTTATTAAAGTCAACAACGTACAGCCCTATCGAAGAAACTTTCTTTGCATCTGGTGTTCGAGATTTCGATAACGTCGACGCTATAGAACCTTTGCCAAATACCCTTATCCCAAAATATAGCACATACAAGTACAGTAAACTCTTTAAGTCTCTTTTCCAATAAGTCATTTTGTTAAAAAAGTGGCCTTATTTGCGCATTGCATTTTATGTTTTTAGGGTTGACATATACTGGTGGGGACTGAGAGACGTAACTGTTACTAGAAAACCATGTGTTGTCCTTGAGATTGAGGATCTTACACTGAAATCTGATATAATACTAGACAAGAGGAATAGTTGTAATTTTCCTAACGGCAGATGCTCGCATACTTTCGAAGCACCACTAGACGATACTCACTATCCACCTCTTAACATCCGATTGTACGACAGCAGTACCTTTGGTAGAACTCTATTCTTCGGCACATATGTTGTGCGAAACCCAATGAAGTATTATGTAAACTGGTTACCTCAAGACGAAAGAGAAGCGTCGTTGAGAAGGGCATCTATAATGTCTTCCAGTTTTACTGAAGGTATGTGTAGCGGCTACGCTGCAAATGCCGCAATACCCTAAAAAATAGCACCGTATTTAAAGGATTTTTTTTATAGCTACATTTTGATATGTACTATTTTTTCCAGTGAGACAATCTTTGTACATTAGAAAGAGTGGTCCAATGATAAAGGAAAGCATCGAAACATTTAGTAACATTGCAATACCTGTTAAGGCGCACGTCAAACCGAGAAAATGGGGCAGATTATTTAGTAGGAGGGAACCGGACGAAGAAGAATATACACTATTACCAATGTTTACTAGTAAAGAGAAGAACGCTGTGAAAGAAGTACCATCCACAGAACATAAGGACTGGTGGATGAGATATTTATACTCACAACAGGTCAACCATTTATTTGATTATGCACGTAAGGAATAAGAGTAGTCTTCTGCCGAATGTCACAGCTCTAACGCAATAATTTTTTGCATTGGTTTCTTCCAATTTGATCAACTGACTGATTAAAGTCTAATAAACTTTTACATCACGACACCTTTACAAGTTCTTGAGAACCTTGAGTAATTAATACTAATTATAACAGTTTATTTTTAGGAAGGTATCGGTGAAGATAAAGTAAATGCGGGAGATAAAATCACTGTACGTATTTACTAGTTCTTAATATTACGTAAATAGATACAACACTTATGTTATTAATAAACTCATTGTTCTAATTGTATGCATTACCATACAAATAAACAGAAGATTTCAGTAGATAATTGTTTTAGACAACTATACGTAAAGTCGTTTAGTAAGTAACATGTTATTATAAGTGTACCTGTTTTAAGTCAATTAATATTCTAAAGTTTTTAGAGTAACCGGCATCATGTCAGTGTGATAGACGTATTGGTAATACAATTATTGTTTTTAACATAAGTGATTTCATTCTCATTTAGATATACGATTCGGAGCTAGAGCTACAATCAGGATTCTCTAAATTCAAAGACTGGTGTTCAACTCTCAAACTGTACAATGGTAACAAAACAGGAATTCCAGAGAAGGATGAACAACTACACTGTGGTTATCTTAAAGCTGGCATTGCAATATACAAATGGCCACCACCTTCAACAACTGTGGCCGTCAGTCCGTATGGTGTAGAATTAAATAAAGGGTAATATTATAATTACTAGTAACATCATATATCTTAGAATGTTTAAGCTCTAACAACAAATTTAAAAACATGCGCTGGTAGAGTTGTAAACACTTTTGTTCTTTATGTCGTCAACATTTCTGTAGTTATTTAAGTTTGAATATAAGTTACTCTGTTTCAGTTATTTTAATGACCATCCAAATAATGAAGCGGCAACGTTTTTAGTACGAGTTTATTTGGTGAAAGCTTTTAACTTGATATCAAAGGATTTCACTGGTAAAACTAACCCTTACATCGTATTGACTTATGGCAACAAGCATGTCGGAGATCGGAATGATCATATACCTAGAACACTAAATCCTATTTTCGGGAAGTAAGTAACTATTGTAATTATAACGTATAACTCCACTAAACGCATAAAATCCTTTTTTATGAACTAGTTATAAAAATAGCATTCCATTTTATTTAACTAATTGTAGAACGGCAGTTAGAATTTATTAAAACAGTGACCAATTGGGCATAAGATACGAGTAATATCCTAATAAAGTTAACGATGCTTAATTTTTTTTACAGAATGATTGAATTTAGTTGCACCCTTCCAGAAGACTATCTTTTGACTGTAGCACTCTATGATTACGATGAAAACCAATCTGACGAGATGATCGGCTCAACACAAATCGATTTAGAAGATCGAGTCTTTACAAAACATAGAGCACGAGTTGGTCTATCATTGGAGTATAATGTGTAAGTCAGCAAAATTATACATATTTGAAAGTCATTTCTCGATCATTTCTTTAATACTAAATCTGACTCTAGAATGGGGCCAAATAAGTGGCGTGATTGCGTCAAACCTTCGGCTATACTAGAAGATTTGTGCCAAAAGAACTATATACCATCACCAGTTTATCCTGATGCAACCACAGTTCTTGTGAATGGGGTCGAATATAGAGACAATGAAAGAGGTACGTATGTCGGTCTTGTCAATCTTATAAACAGTTCTATTACTTCATTGTGATATTCACAATAATACATTTTGCTATTATGACTCCAGTGGTAGGTTTAGCGAGTACATGATTGGAATCGTTTAACAATTGAATACTTTCTCTAAAATTAATTGTACCAGTTTAATTGCTACAGAGAAGGTTTATGCATCACCAGTGGAACGCAAAGAGAACATCTGTCTAACACTGCTGCACAACTGGCATACTTTGCCTATTTGTGGATATCAGTTGGTCCCGGAACACGTGGAAACAAGAACTCTATTCAATACTTCAAAGCCGGGATTTGAAATGGTATTATATAACTAAATAATTACTAATCAAAAGTAAACATGATTTGTTGCTGCATTCAGCGTTATGAAGAATAATATTAAATGTTTATCATCAGTTTCACTTAATTACTTTGATTGTGGCATATAGTTTTCTTTACAAACGAATACTGAGGTGAAATTATAAGTAAGTTTTTTTGTAGATTTTTAAACCAGTTTATCAAAGTTTATATAATTTTCTAGGGAAAGTTACAAATGTGGATAGACATCTTTCCCCTGGACTCGAATTTAAGTATTCCAAGTCCAATAGATATAACTCCAAGGAAAATTGAAGACTTTGAATTGAGAGCTGTTATTTTAAATGTTAATGACTTGAAGTTTTATGACAATGAAAAGAAAAGATCAACTGATATATACGTGAGAGCGTGAGTTAAAAATTCCTTCTACGAGAAACCTAAGATTTCCTTATAGATTAAATTTTGTAAATTCCCCTTAACACTTGTACCCTGATTTTGTACTATATTTATCAATATTAAGTGACTTATCTCATATCTACTTTAATTGTATAAAAACATTAACGGCATAATATTGCAGCTGGATCGGTTCAGTAGAACAAGTTCAACATACAGATGTCCACTCATACTATCAGAGTGGTGTATGCAACTTCAACTGGCGTATGATATTCAACTTTCAGTACCAACACGCCGAAGGAAAGGTATGGTTCAGTAATAATTTAAGCACTTTACGAAGTACATATTATGGAATTCCATGATACGATTAAGAAACTTGATTCCTACATAAAACATTTATGACCCCATTTATGGTCACCATCTTGATTCCTGCATAAAGCATTTATGACCACATCGTGTGGAATCCTAGAATTAGTTTAGTCCTTGTAAAAAAAATATTTATACTACTCATCCATAAGGAGTGGTTGCAGGTATCGCTTCCCCTTATGATGTCAATGACTTGTTTATGTTAGCAGTAAATTACTGTTTGTTTTCAGTTAGTTATAAAGGAAAAGGGACCATTCAATGAAGTTGAGGAGCGTATCCCGCCAGTCTTGATTGTACACGTGTTGGACGGTGAAATGACAACGTCTGATGATTTTTTGGGCAATGAATTAGGTAAGTAGTGTAGTATGAATTTAAATACGTTTCTGACATAGGATAGAATATCCTACTTCACAAGCATTGCCAAAATGAGTAGGATATCAAAGTCCTTAACTGTAATCAATGTGTTTATGTAGACTAATCTTAGGTGTTATGAGCTGTTTATGTCTTAATTATATTTATATGTTTAGGTTCCCTTCACCTGAATTTGAATTGCATGCCGCGTGGAGTAAATCTTGCACAAATGTGTACTTTGGATACGATGGACAAAGGCAAGAAAATTAGCCTCTTTTCGTTGCATACATTACGAGCATGGTGGCCTTTGAAGCTTATTGATAGAAATACTGGAAACGACAAACCTGCCGTTAGTACCATTTTTGCGTTTTTTTTTGTTTTTGTATTTTTTTTACATTTTACGAACATTTACCATTTTACCATCCTGACAGAATGATTACATATATATGAATATATTTCATTCGATACGCTTTTTTATCAGCTTTATAAGCGTAGTAAGGAGGGCTTTTTTATTTAATATTATTTTATAGGGCTCTATTGAACTGGAGTTGACTCTGTTGCCAAAAGAAACCGCAATACTTATGCCTCTTGGAATTGGAAGGTCTTGCTCATTTGTACCAACAATGTAAGCCTTAGTTACTCATTAACCTCAAGTTGTTAATTTTAACTACAATTATCTGATAGCACACACTGAGAAACATACTTAATCACGCCTTAATTACACGTGAATGTTTATTTGAAATATAAAGACGAAACTGCACTGTTGAACCTTTCGCCAGCAATCGCTTTGTTATTTTGGCGAATTCTGGTGGCCGCCTGTTCGTCACCTTATATCAAAAAAGTAAACATATCGGTAAGGTCATCTAAAGAATTTAACATTTCTCACTCACTCTCACTCTTTAATTAAAGTCATATCTAGCCGATTACAAATTTGTTAATAAGACATTTATTTACAGATGCACGGCAAAAAAGACAAGGTTCTCAATGATTTGTAAAAAACACGGTCCTAAAAAAAAGCGAACAAATTGCTGTTGGCTTCTTATATTTTTAATGTTCGTTGGATTAATTTCATTGCTCTCAATTTGTTTTATTAATTTACCCGAAATCATTTACGACATGTTTGACTACTGATAAAGTACATAACATTGAGGTACTATTAATGAAATATTTTATCACTGATTACTATCAATGAACAAATTCAATACAAACATTTTGTTACATATTTCTACATAAGAAAAGTAAACACTCTTCTTGTAATTGTTTTCAAGTTTTTTGCTTCGTAACTTCTCTCATTACGAAATGTAATACCTCTTATCTTACAAATTGTATAAACTATCGCACAACTGTTGTGCGATTGTTTCTTAATCGGTTAATTGCAAAATTAAAAATTGAATCGAGATTAAACGGATATACGATAGTTTAGTCAAAGGTTTGCGCACGCTTTTAATAATTTTAACAGCTATGTTGTACAAAGGAGCTCTACATACAAATTTGTACCTTACAGTAGGTTTTCATTGCCTCTTACATAAAACATTTTGTCATAGTCCATTGTCTTTGAAAAGTATTGACATAATGTAACGGCCAGTCTATATTTACAGTTACAATTATGAAATATTAAACATTTGTACTGGTTGTCACGAATAATGATGTTACTGTTTGTATAGTTGTATATTGATAAAGCGCTCATTGTGTCACCGTTCTAATTATTTTTAACTTTTACATGGATTTAATTCGTATATTGTAGGTGATAAAGTAGGTTTTTCCTTCCACAAAACATATTTTATAAATATTTTAATTTATTAGTCATATTGAGGTAGATCTTTTGTAATTTTTAGCGTTTACTTTAAATTTAAATAAAATATTGAATATCTTTTATTTTGTTTCATTTTTTATTGAAAATTCCGTATAATTTTTGTTTGTTTCTATATTTAAAGTCATAAAATGGTTTATTTTTGTACAGTATTACGACTGTAAATAAACAAAAGTGATATGTTGTATTAACATTCGATAATACTAGACCATATAATTTATCACTTAACTAGTTACCCGCGAGTTCGTCATAATTTTCGTTATCAGTAACGCAATCAATTTATCTTCGCGAAATACCAATTTTTTTTAAATGTATAAGTTATGATTTTTATTTTAAAATGATTTCTGATCCCAATATATGCACTAAGTGCGCCCCCTATGCCTATCCTCGTAAGGTTACACTACAGATAAACAGTTTTAATATCTCAGTCTTTCGTAGATGGCAGTAAATGCAATTGCATACTGTACTATCATCATAAATAAAAAAAAAAACGTTAATTAAAATTAAGTTAGGTGTAAAATTTAAAATAAACTATTGTTTTGTTCCGCGATGCAATCTCGATCAAGGCAACTTTTCCTAGAAATAGCAGCGAAGGTTTATACAAAGATTAGCATATGTGTCTGAACGATTCAAGATCGATTTCCCGAATATGTCAAATTGATAAATACCTTCGTCTGGAAAATGTCTATAGAGATACGATATCAGTGTAATAACTTTTTCAAAGAAGTCCTTAGAATGTTTTGCATTCAAATCTAAGATCCGCATCATTCTACTTCAGATTTTATAATAGGAAGTGAAACATTTTACTCCGTGTTTATTTTGTATTTTTACTATGCTTTATTTTCTTGATTAATACAGATTTATTTAACTGATTGAACGACATCATTTCAATATGATATTACTTATGATAATATTACAAATATAGTCTTTTAGCTATAAACTTTTATCGTCAGACTATTCAACCAAAGACAAAACACTTCTACGTAATCATATTAGTTATTTATTATTTTTAAACATATGTACCTACGTTTTTAACAGCGTTACATCAGAAACAATAATTCGACTAAAACACCAACAATTTGCTACAATTTGTTGGCAATGGCCTTCAACATTTTATTGGTTGAATATTAAAATATCAAGTAATCTTTCCTGATGACGTTCTTACATTATCAGCAAATAATCGTAAATTATTTAAGCCACATATTGTCAATTATCTTAATATTTTAAATCCTCGACATTAACATAAAACTTGTCATATTGTTATTTAAACTGTTTAAGTCATTAAAGAGACGTAAATACAAACACGTAAATATTGAAAATAAAGTTAGATTTTAAAACAGAACCGATGCTTGTGTGGAAGAAATAACCGAAATGAGACTACAAAGTCTGCAGCATGTTAGACTTCATCATCAGAATTTACAAATGAAATCAAAATCAAGTTGTAAAGTACAAATATAATTGTCACTCATAACAGTATTTTTAAAATGTTACTTCATATAAAAGTAGCTCAGACTATCGATGTAATCCAATGCTTAATGAAGTAAACATAATAAGCTATTTATCACATATCTATTAAGCTTATCATGTATTAATCACGGCTATTAAAATATGAAACTGTGATTTTTAGTACACAAATTGTCTTTACAGACGCCAGCTAAAACATTTACTCTCGTAAAGCGATTTCAAAATTGTCCCAAATTCGTCGCTCCCGCGCGAGGCAAATTACAATCCATCCAAATCAAATTGCTAACTAACGCAATTAAAAGGAATATTTAATATTAAAGCTACTGCTTTTAAAGGAATGCGATACAGACTAGAAGAAGGATATTGGTTTTAATTATTGACCTAAGTTTTAGATACCAGAGTAAAATTACGAATCATGGGAAAAATAAGGTTTTATAAAAAGAAACCGTTCGTGAATGTCCGGAAATCTATGGCGAATCTCGTCCAGTCATTAGGGAGTTTACACGCATGCCTATTGAATGGCTCGACTGCCAGCCATTCCGCGTCGCTAGATGACCATAGTAAATGCGACCGCGACACAATAAAGTAATACAGTGCTCGTTTTGTAAACTTCAGCGTAATACGAGAGTCTGAAACATCCTGAACGTTTATGGTGAGTCTTCTATACTTTTACAAACTCCATTAATACATAAAAAAATCTTTTACGACGTATGATTAAACTTTATAAGTATATACAAATAGATTTTATACAAAGTTTCTTATGCAAATTATAAATTTGTTAGATCATTTTATGATGTGCGATATTGAGTTTTTTAACCTTTGTGATAGAAAAATAGTAGGTACTTAAACCAGATAATCAGAAGTGAGAGCGAATTTTATTTTCACATCTCGGAACCTTATCTTCCAGACATCTTATCATGAATCTCATTTCAACTGAAAATGTACTTGAAACCAAAGCAAAAACGCAGTCTCCAAGTGCGCATTTGTTTCTTAATAGATAAATAGTTAGCGTAAGTAATTATAATGCTTTGCTTTACTTTATGATGTACGTATTGGTAGCAAAAATAATTTTCTTATTATTAATTTAATTGTTTACAAATGTGTACCAACGGCATTTTAAACATTAATTTTAACATTTTATTTCATCGCTAAAGCTGCTAAAGCTGTTGTAGTATTTATCCGAGGATTCGATTTAAGAGATCCTTTCTCCAAGAAAACAACAAAAGTTCATTAGTGGTTCTTGTAAGACGCCTAGCTTTTGTTTCCGCCCCTAATATGCGTTTCTCATTCTGTTATCGAGGTGTCATTACGAGAACTAAATAAAAGATCAATTGTTATAGTTGGTTTCCACTGTCAATACCTGTTACACTATATACTATATTGTTAGCTCTATTTGGTTCAAAGGATATGGTGGAATGATGATGTGTTTTTTGGAATTATTATTGCTGCGAAACCCACGGTTAGGACAACAACACCTCAAGACACCATATGTATCGTAGTAAATTCAGATAGATGGATGAATATAGAGAATGTTTGTTAGAGTTTGTAGCATTACTGCTAAACAGATCTTGATGAAATTTAGTGTAGCTGTAGTGTGACAAGGTAGTCTGGACGGCCACGTAGGCAACTTACTATTTTTTAAACGAACGCGGACAGTATCCCACAATAAACCACAAAGAAGTAGCATCAACATTATATTTTTAATTAGGGTTTTGCTTTCCATTAACATTTTTTTGACTATTAATATTTATGTACCTGCGCAAGATAGAGTTTGTTTGATCTATTTCAGTATAAAATAGATATCTACTAATTTTAGAATATTACCTTTAATAGATTCTATCATGATAACGCTTTTTTTTCAATTGTACATTTTGTAGATAACATTTATTACGAAGCTGAAAATCTCTATTAAAAGTGTAATGAAAATGGATAAAAGCCGATAATGAATAACTGTAAATAAATTTAACACAAAAGTAATTATTTTACATATTTCTTTTAAAGAATTTACATCTGATAGTAATGAGGGGAATTTATCTATACACATACCTTATTATATTGAATTGTGCCCTGCTCTTCGTAAAAATCTCATAATCTCTGTATATGATAGTACAAACAAAATGTAAGCCATGATACGTAAATAAACGTACAGCTTTATCTTTTCGTCATTTGACGAGAATTATATAAAGAGAATTCTAATCATACGCTTCACAGTTCGAAGACAGATTCGACAACGAACGTTCTTAAGGAACAAAGTTGGCATTTAAAATAAATACAAGCAAGTTAGGTCTCAAATTAATCAAAAAACATGGAAGATAAAGTCGTCAGTGAGAAAACGGCATCGAAAAATTATATATCGGAGACAGATGACATCTCAAATGGAGAAGTGGACTACGATCAATTACTCTCATCAGCTGGGGAGTTCGGCCGATACCAGTGGTTTCTATTCTTTGCCACTTTCCCATTCTACATATTCGGTACATTTTCATATTACTCGCAAATTTTTATGACAGAACCTGCGCAGAATCATTGGTGCTGGGTTCCAGAGTTAGCGAACTTGAGTGAACATGACCGCCGGACCTTGGCTATCCCATCAGATAAAGATGGTCGTTTCGGTTATTCACAATGCACAGTTTATTCCGCAAACTGGAGTGATGTCTTGATAAGCGGAATAAAACCAAACGAATCTTGGCCGACTGAAACCTGTCAAAATGGATGGGAATTCGACAAGTCTGAAATACCTTATCCAACTGTGTCCAGTGATTGGGGATGGGTATGTGACAGGGACAGTTATCAAGCTACTGCACAATCAGTATTCTTTCTTGGATGTATACTGGGAGGCTTCGTCGTTGGATGGGTGGCTGATAAATTTGGAAGAGTTCCAGCGGCTGTGTTTGCTAACGTTATTGGCTGTGTAGCTGGGATAGCCAGTACATTTACGACTTCATTCTTAGAGTTCTCTATATGCCGATTTTTCATGGGAATGTCTTATGATAACTGTATGATGATGATATATCTTCTAGTACTTGAATTTGTAGCGCCGAAGTACAGAACAATTATTGCTAATTTGCCTTTTGCAATTTTCTATACTCTTGGCGTTAGTGCATTGCCTTGGATTTCTCTCGCATGCGGTCACTGGAAGATTATTGGCTTGGTAACAAGTTCTACAATGGCATTGGCTATATTTACACCATTCATTGTTCCTGAGAGCCCGAGATGGTTGCTATCAAAAGGACGAGTTGATGAAGCTGTAAGCAAACTCATAAAAATCGGAGAAATCAATAAAAAAGAAATACCATCGAAACTTATTGAAGAATTTAAATTATCGGTAAAGAGTGAGAAAAAACAAAAGAGTGTTAGCTCTCTAGAATTACTTAAAAGGCCTATATTAAGAAAGATTTTTATTACCATGTGTATGGTTTACATGTGTTGTATGATTGTTTTTGATGCTTTAGTTAGAAGCGTCGGTAGTTTAGGATTCGACTTTTTCTTATCTTTTACATTAGTATCGCTAACGGAATTCCCTGCGTTGGTGATAGTAGCTTTTGTTTTGGATCTGACAGGCCGAAAGTGGCTAACTATTATTTCCTTTACATCGTGCTGTATATTTAGTTTTGCAACAGCCTTCGTTGGTGGGGGCTTGCAATCAGTCCTATGTGCTGTAGTTGCCAGATTTTTTGTGAACATAGCTACTAACACGTCTATACAGTGGGCCGCAGAGATGTTGCCAACGATGGTAAGAGGTTCAGGCACATCAATTGTCCATATCTGTGGTTATGTAGCTACTGTTATTTCTCCATATATTGTGTATTTGGAAACTTACGTCTTATGGCTTCCCCTCGTCATAGTAGGATCTCTTGCAGGATTGGGTGCAGCGCTTGCTTTAATTTTGCCTGAAACTGCGAGAAGAGATATGCCCCAAACATTTGAAGACGCCGAAGAGTTAATAAGAAATCAAAAGCTATTCGAAATACCATTTTTAGAAAAGAAAAAACGAGAGGCATCTGGTCATGTAAACTCATCATTCCAAATGAGTTGAAGTAATAAAATATAATTAAGTTCTTGTAATCGCAGATGCAAAAGCGAAATGTCCCTTGTCCTTATACCATTCGTTTTTTTTTAAATACAGCTTGAATAAATTATAAAGGCTATAGCGAATAATCCGAAAAATTGTAAAACGAAATTTCGAAACAGCGACTGTTCAGTATTATATTTGATATTGTTTTATTTAAATGTGTGAAAAAGTGTTGTATAAATAAATACAAATTAAAAACTATTTTATGTGTAGAATTGTAAGTTTTTAAGTTTTTGTTCTAATAAATATTTGAATGTACAAATGCCATAAAAACTAAGATAAATATACAAAATTCATAGAAATATATTTTTTTTTATTATTTTATTAGCTTATAATATAAACCCAAAGTTATCTCACAAACGTAAGTAATAGATTGTTTTTGTGTGATAAAATACTGAAATAACAGGGATGCATGAAATTATAATATGCCCGGGTACTCGTATTGTTGCGTTATATCCTATTTTATAATCAAAAGCGTACCTTCTAATGTATTACAGGGTTAGTGGTAAAATTACACTTTCCAAATTCTTCATACGCAAAAGTCCAAAAATTTAAATCCATTCTTGCGGATCATATTTTTTTTCTTGACTTCTTCCAACATTGGGACTACTTTCTGTATAGCCATCCTCATACCTTTTGTTACATAATATATCAGTTTTAAAAAATTGGACTCTTTTCCTACTTCACGTGCTAATCGTCTTACTGCAATCGCCTTCAGGACTTACTTTGCACCTGATAGACATTTCGATTTTGTGGTTCCTGCTTTTACTTTCTATATCTGCAGCGCGATGCGTTTGTGATGATGATGATGATGATGATGATGATGATCATCATCATGATAAAATATGATAAATAGAGATTCTTATTTTATCGTAGTTCATCCAAAACAAATTGTTTTCTGCAATTTTTTAACAATCATCACCCGAGTAGGCAAGCGTACACGGAGTTAGAGAATCATCAAAATAAGAGTAAGGGTGCCTTGAAGCACAAGAATCAGGGATTTATACCCAAAATATGTTCCTAAGTCCTTTCATCAATCTTATGAAGACATTATTTTTTACACTGTCAAATATGTATCCGATAAATTGTTTTCACCGAGTGTAAAACATCCATGTGACATAATATCAAGACGGAATATAAAAATTTCGTATCGTGTTACGATATGCAATCTGAATTGCCTTTGGATAAAGATATTCACACTTATAAACCATAAATCAATGTCGATTTTGATCTGGGATTAAAATTTCACGTGTACACGTGCCGTTATTTACTACATATACCAGTTTGGCATTAGAAAAATTAAATTACCTATCGAAGTACGTAGTATTTATAAATAACATTAAACGCTCTTAAAATGAGCTATTTTTCAAAAGCCTTGCTATTTTATTTAGTTCTTTTACTGTGAAGTGGAGATAATCATGTTACTTCAAATCGATATACGGGAATAGAAAATAAAGTAGAAAATACCGGTAGATTTTAAAACATAATCTTTTTTTAAACATACTTATTCCATTCCATGACCGTAACGATGATATAACATTTTTGAAAATTTTTTTTTATAATATTCTGATTGAGTGAGAAGTATCAAAGAAAATAAGCTTTAATATGAAGATTACTAATAATTAATACTTCACTATATGGTATGTATATCCCCACGGAGAGACTATCCTGAATTAGTGTTGACTGGGCCATAGTCAACCATGCTGGTGCAGTGTGGGATGTTTTACTTCGCACATACCATATCTTTGAATTTCTTGTCAGATATGTGCATGTCGCATCACGATGATTTCTTTCATCGTAAGAACGTTGGAAAAATGTACATAAGAAAATCTAAAAATACATTGGTACATGGTGAGAACCAAACCCAGGATGTATAAATTACAAGTCAAGTGCTGAACTCCTGTGCTACTGGTGTTTTTAAAGATTACTTGAAAAGCCGTAATTGATTTTATTAGGTAGAGACTGTGTTCGGAATAATGATTGATGCGCATTTGTGTATTTTTTTTATTAAAAAAATCCAACTGCGTACAATTATAAAATTATATTACATCTAGTATTATATGACAGTAAAGCCAATGATAGGTTTTTACTTAAGGTGTTAAAGGTTTTTTTTATAAAATTTAATTTATAATAAGTATGATATAATAGAATAATAATGAAAAATATAGTAAATCAAAAGAAAGTCACACATCACGGCAAGGGAATATAATATGAAGAAAAAATAAAAAATACATATGCAAGTGCAAGAGTAATAAGTTATTAACAGAGTAATGTTAATGTTGAAATAAGAAAAAAGCTATTTTCCGTAAAGTAGGAAAGCTGTTTACTTTTTTGTTTCTCCTTCTCTTCGAACATATGCTCGTACATGTGTTTTTATAAAATTCGTCGTAACTCAAATAAATATTAGCAATATATTATTATTATGAAATCTTCATATGTATTTATTTCTAATTTTATATATTATACGTTTTACATGACTTGTATTTAAAAAAAAAAACAAGTTTTATAAAAAATAGAGCACCACCGGCTTCGGAATCCGATAACTTAAGCAACCAGTGGTCAGGGTTGCAGAGACAGGAACCTCCTCACAGCGTGCGGTTTCTAAAATGACTGCCTCATTATTATTATTATATGTGATAATTCGACAAATAACTGCGTGTAGTAAAACACTTCCGTGTAGTCATTATTTCCTATTTACTCAAACCTTATTTAAATATCTCGAGTGGTTTGTTTTCATGTCTTAAAAAGGAACTTACAGGATAAAATTATGTATTGATTGTATCAATTGATAGTTGCCGCTGACGGTTGTTATTCGCAATCTTAAGTGTGATCTATATCTAGTCACATTTTATCAATCACATTTTTAACTGGCGCCTACCTTAATTGTATCCTTGAAGTTTCAATCATCGGACGTTAGAAGACAATTGTAATAGTAGATAAGATAAAATTAATCTTTTTTAAGTGTATAAATCTGAGCAGAGAGAGTACCGCCAGCTGGATCTAAATGACAGTTTCCATTGACGAAAAATAACGTGCGAAAACGTTTTTAATTTTTTTTTAAATGTTTAGAACATGTTTTTAACTTCTGGCGTTTAGTTTTTGATATTCATCTTCATCTTTAATGCTACGTGGCTCTGGCATACTATTTCCTAAACATTGTACGAGTTTTTGTATATTGCATATTATGTTTGAATCGAGTATCGCTTTACACAATAAATTAGCAACCCTTTGAGTTTAATAAATTATACGCAACACAATTACAAAGTAATAGGTTTATCCCACAATCACTATTAAACGCAAATATCGCAATTATTCGAATATTGCTAATATCAGAATTAATGGAAAGATAAAAGCACAATCACAATTTTGACGTAAGATATCTTAATTCATTGACAAATATTGCAAGTGGCGTATAGTTAAATTTTATAAACCAGTAATATAGATTTGTACAAGATAAGATGTTTGTTGGTTAGACCATAAACTCGTAGTTTGCCTAATTACTTCCCATTTTACAGTCTTAATACACAATACGTGACCCGCATCAAACCAATGATGTAAGAACATTTTAAATTACTACACTAAAACTCTACAGTGTGTTATTGTACAATTTAGTAGGGATGGGTTGTGTAAAATCGGGTATGAATCTTTTCGATTTTTGATTGTTACTCTCATAGAAGTTAGAATCGATAATTTCATAGTTATAACTTATGGATTCAGATAAAAAACACTGTTTTCTCAAATCAATAATGACCTACAAAACTAAAACAAAGAATGAAAGTTAATATTTATTATTAGTACAGTTGTAAATAATCGAATTAGATTACCCTATTATTATTGTCACACTATATGCGTTACACTATATTAATTAATTGTTCCCTAAAGTAATTAATAAACAATAATTTTAATTTAGTTCGATAAATTTAACCGAATATCGATAGCTCATAGTTCACTATGTGTGTTTGTTTCTTCACTATGATAACCGTCTATTAAGTATGGCATTTTAAATCTTATAAATTTAATTCGAAACTTCATGTGCGTAATTTATCAATCTAATCAATCTTATTTAGACAAACTATAAAATACTTTTTGTAACAACTTAACTTCGCTCAATCCATTTAATTTGCGAATTTATTTAAAAAAAGTCCCCTTTGTCCTTAATATATTCTGATCAGAATAGCAATCTATTTTTACACAATAGGAACAATGTACGTACTCGTACGTGTGAGGTATGTTTACGTCAACATAAACACGGTGAGTAAATATGTACAATAAATTAACATAATACAGCTGATAACGCACATGGGATAGCCGTGACGTCACTTTATATATTGCCAGATTATTGCATTAAAAACGTAAGATTTTTATACATTTGTAAACAGTCGGATATCACAATTTAACATCAACGTCACACATTGGTTAAATAATAACTTCCTTATTACTGACCCCCGATATAAGTCCTGATTATATCGTTGTAATTCCTATAAATCAGTACAATTAAATGATCATAACATAAGGTCAAACTCAAAGACCGTTTATGGTTGTCCAGGAAGACTTTTTGTGTAGATCTTACTAACTTACATTAGTAAGTAAGTAATAGGAAGTAATATTAATTATAAACACGAAAGTTTAGATGGATGGATGAATGGTTATTTGTTATAATGTTTCTTCAACAAGGCTCAACGGATCTCGATAAAATATGGCCCATACGTACTTGTAGATCATTATGTAAAAGAATACACATGCGGCTTACTCCCTTTTTTTTTTAATTCCGCGCTAACGCTGTAGCGGGTAGAAGCTAGATTTGAATATAAATATACGGATATTCTGAAGGCTTTACAAGGACAATTAATAAATGGTAACTTAACAAAGAAAAAATCAACAACATGATCGTATCTAGTCCATTTCTTTAAAGCTTAGATCCTTAATGGTTTTAGTGTTGTCAATTTCTTTAATTGACTAAAAGTGCAGCTGTTAAACTCGATACACATTAACTGCACAGTTAGACTCTTCAGTTAAAACTGAGGGTGTTGAATTTATATTTGATTATAATTTTGACTTCTGCCGAAGTTCAATCTAGACAAATCAATTTCTAAACAAATAACTTCATCTAAAAATAATTTCAATGTAATAAAAACAATCCAATAAGATCATTAAAACCGTTCTGTTTTATCCATTGATAACATTTTACATCGTATATCTTCATTTCATTTAATTGTCAGGTCAGTTGGTTGATGTTTTTCCGATAGAAGTTCTGTGATTGCGGTCTCCTGTTGTCTCACATACTCTGCACTCTAACAATATCTACACCTTAGTTACAAAGAAATTCACTTCGTTGCATTTGAACATCTTATTATGAATATTTAGTATTAAAATAGAATAATTGTAAAAGTTACACAAATATCAAAAATAAGCATTTGAAGCGTCGCCGTCGGCGGCTCAGGGGTTTGAGCACTTGACTTGTTGTGATTTTAGATTTTTTCTAATTTCATACGTACGAGTACATAATTTACCCGAATTTCTTACGTTGAAGGAAAGAAAAAATAAGTACGCCAGATAGTTTATTTAAGTTTCTTAATTTTATATTTTCTGCTTAATTGTCTTCGTTTTACTATAAGTATAATATCGGCGTTTGTAGTAAAGTTAATTATTGTTTATTTAATTTCGCGACCAAGCAGGGTTGTTAAACAAATAAAGCCAAAATATTAAGGTTTGTAAAACCTCCCGCATCAATGGAAGTGGTTTGACCAGGAATTCATTCAGGGAAAACGCACGGAGATCCTTAATCCACTAATGTTATTAGTGATGAAAGAAAGGTTAGTTAATAAGAATAAATAATTGTGATCTCTGTATACAACTGCGTAATTTTTTTATTTCTAATATCAATATTGAACTCACATAATTGCATTAGTATTAGTTTAAACCTGGTTCCTCCCAAAGTAATTCCTCCTTGTAATTCTAGTAAGACATTTGTGCAAACATCAACAAGGTAAATTATCTAAATATTTGATTTCAGATATGACACAGAGTAATAAAATTATAGAGGTCTTATGGCGCTTATTATTGTCACTCTGTTTAAAAATGGTACGTAGGTAGTTATCTTTATTAGGTTTTTAAATTACGTTTAATGTTCGTTATACCACAAAGTCCGTAATTATGGTATACTAATTAATTATAGTTATTCAAAATTACCATTTAACCTCAAAAAGCAGTAAAAAATGCAAAAAAAAAAATTTTTTTCACGGATCGTATTTTGTTTCAATATTTCTCATATTGTAAAATATTCATTCAAATACGGTGTTAATATGTTGCAAAGTAAATAATACTAAATATACTGGTGATAAAAACTGATGTTTTAAGTATCTACAAATGGCTACATTAGATAACTTAATGTTGTTTGTATTCCGTTCATCTTTAGCAAAACACACTTTATGACTAAAGAAAATTTTAACCCTTCCCTACCTTACGATACGTGTAAAAGATTATTTGATTCAGCTTAATAGTTATTTATTGTTATTAAATAGTAACTATGAGGTGAAAAACAGATTACATGGTAATTGTTGTAAAGTTGCAAAAATCACTAGTAGTTTATATGCTTTATTCTTGTACAATGATGTAATAATGTACAATTTTATTGAAAGCTGCATGTGGGATGGTTCTGTATCGAGGTTAACTGTCGTGGTGACATTAACTGCTAATGCAATAACCGATGGCTATGAGACCAACAAACAGAAAATAAAGTAACAAACAGGAAATATTACAACTAGTAAATAACGCGCGAGAAACACAAAGTATAACTGTATACTTCTTTAATCGTTAACACTAACAAGACTACATTTACTGCATAAAACGCATAGATTTTAAACATTTTTATAGGAGTCAGATTACATGTAGCGTTAATAGGAAAGTTTAAAGTTACTAAAACACCAAAAACTATATCTAACGAAATAATTCTGCAACTAAACGTCATTTATTCTGGGTTGCTGAAGTTTACATTGATTTTATCATTACCAAATGATTCGTTAGTGATAGATTGAAAGAAGTTTTCACGGAGTAATTTCACCCATTGCGTGAAGTTATCGAATCAAAAACACTAAAGAATACATAAATGCACTTGGGAAACCGCTCATTAGTCGTCCTAATATCGACAGTTAATGTTATATAATGTTGCTACGGCGCCAATGGATTACTAGATACAAATTACTCCTAAATTTTAACATACAATAAATACAAAAGAAAATAATCACCTCAGATGTAATTATGAACGAAATATTATCGGAGAAATGTTATTGTTTTCGTTTCCTGGAAATTAGGAGCTACATTTCTGACATATCGAAAGTCAATCATGTCAAGTTAAGAGTAAATTCCCTGTCAAGATGCGACTCTCGTCTCAAAAAATACTTGTTTGGGAAGATAAAAGATAATAGTTTTGGTTGTTTGGCGGTCATCGACATTGGAAGTAAGAGTTAATAACCGATTCTGTGTAAACTAGGTTATTATTTATCGTAAATAGAAAAGTCTTAACGAATACTTGAAGATAGCTCGGGCCGATGACCAGTATTTATGCTATTCAATTCATGTAATGTGTGACACTACTAATATAGCTGGAGTACGGCTGCTAGTAATAAATCATTTTACACACAATTTCACGATGAAACTTTTATAAAAATTAAACTACATTGAATTTCGGAAATACTAACACTTGATAAATAATAACGTTCAATCTCCCATCTAATTCTCTGTGAAAACACAAAAAATAATCCAAACGTTTCATGGATCTTTACTAAAGCCTTTACTTGTCGATTCGGAGAAATAGAAACGACCGTCAGTGGTACAAATAACTCTTTGCATTTTGTTTCTGAATTGATATAAAACTTACAAAGAAGGAAATAACAAAAAGAGACGTAATAAATATGTAATACATGATGACGAACAAACATACGACACAAAATGTCAATGAACTAATCTTTTCATGTATCATTTCAAGATTTGATCAGATGTATAAAATCACATGGATTTTGTCACAGATAAATATTCGAGATATGTTTATCTTAAATTTGATAGCAAAGAACTTGAAATTCTAATGATTTAAGATTTACATGCGACCTATATCGATCGCAGATAAGATGTTATTTTTAGATAGTACATATGTACGTAAAGAAAACGTGTGCAAGCTGACATTCAGTACGACGTGGGAGCCCTGTTGAGTAGATGGCCATGTAAAAAATCAGCTAGTGAGGAGACAAATAAAATTTTAAATTTTGCATTGCATTGCATTTGACTAAATAGTTTCAAATGGAAGCATAACATTCCTTACATTATTTTAATTGAAGTTTACTAAGGTGTGCATGTAATATTTATGCAAAATCGCATAGCAATCAGTGTGATGTAAGCAAAATATTCATTTCTATAATAATTCAAAAGCTAGTTTGCAGATAAAATCCACAGGTTAAAATACGCTAGCAGTATTCACATAGCATTCGAAGTTTGTCAAAGGTGTGGTCCCATTAGCGCAATGAATGATGCTTGTCTTGATACTGTCACCATCAAATTATATAAATTGATTACCATACCTGGCGCTCTAACTCGCAAATTGTCAGCGGCGAAAGATAATTTCTTCATCGCACGATATTGTTATACAAAGTGTGACCCTGGTTTTATAACTATTAAGCTATTATAACTATTGTTCTATCGACTTGTAAAAGCTAAAATTACTTTTCATTATAGACAGCAATTAAGTATTTCAAAATAACAGAAAAAAAATCTTAACAAATGTTTGCATGAATAAAAAAGAGTATTTTTAGAGCATTTAAGATTTACAACCTTGTCTATGACCTACTCTATTAGGAACTGTGTTTTCTAATATAAACACCGAGAACATTAATAAAGACAAAAAAAAAATGTAAGGATTATTAAGAGTGGAAGGTTTCTTGTAATATAAGTTTTAAAATATTGGAAACTTACGATGGTAATGTTTATTGATTTTATTGCTGCAGACCTTAGAGAACCCTATATTAAATCTGCGTAAAGTGGAATCCAGCAAGTGATTGGCGTAATAAGATTTATATTGGTTTCTTCGAGACGTGCAATTTTTCAAATGATAAACTGGTAGCTTGTTCGCTTGTCTCCAATATGAACTGATATTGCATTTACTGCTTACTGCAGTCGGATTTCTTGTTACTGACTAACATGATTTTTTATGAATATTTTAAACGTTGAAATTGAAAAAGTAAAACAAGTTATGAGTATTTATTATAATTCATTTCTTCATCACCGTTACCTCAGCCAGTCAGCCTCTTCCCATTCCCATTCCCTGCTAATACCTGAACAAAATATTACAACTAGCTTTTGCCGACGAAATGGTCCGTGTGGAATAAAAAAAAAATAATGTAGCCTACGTCTTCTTCCAGCTTCTTCTCTACATATATGCCATATCTAATTGGGAACATCCGCAAGTTTAAGAAACAAAGTCTAACAAACATCTGTCCATTTATATAAACTTTCGCATTTTTAATATTAGTAAAATCAGACATCCCATGGATTTTCATAAAAAGCTGTTAAAACGCAACATTATCTACGTCTTATATAATACTTTAATAAATCAGTTTAGATTTATTATTTGATTATGCCTCAACAAATAATGTATTTTTTAAAGTAACTTGTAGTGTATCTATAAGTCTATGTCTACCATGTTAAGGTCTAAAGATAATTGGAAATGTCAACACTCATAATTACTTTAACATTGTTTGTGTCATCACTTCTTCCAGTTTCCGAGAAATAACCGTCGGCAACTCAATGATAACACATGCGTCTTGCACTTAAAATACTTGTGATAATAATCGCAGTCTAACAAATATGATGGATTACTTTATTGACATGTTAACCGGCCTTGTAACTATACCTAAAGTACAAAGGTCTTGCACTCAAAATTCCCAACAATGTAATATGAAAAATAATACATAGGTTAACAAAAGTTTGATAAAAAAATATGTAGGTAATAATAATAAATAAATTCATTTATTTAACTTTAAATTTGTTACAAAGAATTGACCCAGGGTCCCCACACTAGGTACAGCAAAAATCCAAATATCAACATTATAACCTCTTACAGTCTTCGTAAATAATCCAATTGTTACAGATTCTGATGTAATTTACAACGTGAACAATGTGGTTGTTCAACGCGGGTACAATCGTTTCATCAGTGCCCGTTCAGTCATCGGCCCAGGAACCGGACATGAATGTGATCGAGCAAGACGCGCCGAGTCAAGTCGCCGTCAACATTAACGAAGTTCAACCATCACCTATACAACAACCACGAATTGGACGTCTTTGGGTAAGAATCTTACTAATAAATGCTAATATTTAGTCATATGAATGTTTGATAGTCTGTAGTCTAAACGGATGAACGGATCTCTCTGAAATTTGGCATAGATATAGAGAAAAAAACACATAGGTTATCACTCTTGTTTTTTTAAATTCCACGCAGATGGAGTCGCGAGGACGAGGACGAGGACGAGACAGATATCTAAGTGCGCATTACATTATTTTTGGTGTCGATTATGATTGAAAGTACTTAATAATTAAATTCAATTTGTCCTACAAAGAGTGGTATATCAAAAAATTTTACATAGCTTGTAAAAACACATATTTAAACCTGTATTGTACAGGCAAAGGTACCAAGGCTAAATGTTCATCTGAATTTTTTGCTTAACAATTTATTTTTATAACTGAAGGCTACATTGAATGTAAATAAATAATTCACATATTTATTTACCAAATAAGTTAATCTAAAATGGATTTATTTTGTCTCAAATATTTTATTCATGTAGATTTTTGTTAAAAGCTTCTTCATATCATTTTCCAATTTAGCAATTTCGCTTCGTACAAATTTCAAGAGCAATCTAATAAAAGCCGTAAAAGTCAGAAACGCTGGTATCATAAGTAAACCTTTACTGGGTCTGTTGTTTTTATCACGAAAGAGGTTTATAATATTGAGATATTCAGAGGGTAAGGATAAATTATGTGATAAAAAGATAAATATGATTTTATCTTTTATTAAGTAAGTAAGGTTGACAAGGGAGAAATAGGTTAGTAACTCGAGGACGTCAACTCAAGTTTCATGAAGGACATAACATATCCCAATTATGCCTTATAAACTTTATTCAATTAACACTAACATGCTTTTTAATAACATATTATTTTATATAATTTCAATGTAGTAAACATTTCTTAAATATCTCCCTTATTATTTCCTAATAATTTACTGTAAACACGAAATGAAGAATTTATCTAAAATGTTATTAATTTTCCTTATTTTGAGGTCTTTGTCAAAAATTAAATATGTTAAGTATGATAGTTTGTTCTTATTCAGCGGCTCCTTGTCAGTTTAATTTTAGTAAAGCTGCATTTACTCGCATATTTTATTAAATTTACTGTTTTAACATGACAACAGACCCCTGTTTTAAATAATACTATTTAGTATATTATGTGCTATACTTTTATATAATCGTGTATAATAAAATAAATCAACAGATTCTTAGATTAATTAGTTCAAATTGAGATGAACGGTTCCTTTGATCCTATTCCCTGAAGCCAAACAAATGTTAATTAAAGATCACAAGTTGTGACACGAGACCGTCATACTCTCGTAATTGTCATTTGGATTTGAAGCCCATATCTAAATTAATCGAGTCAAACTTCTCGCATATTTAGATATTATATAATTACTAGCTTTTACTCGCGACTCCGTGCGCATGAAATAAAAAAAAAATAAAAGTGAGTAGCCTATGTGTGTTCTTCCATATTATCCTCTACATCTATATCAAATTTCATCAAAACCCGTTCAGCCGTTTAGGCTACAAACTCTAACAAACATCCATCCACCTAAACTTTCACATTTATAATAACAGTATGATATGAATATAGGTACTTTGTAGCGCAATTAATGCACATTTTTAACTGTTTTTTTAATTCAAAAGGTTTTTCGCGTTTTTACTCAAAGATATGTTAAATTAATGTTAACTGTTTTTATATTTATAAAGTTTTTCATGTGATTTATTTTATGTTGATACTCTAAGTTATGTTATTAACTAAATTCGTATATAATGTAAAGACAGAGATCACTTCTTTAACGTTACATAATAAATCTTCAAATGTGACTGCCGGCATTGCCGGCATTACTCATGCCGATGATTGACATATACATGTTTAGATATAATCTTATTCACCAACAACATAAAGATGTAAACAGAGATTAAGAATAAAGCACCGTTATGACACAGCATTTATAGTTGCTAAGTCAATTTTTTTTTTCTTGACTTAATAAAGAGTGCATATCCCCGTTCAAATTGCCCTCTCACTTTGAACCTGTCTTTTCCTTTAATACAGGGTTGGTTTGAGTGGCTCACTGGACGGCAGCCAAAGCAACAGGAGAACATTGACCACGGCGGTGAACTTCAGTGTATGCTGCCAGGACCGGATCGAGCCAATGTCGGAGAAATATGCCTGCTCGCTGAGAGTCCTTATCGTATTTTGAGGGTAAGTATTTTTGTATAAATAACATATTCCTGATGAGACGTGAGTGGAATAAAGACAGATGTACTGGTGATTATTGTTCCTGTGAAATTCCACGGAATGAAACATATTGTTGAGTAGATTTTTTTCAAAGATAATAAGAGGATTATCATTAGATAGTAAAAAACTTGCTAATTATTTTTAGGTTAATACAGATATTATTTTTGTTTTAAGAACTATAGATATAAAATTATTCGTTCAATTTGGGTATTGCAAGCAATGCAGTAAACATATAAATATGTAATAGGGAAAATGAACGTTAACATATAGCTACGTAAATAGGATACTTTATCAAGAGATAATAGACATGCATATTAGATAGCATTATCACTAGTCGAAATATTAGTTACAGGTTGAATCGTTTGCAGTCAGAATATTCATGTTTTGTTCTTTTTAATATGCATATATAATATTAGAAGATTTTTGTTAGTTCACTAATATTTCTTTAATCATTCCAACTAAGCTCTAAGATTGTGCTAGGATATGGTTCATAATAGTCTAATGGTGAGATTCGAACCCGAGACCTCATGAACGCTAGTCCGCACCCCAAACTATTAGGCTATTTGCGCTTTGGAATAAGTGTTTTCATCTCACATTTGTAATGATGTAATTTCACAGGGTTGTGATAGTATTAAAAATAGATTTAGTATGACTTTAAGTCTAATGAGTAGAAATTTTCAGTCTAAAAACAATATTTTTAATCGTTTCAACTAAATTATAGTAATTGTCAACCGTTGTTGTGTAATGTGATGCAAATAAACAAACCACGTATGAAGTGGTGTATCCATTTACGTTGGGTTTTCACTGCCCTTATTATTTTATCCTTACCATAGTCATTTAAGTTTTATTTAAAGGTAACACCATGAAAATCTTGCGTTTTCTGTTTTAAGTAAACTACTAACAAAATAAGTCACAAGGGAAAAATGAAGTTGGTAGTACAATTATACGGACGCAAAAGTTTTTGGATCCGGTCCAGATGTATGTCTGGATAAATTTTTCTTAAATAAAACTGTAATAAAATACACTTTAAAGTTCAATTCGTACTTGTAAATTGTATCATATTAATATTTGCCAAAGGTATAATAATTTTTTCCCTCTCAGGATTCTTCAATCGAAACTATTTCTTCCAATATCAACCATCCACCTTTTACTATCTCTCCACTGCAACTTTAAGGCACCGACTAATTAGAGAGCTAGAGAAATATTTAATTAAAAAAAATCAATTTGGTTTGTACTCTTAATGGAAGAATTCGGGTGAAAATTCGGAAAACTTTATTGGATGCAATTCATATGGTTTCTTGATGGACATCCAATTACACATCTGATGTCATCATGACGGAGCCACGTAATGATTTTCATTCATTTTGCTGGCGATGACATTTACAAGACTTGAACGATTTCGAAATGTGAGGTGTTAATTGAAATTTGTGGATTGGAGAAATTCAATCATCCGTGTTTATTTTAATTAATCTCTCCTAGGCATCAATCCAATCACCATTTCAATTTTAATATAGGGCGAGCCTCTTGTTAAAAACTATTATATTCAATTATATTCAAATAGTTTAGGCTAGGCTTATCATCAACGTGCCTTTTTCCCTACGAAGGGTCAGCATAGTATGTGCTTCTCATCCATACATTTTTTTCAGCCGTCATATCTGAATCCACCCTCTTCTTAAGCATATCCTCTTTCATAGAATCAATCCATACGTTCTTCGGTTTATGTTCCCATCGCCTCTTCGCATAACGTGTCCATGCACCCTTATGTTATTAACTAATTAATATAAATTCTATTTGATATAGACTTCGAATTTAAAATAAATCAAAGAAAGTAAATTCGAACTCGTTACTCCTATACAATGAAACCCCATTCTTCAATGATATTGCAATAAAGAGAATTAAGATAGCGGTGAGCTTGTTGGTCTACGTAATGGACTAAAGCTGTATTGTGATTAGCTGATAAGTGTAGCACTCGAACGTGGGGGAGCATTTAAACTATTCTAGATACTAAATAAACGTTACACGCGGCTGCAAAAGTCCATATCATTATTATAATATGTTTTTATTTCGTCGAGCACATACATTACCAAATATACCAGTGACACCGACAAAATTGAAAGAGGTCAGTGCTTTTCATTTACTCTTACACGCTTTGTATTTGGACTGAAAGAGACAAAAGACTTAATTGAATCATAACAAAAGTTTTTAAGAGTTACCTTGTATTATTTAAATTGTTAGAAAATCTCGGTGGATTATAATAACTAGAGCTAAAGCTATAAACATAAGAGCATTTTTTGGTATAAATATTTAATCATTTATTTGTCAAAACATCATTTAATAATTATAACTTTTCAAAAGCCATTTGTAAAAAATCTACGCTGAGCGCTAAAGTCACGGTATCAAAGGGTTGATGTACTTATACACATGTATCTTTATGGTAAAATATGTTAAAGCCAGATGCTTTAGGAGTGTTTAGCTAAAATAGTAAAAAACGTGGCGCACATCATATGCGTTGCTAAGCAACGAAGATGCATCTTCGCTTAAACTGTCATCCAGTTTTAATTCGCCTTTTATCTATTTTTCTTAATTTTTGATGTAAAATCTTCATTTGATGTGTGATGTGTGAATTTGCTCCTCAGAAAATCGCAAATGTATTTAAATATTTATTTATTAATTTGCCAATTCAGTCAAAAACATTGCGATATAAATTGGGATTTCTCGATGCAGTTTTCTTCATTAATTTTCTTTTCTGAGATAGAAATGCACAACCGGCTTATCGATATTCTATGTTCGAAACATTTTTTCTTACAAATGGCATCGCTACTTTTTTTTTTAATTGATAATAAGGCATTGTATTAATTTGGTCAATATCTATTTTATTACAATAAACGATAGAATGGATTTGTAAAACAGCTTGTTTTACAGATTTTTTTTTTAATATCGAGATAACTTGCAAAAGTTAATTGTCTTATCCCAGTCCTATCCACTTTTGCCATCGGTCATCAAAATGCAGGGCGGTTTTTAATTCATTTTATGTTGACGTTGTTAACGACAGGGAGCAAAGCTCTGCTTTGAATGTGCGGCACGCATCAAATGCAACGTCTCGCTCCGGCTTTTTAATACGTCGTACAGAAAACTAAGAAAACTCTAGTCTTTCCAGTAACTTCCTTATTTAGAATAAAAGTAATTTCACATATATTTAATGACAACGAAATAATTCTATTTCAATTCTGACTATTTATTAAACCAGATAATTTTTATACCAAGACTTTATGTTCTGGTTCAGATTAAAGTTGAGCGACCTCAAGCAGATCTGTTCAGAGCGTTGCTCTTTGTAAAGTATGTGGCAAATTTACATAACAATTAGCAATAGCGACTCAAGAGCTTTTGTGCGACTCCTGCCATACAAAAACATACTCAATATGATCATGAGGCAGCCTTGTTTTATTGTATCCTATATTGCAGATACATGGATATGTAACACAATTGAATAATGCAAAATTTATTTGTTAATATATTTACAAATAAATCACAACTGAATAGCTCATGATACTTTTGTGTTTGTGTATACTTTGTCTGTAAATAAACTAAACACCCGAAACTCGGAACGAACAATCTGGAAACAAAATATCGCGAAACAAAAAGAGAACGTTTACACTTGACATTGCGTCGTAGAGTCTCTACGGGAGGCGGCAGATCGTAGCGGCAGTGAGAGCTACGCGCCGGTCACAGCTACGCGGCTACACCTGTTAATTCGCTTTCATCTTAATCCTCGGTACACTCGTGTTCATTTCCGACTTCGAATTAAAATAAATATTTAAAGTAAAATTTCTAATACATTAAAATGTTTATTTTAGACTAAAAATATAACTTTTTAAATTACCAAACGTAAAATAAATTTGAAAACATTTTAAACCTTAGTAAAACAAATCTAACCACATGAACAATAAACCTCATTTCAAAAGTGCCGGTATCAAATTACCACGGCATTGGTCCAAAATGTTTGGACTTACTAACGTAAATAAAGGTGACTACGAAGAGATATTGCAGGTAAGTGGGTATGATAAAATACTAATTAAATCACGACATTGAAGAAGCAGTTAAAAATATTGATTTATTATTTTTTACAAAAAGAAAACATTGATACCTCCAAGTTTTAAGTCGCTACTCTTGCTTTAATTGTTTGATAATATTCATATAATACTATGAGTTTAGTTAATTTATTTTTAGTGTTCAAAATAACTACTGCTGCGTAATAACTAAAGCAGATTTACAGAAACACTGATAAGCTATCATCTAGCTTATTGAAGTTTTTATGTTTTCTAATAGCAAAAGTTCAGTCGAATATTTTACGCAGGAACTTTTGCCGCTGTAAGTCAGTGATAATGGGTCTCAACTCGCTTCGAAAATGATAACATTTTATAGCTTTTATCTTAAATATTCATAAAATATTATTGTATAGTTTACTTGGATTTTTTTTATTATGAGTAGCACTTGCCATAATACATAATTAGCCATGTATGGGTTGTTCCAGATTATGTTCGACATTTAGGCCAAATTTCTTTGATATTCGTTAAGTCGTTTTGGAAGTACATAGTAACAGTCACTCATCCAACAACTCATTTATTAATGAGTGATTTAGGCCATCTTATTAGCCCATCTACTTGCAGTCATAACCTTTTATGCAGTTCGTTTAGTCTGCAAATAACATTGGGAATATTTTACCAGATGTTACCAATGACCTTTTCTGAAAGTCGCATGCAACGAAACATTTGTTTTTCAGTTAAATGGACGTACAACTAGCAATATCTAATACGTTCAATTAAATGTGAATTCAAGAAAAAGTGAATTTTATTGTACGTTTGTTTACTTTATTCTTTATTCTTTATGATTCTGTAGGATCTGTCTAGGATGCCTAAAGATGTTTTCTATATTTTTTATTTCGACACATATTAAAAAATAACATATTCAGTAATTTATAATACCGAACATCTATTCATAAGTAAAAAAATGAATAGTGATTATCCTCTACTGTATTTATTATTTTCATAACACCCTTTTTTTCTATTTTAATGGGTAACATTTTAACATAAATAAAAAAATATATAACTTTAAGACAGTAAGAATTTCGTCTAATATTGTAGTTATTATTTCAACTGTTCAGTATAAAATTGTTTCATAACCTTGTTTTAGTTTAATGGAGTTCCGGTCTTTCAAAGCTGACGGGCAACAGTTTCTTTTGTGAAATGTTAATTTAAAAAAACTCAGAGCTGTGTTATTAGGGTTACGAAATGACTTCAAAATGATTTAAAAAAACATTATAGTTGGCGGCCTTAAGTAATAATCATTATCATGTATGTACCATATATGCTATACGTATACAATACAGTAAGTAACAATCTGCTTATGTAAATGTAAGGGTGAATAATTTAACCTTAATCTTGAAAACATCTTGGTTACCTTCTTACTTTACCTTGAAAGTTAAGAACTCATACAAAATCATATTTGCGCATCAAAAGTAAACAAGGCTGACGGTGAAATAAACATACGTCACTGATGACAAGATTCCAACCCACTGAATAAGAATGATTTAACGGAATATGTAATGTGACTTTTACACATCAAAACATATATCATTTTTATATAGCATTATATTACGTACTCTTATGTATTGGATTGTCACACGTGTATGCAATAGAACATTAACGGTTTAATGGCTGTGCTGTTACTTGTACTTTTGATGCGGACCGAGTTATCAAACGGAGTAACAACTTTTGTCCATTTCCCTAAAGCTCGCTATACACGTTCGTTTTAACTGTATAGTAAAACTGACATGTGTGGATAAAATTGAGAACTATACACTTTTACTGATAGTTTTGCCTACACACGTTAGGTTAGGTTAGTTAGTCTGTAACTTTAAAACTGAACGTGTGTAGCGGGCTTAAGGTTATTGATACACTTGCAGTGACACGTGTAACCGCTGTAATATCTAACATGTCAAGTGAACTCGGGCAATTTTATATCATCGCGGAGCAGTCGTTAACTAATGCTGAAATTTCACTGCCGTAGTTGTATTAAAACTTTATTATTCCTTTTATTTTAAAATGTGGAGGAGAGATCACAATATATTTTTACACAAGTGATTCGACTAATTTTACTGAAATAAACTATCTTTAGATAAAATAAACATTTAAGCACCCACTTTAACTGCGTGAAACTTTGGCAAAGCTGGTCCTGACTTTAGCTTTATTCTAAGCTACACCGCTTAAGCCTTGTTACTGTGTTAGTTACTACCCTTACTTAAATTTATGTATTCAAGAATACGGATTAATTTAAAGATAAATAAACAGACGACACGAAGATACGATTTTAAAAAAAACCTTTATTCCTCTCTCGCATAGTACATAACATCTTAGCTTTTGAACCTATGCCTTCTTTTTTTGGATTCCTAATTATCATCGACTTCGCTAATGACTAAAAAAGAACTGTTTTTAAGCTACGAGTAACTAATAATATTATTTCAGTTAATTGCATACTTAATTGAAGTAAATAAAGTTGGTCTGATATTGCGTAGTAACAGTAACTAAATGTTTTATTCACTTAATTGTTATTTGGTGTCAAACGGAGCATTCGCGATAAACCTCCATTAAGTTGATATCGACAGGTGTTAATATCATTTCTTTTCGCTTATCGGATTAATAATTATTTCTTGCCTGGCCTCGTTTTTATTTGCCACAAAGTGAACATTGACTTATATACAATTTGCAAAATAATTTAGTAACCTGACAGCTTAAATAAATAAAAATCTTTTATAGCATATCTTCTATGACTTCTTTGTCAATTATCATTTCCTCTAAAGATATATAGACAAACTTCCTGCAATTGAGAGACGCCTTTTGCAGAACACGTACAAGTCAAGACACGATCGTTACTGAATTCAGATTAAGTGACTTCAAATCCATAACATCGCGAGCTTTTTTAAATTAGTATATTAGTATACAATATTTGTAATTTACCTAAAAATACAATTCTACTATGTAGAACTAGTAACATTCAAATAAATCTCGACTTTAAAATTTTATTTCTAATGAGTTTTTGCTTCACGAAGAGCAAAGGTTGTTTTCTAAGATGAAAATATCACAAGTTTCCACAATTGAATAAAGTTATTTTCAAACCTCCGTTTCTTGGTGAAAAATATATCACTCAATATTAGTGTCACAGCATTTATGGTAATTTATTAAATGTAACAAGGTTATTATTTTCATCTTAAGCTTTAACATATTTTTTAGTGTTACAGTGTAATAATTCTATCAGATTTTGATTTACACTTGTTATTCAAGTTTTGGTTACAGCACAATGGTATTATAAACTGTTTGACATCTTCTTGGCTTACTATTCACACTTACTCATCTGATACCGATTTATTTTTCATTTACACTATCGAGTACTTTCGATTTAATCGCTTTCTAAACTAAATTATATTGTACTTACTAAAGCTCCAATCAGACGCAGGTGTTTTCATTGCAAGCAATTGTATCTGAATTAATTTATAAACCACTAGTACTTTAATTAAAATTACATCTGGATATATTTTGCTGAACATCTTTGGTTAAACTAAGTTGAATATTTACTGAGCATTTTATAAGTTCGATATGGAGTAGATAGAATTGTGCAAGATCCGTAGAATTCACAAGATGTTTGTCCTTAATGGGCCAGAGATTGGAGCCATTACGTGAAATCCTTTAAAGAATGTTACGGCTTTGATCGTATTTTTCATATCGAATTAGAAAAGATAGAAGAGTTTGAGTTGTTTGTCTAAAATTAACTTTGAACATCACGATTTACACATACATATCTTTTAGATCTTCTTTGGTTTTTGATGATCCGTGATACAAAAAAGCAACAGTAGCGAGGAATATTTTCCAGGCAAAACTTCTAACATTATAAGGTTTTAGTTTACCAGAAGTTGTCGTTATGTTCAACTATTGATAGCGAATTATGTTTGTCAGTACTAAACAAAGCCTATCTACATAATCTCCGAATGCCAATTTGCAGAATGGGACAATATGGTGGTCGTTTAAGCAGTAAAGTAGTCTCGCATTGGTCAGGCGTCATAGTCACAGACCGTAGGGATCTGTATCCATACTGTTCTTTGTTCAATTCCTACTGATACTTTATAAGATATTTTGTTAATAGGCAGCGGAAAGCGGCAATGTGGAAGATTTTATGCGACTATATCTAAACGAACCGTCGCGACTCAGCCTGCGAGACCCGCGCGGTCGCACCGCCGCGCACCAGGCTGCTGCCAAGAACAATGCCAACATCCTGCACTTTATAAACAACTACGGTGGCGGTTAGTATGCTTTAATATTTATCGAATGTCGCCCGCGATTTCATCTCCTGGAAATTAAAAAAAAACAACTAAGTTACTTTTGTTTTCTTTCAGACTTTAATCTATCTTTGGTCCAGTTTTTATCGCTCTTCTAGATACTCGATGTAAAAAAACTTAAGCATTTAAAACAAATCCGATTCCCAAAACCATTTCTAATTTTAATGTTTAGCGAAAAATAATTAACAAATTGAAGTTTTCATTCCCATATTTCATACCTTTAGATAGTTCTAATTTTAACCCCGAATCAGGTCGCGCGGTATTTAAATACTTAGTATATGTTATTCCAGACCTTACTCAGGTCTACATCTGTGCCTTTCATTGAGATCCGATGAGACGTATAGAGTTATCTTCTTACATCTATTCATTTTAAGTTACCTATTTTAAATTTAGTGAGAAGTTGTACTAAAATTTAGTACTATTCATTATTCACATCAGTCAATATCGTAGAAAAATTGGAAATGAGCAGTATATTTGCAGCCTCGTCATCCATTACACAATTTCGTGACATGGATAATAAACAGTCAAGTTTGGAAATTTTAAAACATTGTTCGTCTTAAATATTTTTCGTTGAAAGTAAGAGAAAAGGTTTCGCTAAAAATATATTTTGTACAAAAATACTTTTAAAGTTTCTAAAAGTTACATTAAAAAGATAATTGGAAAACTGTGTTGGGAACTTATAGCATTTATTTATGCATAGAGTTGCACGCGACATGAAACTTTATTCTCATCATTCGCCAAGTACAAAGCATAATTACTAATGGACAGCAGCCCTACCGGTTACTACATTGAGAAAACTTAAAGATGGAAATAAAAACCAAAATGAAAGACTTTACTTACCGAACACTTAAAAATTACTTCGTTCTTTTAAAAGAACCTATGAAAACTCAAAGTGCAACCTTGTTACTAACAGTTAAGCTTGTACTATCTTATATCATCCTAAAATAAAATAATAGCAATTTTCCGTTTTTACTTATTTGCTCCCTAATTTAATTAGGCCCCTTTTCATCAACTCGAAAAAAAAATAATGTAAGCTCAACATGTAATTTTGTTTAGTAGACTTGGGAACCCGTGATAACGCTGGTAACACCCCGCTTCACGTGGCAGTAGAAAACGAAGCTCTCGATGCCATCGAGTTTCTTCTTCAACAGTGAGTGTTACTACATAATTGTACAAATTATCATACTAGTTACTTATTTGTTTAATAATTTATTGGCTTGTCCTTAGATACCAAAGGGAATTAGCTCAACAAATGCTTTACAGTAAAAGTAATTGACTCAACATATTTACGAACTTTAAAGCTTAACATTAAATCCTTTTATCTTTTCGAATACGCTTAATGTTTCGAGGTAATGATGTTTTGTTCTTTATAATGGAACACTGAATATTTGATAGAATTATTACACTGAAAATTTCGGCTTAAAAAATGACGAAGTTACGTTAATTTCAAGACGAAATATTTTTACAATATTAGATTGTTTAGAATAGAGTTTTAATATAGTATATCTTAGTATTTACAATCTTAGTTAGTTACATATTTACATGAATTTTAAATATTCCTTTGCAGAAAAGTAAACACTGGTATATTGAATGAAAAATCACAGGCACCAATACATCTTGCAACCGAATTAAATAAGGTAAAGTTGTTTTATCATGTGGTAAATGATTTAAAAAAATATTTGTAATTCATAAATAGAAAATAGAGACACACTTGTTAGACAATCAATGAACATAAGCATATACCCCTTGCGCTTGTACTAAAACCAAAGCCCTGTCTTTGTACAATTTACTGATGTGTGCCTCTAAAGGTAGGCGAATAGTTATGAGCGCGATAATCTTATACCGACCTCCAGTACAATGCCGTCTTGCGCCCACCCTCGCGCCGGTGCACTAATCCATTGCGTTTTCAACAACATTTTGATCACCTTCACGTATACCCATTTAGTAGATTTGAATCAGGCCACTGCTCGAGTGAGTTATCTAAAGCTGATGAACCCCTAGAATTTCAAGTTTGAGTATAGCACTTGTCCTCAGACACTTTAAGACTATAAGCACTTAAAAATCTTTGGACAAAACAGCAGCTATGTGTAAATTTGACGTTCCTCTTATTTTTAATGTAAAGAATGTAATAAAAATCACAAAACGGATCAGATTATTTATTTAATAACTAAATTCATATAGTATTTGGTAATCCTATTATATGCATATGGATGTATTTAAAATTAAACAAACTGAAGGCTACGCCACTGCGGCGTAGTGCAGATCTCTACCGATGAATATAACTCCTCCTCCCACTCACCATGTGGATTTTTTGTCCCGGCATCTAAAATAATACACCTTAAGAATAAACAAAGTTTTATGAATTGCCTTCTAAAGTCTAAGAGAATCACTGAATCGTCTATGACAGTATTTCCCAGAGTAGACCGGCTTGTTCCGTTTACCTAACCAGTTAGGTAACAAGAGTTTTTCTTGTTTCCTAACTAGTTAGCAAAGAAGAATATTTTTTCAGTTTTCGTAACCGGTAGGAAGAGTATACGTTTTATTTTTCGGGTCTCCTATTACTATAATTTTATTATTAAGTAAAGTATTACTTTTCCTTCAAATTCCAAATAGTGGCTGTGTAGTGTCCGCCAGAGTGATATTGGCCGTGTGGTTTCAGAGAAAGTAGTAGTAGCGGTTTGGTATCCGGACACTTGCATTTTTGCTTGCCGAAGGCCTAACTTTGGTCGATTGTCACCTTATGGTATAAAAAAATGAAATAAGAATTCTGGAATTGGCAAGAATCCCGGGGCATAAAACATAAAAACCGAGAGCAAACGTAAAATGTCAATTAGATCGATATTAAATTGCGCTAGCTATTTGGTCTTGACATCGATAGCGGATCGTTTTGACATGGAATTGATGACATGAAACTAGTAAAAACTTGACTGGTTACGAAAACGGAAAAAAATGTTCTTCTTTGCTAACTAGTTAAGGATCAAGAAATAAATTTCATGTTACCTAACTGCTTAGGTAAATTTGGTTAGGTAAACGGAACAAGCCGTTAGATCTTGGTACCCACGGTTATTCCGGCGAGGGTATATCATAGCAGATTGTATAATTAAAAGGTCACTAATCGAAGTATACTTTAGAAATCCCCGATCAAAGCAAATTTTACCTATTAATAGATTGTATGATTACCAGTCTTCACAGCATCAGGTTTTGATGTAGGGAGTAAAAGGTCATCACTGGCACCTGAGCCAAGATGCGCCGCCAATTTGTTTAACCTCCACATCCTTACTTGCCGGCTAAGCCCACACGCTTCTCGAACGCACAGCATTTCGTAAAGCTCTAACAAACACGATCCGGATTAAATATATATTTATATAAGTAAATACTTACATAAATATGTAAGTACTCCAATCTAAAAAATCGCGTCTGAAAGAGCTTTACGCTATCCCAGAAAAATATTTTCTATTGCTTTATTATCTCATTGTCGTCTCTTGTTAGATTGTTTGATGTATGATTATTCTTTCGTTTATTCTTGACGTTATCATTATTTTTAAATTTTAGAATAAAATACTTATAAAATTGACGTGTGCCATTATTTATTTGATATAAAAAAGAGGTTTTGATATAATTATTTTAACACATTAATAGCACTGATTTCTATAAAACCCACCAGCTCACCTTTAGTTTGATTATACAATTTAACTGTTCAAACTAGTCCCTTGTTTTTACAAACTATTAAATATATTATCTCTTTTTATCTAAAGCTTGAAAGAGTATATAAATAAAATACACGAAAACTATCTTTTAATAACAAAAGGTGTGGGCGGCTAATGAAAGAAAAGTTATCTTGGGTCGAACTAAATTGTAAAAGCTCGCAAACGCCACCCTTTCAATGTCAAAAAGTCTCATAAGATCCTTTCTATACACTGACATGTATAACTACCGGCGATAGCATGCGACATTTAGTGCCTATTTGATATTCAACTTCTAACAAACATTCATCTATCTAGTCGCATTTATTAGTATAAATATGTGTTTCAATATGAACTATATAAAATTTGCAGGTGTCTGTTTTGGAATTATTTTCCAAATACAAAGACGTGATCAATGTTGACCTCGGTGGGGAACACGGCCGCACGGCGCTGCATTTCGCTGCCATCCACGATCATGACCAGTGTGCCAGGATTTTGGTACGACCTATCTTCAAAATCAACAAAATATCGTATTAACTCTATCCATTTTATGTAATGTGATGTTTATTATCTGATGACTAATAAAAATAATATAGACGATGTGTCCTTCCAGGCTAAATAACATGTTAATTTGGTAGTATCAGTAGTATCTAAGTAGTAGTAGTATTTGGTAGTAATCTAGTATAAGTATTATAGTATCACAAATATTTAAAAAAAAACGAGGTATTTTTACAGATTACAGACCTCGGGGCGAATTCAAAGCGTTCGTGCAACAACGGCTATTATCCGATACATGAGGCAGCGAAGAATGCGTCATCTAGGACTATGGAAGTATTCCTGCAATGGGGCGAGTCTAAAGGATGCAGTAGAGAGTCTATCATATCACTATACGATAGCGAGGGTAATGTACCATTGCACTCCGCGGTTCATGGCGGTGACATCAAAGCTGTAGAGCTCTGTCTCAGATCGGGAGCTAAGATTTCTACGCAACAGCACGATCTATCAACGCCTGTTCATCTTGCATGTGCACAGGTAAGATAGAACTGAGCTTTCGACGTAGCAATTTCAATACCAGACTATAATTAAGTCTCATTTCCACAAATTAATATTTACAGGGCGCCTTAGAAATTATTCGATTGATGTTTGAAATGCAGCCAAAGGAGAAGAAAGCTTGTCTTGTCTCATGCGATGTGCAAATGATGACGCCCATTCATTGCGCTGCCATGTTCGATCATCCTGATATCGTGAGCTACTTGATATCTGAAGGCTCAGATTTAAATCCTTTGGATAAGGAGAGGCGATCTCCTTTGTTGTTAGCTGCTTCTAGGGCGGGATGGAGAACAGTTCACACTTTGGTAAGCTTGTAATTTATGTTAAAATGTATTAACTTATTAGAATCTTTAATTGCAGTAAGTAGTTATTTAAATCCTCCCAAAGAATACTCTTCAACGTCTAAAAGATTGTCATATCGTATAATTATATTACAGATCCGTTTGGGAGCTGATATTAAGCTGAAGGATATGAACGCAAGGAATTTATTACATCTTGTTGTGCTCAATGGTGGACGGCTTGAAGAATTTGCTGCTAGCTGCAAAGTAATTAGTTTAAATTTTCGTAGTTTTAAGTTACACTACTCGAATTTATGTTACATCTTCACACTATATGATTTAAAAATGACTATACTAAATTAATTTACTGTACTAAATTAAAATACTTGTTATACCTATTCAATATTACCTTACTTTCTTATAATGATTAGTGCACGTATAATATTTGTTTTGCAGGACCACTGTGAACAGGGTCTGATACAAATGCTGAATGAAAGGGACAGTACCGGCTGCTCCCCACTGCACTACGCTAGCCGAGAAGGACACATCAGATCTTCGGAGAATCTCATAAAACTCGGAGCCATCATCAACCCCAAGAATAACAAGAATGAGAGCCCTCTTCATTTTGCTGCCAGGTAAAAGTAACCTAAGATTTTTTACTAAAGGTCTTTTAGCGTTTAAACTATCGTATATTTTATGTTTAGCATAATACTTAAGTCTTTAATGTAAGAGGCAATAAACTTCTTAAATCTTTGTTATATAACATTTGCAACCATTGACTTTTTTCAAGTCTTCTTTAGATGGGATCGGCACAACAAGTTCTCTTCTTCCTCATTGATCCACATGTTTACTATCCATCCGTTTATTTTTCATCAGGGTTTAAATTTTGATATCATAATATTTCAGATATGGACGCTTTCATACAGCCTGTCGTCTTCTCGATTCAGACAAAGGTACCTGCATTATGAACGAAAACGATGGAGAAGGTTTGACACCTCTGCATATTTCCTCTCGGGAGGGACATACTAAGGTGGTACAGCTACTTTTAAACCGTGGTGCCCTGATCCATAGAGACCATAACGGTCGCAACCCATTGCATCTGGCTGCTATGAGCGGATACACGCAAACGATTGAGCTATTGCATTCAGTACATTCACATCTGCTAAACCAAAGTGACAAAGATGGAGTAAGTAATCAATTATTTTGAATAAATTTAATTTAAACAGATGCTTTCTATTGGACTGATTCACTTGGGAATTGATCGTATGGATGCGATCGCCAAACATGGGACCATCGTTTAAGTTTTCCAAATTTTTTTTTAATTGTTGTTGTCTTAGTACCCTTTGGTTTCTTTCTTACCTTGCTGGTAACTTGGTAGTTTGACTTCGTGTTTCATATGCTGGCTGTATGTTATTACTGAACTTAATATGTATCTCGTTAATTTAATTCTATATCACTGTTATCTAATGTCAGAACACTCCACTGCATTTGGCTACAATGGAAAACAGACCAAATTCGATTGCATTGTTGCTGTCAATGGGTTGTAATCTTACTTACAACAATCTGGACATGAGCGCGATTGATTACGCCATTTATTACAAGTTCCCGGAAGCAGCTCTTGCTATGGTTACCCACGAACAAAGGTAAGAATATTATTTTTAATCATATTTACATAGAAAAGAAGGCATGATCACGACGCATATGGAGTTTGTGTAAAGATTTATTATTTCCGGAGAATTTTAAGAGAAAAAAATTTCCATTAATTACAACTAGAGAGTTCTACTTTTTATTTTTTTCTGGGGCAACAAAGGCGTCTTACTTGACTGCGCTATTTTGTTTATTAACGTTCGTTTTAATCCATACTGAAAAACATGTACATAGAGAAAGTGGTAGGTACCTAATAGTTAAATCTTTCAGGGCAAAAGAAGTAATGGCATTACGTTCTGATCGTCATCCCTGTGTCACTCTGGCTCTGATAGCTTATATGCCCAGAGTTTTTGAAGCAGTACAAGATAAATGTATCACTAAAGCTAACTGCAAGAAAGACTCAAAGAGCTTTTACGTGAGTTCGCCAGATATTGTTTAATACTTATATTTTAAAATAACCTATTTTTAAGCCTCACACTATTACTTATCTTGTGGGTCAAAATCAAGCATGCAGTGCAAATACATTTACTTATTATTACCGTGTATTTTAATTTGAAGACTCCTATTGTAACTAGGTGTTGAATAATTAGATAATTGTTGTTCGTTCTTTCGTATAAAATATTCGTTGTCTGTTTTATTATCATGTAATATAATATCATAATAAAAAAAATTGAAGAATTAAATTAAATATTGACACTCTCATGTTATTCTTAATTTGTTTACAAAATTTAGATCAAATACAACTTTGATGCGCTATGCCCTCAAGTAAATTACGAAGAAGGACCCAGAAACAGAAAATCTGATAACGTCCCGAAATCGCAGGAAATACCATTACCAGCTCTTAATGTAAGTTTCTAACGATTTATCTAGTTAGAAGTTTAACATTTGTTTTCACTCGCTGCAGATTAAGTACTCTTTCAAATACTGCCAGTATTCGAAGCTTGAGATTGAAGCGCAGAGACAGGCGCGTGGCGACCCAAATTACCGACCTGAACCGTTGAATGTTATCAACGTGAGTGAAGTGTCAATTTAGTACACTGACGCTTCGCTTGTGTCCATGTTCTTGTGTGCTGTTTACATCTTGACATTAATCCCTCCTTATAACTTACGAGTATAAGTTGATATAATACTTTCCATCAGCAATCGGCGAGGTACCTTATTAACACAATTGTGTAGTGCACTAAAGATATGTTCATTTTCACCAAATCTAATTCGCCATAAAAGATGTCAATTTAATGTTAGGATACTCGCACTATGTATACGATAACTTCATTTGAATATTTAATTTACAAATATAAAGTAGGTACAAGATTGCGATGTTTAGTTAACAGTTGTTTGGCACATTAAGCACAGAACCATACAGATCACGGCATCGCTTCTGATTCACAGCCAAAACACAACAAATGCTTGAAACATCATTCAAATTGACGGGTTAACATTCGTTATGTGTTTGTTTTGTGAAAATATCCATTAAAAGAACTTTACATACACAAATTAAGGATACAAAGACTCTCCCTTATCTGAAAATATTTTATTCGAAGCTAATCGTATTTGTCTATATGTTTTAAATCAGCACTATGGAAAATGAACTATAATAGCATTGCATTTTTGCTAAGTTTTCCTTCAATTTTTTACAGGCAATGGTAGCTCATGGTCGAGTGGAGCTACTGGCTCATCCACTGAGTCAAAAATACTTACAAATGAAATGGAACTCCTATGGAAAGTATTTCCATGTAGCTAACTTGCTCTTCTATTGCATTTTTCTATCAATTGTTACACTTTACACGTACCTTCTTATGGACAGTGTACCCAATACTGTTCTCTTGAGTAATTCCACCAGTGCTTGTACTTCGTGGATTAGCGATTTTAAAAATTACGTGAATAATATTTCTGGACAAGATAATTTAAGTTCGAAAAGCGCTGATGGTAAGGATGAAATATTAAACTATTAACCTTAAAATCTACACTAGCTATAATTATACTCTATTGTTTCAGATTTTCAAAGGACCATTGCTATGAACATCAGCACTGTTGCTATTTTGGTATACAACTGTATATGTGTGGTTCGTGAGGCCTATAATGTAAAACAACAGAAATGGCATTACTTAGTTGACCCTTCGAACTTGGTATCTTGGATTTTGTACATAAGTTCTACCATGACGGTTTTGCCATGGGTTTTCACCAGCAATTGCAGTGTTCAGGTTTGTTGCCTTCTGTCAAGGAGATTCTGAGAGAATAAGATTAGAGTGTCTGAATTAATTGTTCTATATTTCAGTTTTCAGCTGCCTCTATAACAATATTTCTGGCTTGGTTTGAACTTCTACTGCTTCTTCAACGTTTCGATCAAGTTGGCATTTACGTCGTGATGTTCTTAGAAATTCTGCAAACGCTTATCAAAGTTTTGATGCTCTTTTCAATTTTGATCATAGCTTTTGGGCTCGCCTTTTACATATTACTATCAAAGGTAAGCAGCTAAAGCGATAGAACTTCGTACTTACATAGTGTAGCTTTGCGTTTACTTAAATATTAACGACTATAAAATTGAAAACTCTTTATGCCGATGCCATTTTATGCGATAGATAAGGAAACGGCTTAATGCTAATCTATGCTGAAAAGTTAAACCAACAGATTTATGCAATGGCGAAACTATTATGCGAATTGGCTTAGCGATATTAAAAAGTGATCGAGCGCTAAGTACTTTATCTCAAAGTAAAAGATAAATTGTGCTTGCAAAGTTTCCTGTTATAGTTGCGGTTGCGAATACTTATATGTATTTATAAATTGTAATTATACTTTCCAGGGCAATCATTTATCTTTTAGCTCAATTCCCATGTCAATAATGAGGACGTTCGCAATGATGCTCGGTGAACTTGACTTCCTCGGGACATACGTACACACTTACTACGGCTCTGATTCCTATGCTAGTTTGCTATTCCCAATAGCAACTTTCTTTATCCTAAGCATATTTATGGTCCTGATGCCGATTCTCTTGATGAATCTTCTCATCGGTTTGGCTGTTGGCGATATTGAAAGTGTTCGCAGGAATGCACAGCTAAAGCGCTTGGCTATGCAAGTAAGTTCTTATATAACTAGTAATTTTGAGTTTTTAAACATGTCGTAGTAGGTAATATTAGTTGATATTTTAACATACACTTACTACTATGTCTATTATGCGAAATTTTGAAAATTCGTTGGTTTTTGTCGAATAAATAATAATTTTCGAATTTTAATTAATTTATTAACAAAAGATTATTATTAGAGTAAAGGTAATAAGTGTTTCGCTCACAGGTCGTTTTACATACTGAATTAGAACGGAAACTACCAGCAATGCTTTTGGAAAAGGTGGACAAAAGTGAACTGATCGAATATCCTAACTCCAATAAATGTAAATTAGGATTCTTGGATCTTATACTGAGGAAATGGTTCTGCAACCCGTTCACTGACGACAGTATGTTTATTTTTTGGGCTTTATGAACACTGCTTTCTTTGCGGATGCACTTTTGTATCTATTTGTATTCAGGGTTTTCTTACTGTCTGTTATAATTTTAATGAACAAACAAGAAAGATTAAACATTAGAAGTATTTGGTTGTCTATATGTAAAACGAAATAAGGGTTTAAGCAATGCGATAATCAACTTTGTAACATATGTGGAAAGCGCTACTTCACAAGGTTAATTATTGAAAGTGACAATTTTACTGGCGATTACGTTCCTATGTTATGGTTGAGATGGCGGTTTGATCCTATGATTCCGGTAATTTGTTGGACAAGTATCATTTGTATTTGTTGTATAAAAAAAACTGTTTATGATATCGTGTTAACTCCAGTTTCATGTTTTCAATTTTGTGCAAATTGCTATGATAAAAGCTACTAACAGTTTTGTATAAAATTATAATTTTCGTTAACAATTTATTTAATACAGATGGTCTGGATCTCGTATTGGAAAACAAAGAGGATATAATCACATCGGAGTTGATGAAACAAAAACACGAGATAAGGAACATGAACAGAATCATAAATCAACAACATATGTTGATACGACTTATTGTGCAGGTAAGACAAAACTACATTCGAAAATCACCTTAACTATAATAACTATTTTAATAGATTAAAGGAATGTAAAGACAAACCCAAAATTTATGTTGTAACATGGTAAATGTACCAATAATTTTTGGGTTCACTGAATGTTTGTAGCTTGACATTTAAAACTAGCCTTTGCCCACGACTCCGTCTGCGTATTAAGAAAACAAAAGTGAGTCGGCTATGTGTTCTTCCAGACTATCCCCTACATCTATATCAAATTTCATCGAAATCCATTCAGCCGATTATGCTACAAACTCTAACAAACATCCATCCATCCATCCAAACTTTTGCATTTATAATATTAGTATAGTTGATTAACGTTAACGCGCTATCTAACAATCTTTTTCGTGACGTTTAAATCTCTTTGCTACAGAAAATGGAGATCAGAACTGAAGCGGATGATGTGGATGAAGGTGTATCTGCGAACGAGATCCGAGTGGTGCCGAGATGGAGTTCTCCGAGGCTCCGCAACAATCTGCGTCCCGCTTCCTCATTCAACAAGGGTGGCTGATTGTATGAACCTGTTATCGAGAATCAAAAATATTGCAAATGTGCACGACGCTTCTAGTGGTCAACAAACTCTTGATTTGCAATGTTTTGGTTCTGTTAACTTGATATGGACTTGATTAAGATAAGCTTGTGTTACGATAAAATCTTGCATCTGAACTTTTTGTAAGCGACTATATTTTAGTGTAATTTTATAGATTTTTTTTGTTGGTAGCTTTTTAGACGCAGTTCATGATAGATGATTCTCTCAACATTATTAGAGACATAGATCTATTTATTAGACGTAAGACTATTTGTAAACTTGTAAACTGTCTGCATCTCAATATATGATGTTTTGGTATTAAAATATCAATAGAATACGCATCGGTGAAGAGTAAATAATTTGACTAAAGTTAGCGCTATTGCCTATTAACAATAACGCTGTTAGCAGGTAACCACCGTAGATACTTTTCATTCTTAAATGTTAACTATCTTATCTAATTTAGGTTTAGTCTACTTATAAGGAAAATCCTTACATCGTCTATTATCTTTTGCTATACAAGAAGATTTTCGTAGGTTTAGCTACGAACTCGTCTAAGATTTCTTCTTTCATTCAATATTGTTGTAAGTAGTCAATGTGACATTACCAAAGATTAAAAGATCTCATGATGTAAATGCGGTCTCACTAAGTTTAGAATTAATTGTGTGCTTAAGTATATTATTCAAATTTAATTAATTATATTCATACATAATAATCTGCTTGTTAGTGTCGCTATGACGATATTCGCATTAATGTTACATTTAAGATATCTATTGACTTAAGATAAATCATATTATATTGTAAACGTACTTATTAGAAACAATATTCTTGATTAGTGAATACTATATGAATATAAACTCAAATCCAATAGGGACTAGTATGTAGAAACCTGCAAACAAATCCAACTCAATAACATCCTATTGTTGCTTAATAATATAAATAATCTGAAAAAAAAGTCTTTTTATCCATAATAATAGGCTAAAATTCGGTCATTATAAAAACGAATTAAGCATTTAACTAACGAAAGTACTTCAAGTAGGCAAAATTTGTAATTGTAGAAGAAAATGTCAGGTACTGATAATTTAAAATACATGAAATTAAGTTAAAAATCATAAACCAGCATATACGTAAAAATACATTGGATTAAAAAATAATATAACATCTTCATCTGCTCACAATATGTTCCCATGTTTGGGCTCGTTGCCCTCCTAAGGTAGGAGTACAGCCGTCGCTGGGCCAATACGTATCATCAATGGTCATCATCATCACAGGTATGTGCGAGATATACAATGTTTTACTTCATCGTAAAGAAATATAAAAAAGGGGAAATCAAGCCCTCACATGTAGATTATAGTCGGGTCCGGTCTAGCTCTCAACAAATGCCCGACTCTCATAATATATCTAGGAGTAGTCAAATACTTATCTTACGTATATTTTAGATTTGATAAGTACAAGTTAGTAGAAATAATTAAACAGCGTTATGATTTCGCCATTAAATTACGCTAAGACAGTCCCCGGCTGACACATTTCTTCTTAATTTAATTAAGTAATTAACGTCTAATTGTTTAATATCCTAAAGATATCCAATTAGTAAGTTATTTCTACTATGTTAATGCAAGTGGTTTAATTTGTCTTTATTATAAATAATGTTTAAAGCTTTTTAAGTATTCCCATTGCCACTTGTATAATCACAAATTAAAAGATCTGATTTAAATACGGACACAAAACGTTTTTGTAAGTTTTTTGTTCAGGAAAACTTGCAGTTTAAATTTATATGTATTTGTTATTTTTGACATTATTACTCGTATATCAATAAAGTATTCGTCGCAATATGTGTTTTTTTTTACAATTTAAAGGCCGAGTGCAATAGAAACCTACTACAGTGGAACCTCGATAAGTTAAAGTCAAAGGGAAACACAAAATATTTTATGTTACAAAGGTTTTATGTTATCAAGGGTCTATGATGTAGAGATTTTGGACTCTGATGGGAAGGGAACATATTATTTTTTGAAGTTATAGAGGTTTTTAGGATACCGAGGTTCTTCTGTATCATCTAGCTTTAATACAAAGTGACGTACAAGGAATAAGAGATGTTATAGCCAGTCTTATAGCGCGATGCTATTGTATATGTACCAGTTGAAAATAAAGTACATTTCTAGAACAAAGACATTCCATCTAATGCATTAATAATATGGAAAATGTCACAACTTATATCTGTGAGATGGTACAACTCTTATGTAAATGGCCAAAGATACCTATATATATATTTACTTCTAGGATTACAGGAAGTATGTTGCGCTGCTTTTCGTATGTGCTTTTTGTTGTTATGAATAAGCTAGGCTGTTGAAACTCATAGAAATTTATGAATGTCTTTCAGTGGAAGTTACCTCTTCCTTTGGTTATTTTTACTCGTTGCTATAGTGGATTTTCTTGTCACCAATTTTCCTACAGTTCAGTTGTTCCTTTATCATTATCTTAGTACAGCAACAGGTTGGCGGACCCAGTAAACTACAGGATTGTCTATTTTAATCGTTGCCGTTATACGCTTTAAATCTTAAAGTTCGAATTTAACGACATCCGAAGAGATCTGTAAATAACAAATTTCACGTACATTACCATTGGAAAGAAAGAAGCGATAAAAAACATTAGTTATAAAACTATTTCGCCAACGTTAGCTAAAATATTAAAACACTATTTAAATAGGGAAATTTATCTCCGTTACATTCCAATGACTGCACAGAGTGCAAATGTACCAACAAACGTTCATAGAAATGTCGAGTAAAACGTTCATTGTCACCAGCCAGCAATAACGAGAGAAATTTAACACTATTGTTCCCCTTCCTACTGAAATATTATAAATTTAGATAGCACATGATTCGACATTTCATTTTCGCATTTGTGCTCAAAACACTTCATTGTTTTTAAATATGGAAATAAAAATAATTGTGACTTTTCTTATGTTAGTAAAGTTTTGCGAATGTAATCAGACGGCAAATGAGAGTCTATCAATGAAAACTATGATGAGGAGACGTCACGCCACAAAGTTAACACGGAACAGAGGTTTCACAAAAAGTCAACATGATACACAGAAATTTGAACACAGCATTTGGCAGCCTGTACAAAAAGAGAGCAGATGTAAGTAACACGCAATGAAGTTTCATTCCAATTGACTACTTGTAAAATAGTTTTATTCAAAGCCAATTTCCATTTAAAAGATCTCTCTTTTACATTTTCTTAATTACTTTCCTATAAAAAACTATAGCAATCTAATTACAGTTGTGAATTAATTACGTCGTGTTTCAATTAAAGTCTTTCGAGCTTCTACGCTTTGACAATAAATTTATTAGAAGGACGTTTTCTGCCATATAAAATATTCATATTTAAATCAAAGATTGAAATTTTTGAATAAAAAAAAAGATTTTCTGTGTCCTGATGTCATAAGTCCTGAATACGAATCCTACATTTAATTAAAGGATTGGCTTTGGATTCAAATGGTTTCACATTTCTTTAATTTGTATTTCTACAGTTCTGTCTTTGTTCACTGTGGTAACTTTCCCCAATGGTGGTTGCGCCGGCGCATCGGGTGACAACGGCACTTGCATGACAGCTCGAGAATGTTCTTCAAGAGGTGGCTCGGCTAACGGTTACTGCGCTAATGGATTTGGCCTTTGCTGTATTTGTGAGTACAATATTAATATACCCTAAAAAAAAAAACAAAAGGGATGAATAAATTATTACTGACTTAGTTGTGTGCAAATTACGAAAATCTAAGTAACATCTATGCTATAGTTATGACGTCATGCGGCAGTAGCACTTCAGAAAACGGCACTTACTTCGTCAATGCCGGATATCCTGCGCCCTATGATGGTGGTGGTTCTTGTGAACTCACAATTGTTAAATCACATCCGGAAGTCTGCCAGATAAGGTAAAGAACTAGAAAATTTCTTCGTTTCTTTATCCATTTATTCCATTCTTTATCCAAGATCGTAATTAACAACCGATATTTTTTTAACGACAGATTAGATTTCAATCGTTTCACGATTGCTGGCCCCGAGCCTATAAACAATGTTTGTAACCAGGACCAGTTTATGGTCTCCGGTGGCAACCCGGTACCTGCAATCTGTGGAGTCAACCAGGGTAGTCACAGTTAAGTATCGTTACCTGCATGAATTACTGATGTTCGTTCACTGCTAGATTGTGCCCAATTGATCACCAAATAGGCTGCATTGTCAATTCTCAACTAATGTACGCTGCAAAAATTAACTGATGCATCTTGAATGATACCTCAATACGTACGTGGCCTTTCTTACAAAGACATTTGGAAGTTATATCGTCGTAGGATGGACCATTAGGCTAGCAATGTTGTAATAATAATCACTTAAATGATCCACGTTATAGTTTATTTATTAAGTTTCGCTTGCCACTCCGTCGGTAAGGAGTTAAAAAAGTAAGTAACATATGTGTTTTTCTAGACTATCCTATCCAACTGTGCCAAATTTCGTCGAGAGTCGTTCAGCGGTTAAGGCTACAACCTCTAACAAACGTCCATCCATCCATCCAACTTTCACATTTTATATTATGATTATGCTTACAAAATGGTAATATCAAATAACCATACTCATGGAATTATGATGAACTTTCCAGTAAATACATCCGTTAAGAACAGAGGACTGGAAATTGCTTATTATTTTCACAAAGAAAGTCAATTAACGTGCAGACAGGTCAATTATTGGCGATCGGCCGTACATTGTTTATGCGTTGCGTTTTAATTAAAAGTTCCGTAACAGTGGAATGGACACGCGGGCTATCATACTGTTTTATCTATCAAAATGTAATTTAAATTATTTTTACCTTATGTGGAGTTTTTAAATGTAACATAATAAGTCATATTTCCTGCACTGGCGCAAATACAAATACAAGAAGTATTCAATATTCTTATAATAAAAGTGCCATTTTTGTGTGTCTGAAACATTTGACCTATTCGTGCATGACTGTTAATGGGAAGTGGAGGTTGTGTAGAAGACTAAAAGAAAAATAAACGAAATGTTGGCTTGTTTTTTTCACCCGATATTATTCGATATAATCTTGCGAATATTATAAATGTGAAAGTTTAGATGGATGGGTTTGTTTGTTAGAGTTTGTAGCTTAAACGGATCTGGATGAAATTTTTAGCATAGATGTAAAGCATGTTCTGGAAGAACACAGATTAGTTATTCTTGTTTTTTTTTTATTTCACGCGGACAGAGTGGCGGGCGAACGCTAGTACAGCATAGTTTAAAAGAATAGAATCTAGATCTATTCGCATTCAAGCAAAAATATATTCAATAAAATTACTTCCGCTTGAAGCTGATATTCAATCGGGTCGCTGCACATGGGACCAGTGTGCAGATCTGTGCGAGGTCCCCTGTGTGGTGACCTGACTTGTTTATCTAAGAGTCACTTAGTAAAACAGCTACTTGGTTGATGTCTATGCATTACATTCAATGGGTTGATTCTAATTCGAGCAAAACTTATATTTGCATATAACTCAGAAACGTGCGTCAAGAAGAGTAATTCTTGTATACGAAACAATCAGGTAGTGAGTAGATGAGTGGTATGTCTGAGTTTTACAATTTGTATGTGTATTAAGATAACATGTTATAAACATTAAAATTGGTTGCAGTGTACATAGATGCCGGTATTGGTATCACAAACCCTGTGAAATTAACCTTCGTCACAAGTGGCAACTCACTCGAGAGACTCTGGAAAGTCAAAGTAACACAAATACCTTGTAACACTATATACAAAGGTGAATTCAAATATTTTATAAGTGTTAGATCATAAACATAATATGTATTAACTGATAATATTGAAGGCAACGTAAATCTTCGAAACCCGGTGATTTTAGTCACTAAGCGACTTATTTCTAGAGATTACAAAGGCACGGGTCGCCAACATTTTATTTTTTCGATTTTGTTGTTAGAAAAATATTGCCCCGATTTTCAAGATGGCAGAGAAAGTCTAAAATAGTTGTCATTGTTTGATATAATAGGCGACTCGTGCAGACAAAATAATATTCTGTGTACGGCCACGCGCTACGCGACACTTATGAGACAATAAGATTTAACCAGTTTCGAATAATTACGTTTCCTTGTAGATCAAGGGCCTTAGCGTTTCGATAGTCTCCTTCCATACGTTATATGTACCATATTACTAATATTTTAACGCAACAACTGACAGCCGATGAGGGCTGCCTTCAATACTACACGGGAGTGTCCGGACAACTTCGATCCTTTAACTACGACCCCGCTTCGGGACTGCAGCTAAGCAATCAAGACTACGGCATCTGCGTTCGAACGGAGAGAAACTTCTGCGGTATTCAGTACACAGCTTGCCCTGATCCAGGTATAAATATATAGATATTTTTATTCTAAAATATTGTATTTTCTGGCTTGTGGTCTACGGATAGGAACTAGTAATAAAATTGAATAATTATTTATTTTCAGTAAATAATCGTTCGCGTTCTTTTACGCTTAGTGGCAATAGTAACACAGCGGTGAACTCCATGATCGGATCAGGGGCTGGACCAAACAATTGTGCCAATGATTGGCTATTGGTCCCATGTGCTGCTAACGTTGGCCGATTGCAGCCAGCGCAAGCTTTGTGCACGGACAGGATTTGCGGCGGGACTTTCTCTGCAGATCTGTCAATGCAAACAGCCACTGTTTTAAGTATGTATAATTTTTAAAAAACTTAAAATTAGAAAACCATTCTAATTAATGTTAAACGTAGCAGTCTCACCTTTTTCTTTCATTTAATTTAGTGGAGTGGTTTCAATACGGCAAGTAAACGTGTCGTGTTTTGTCTATCGTGCGTCATATTAGTCAAGGACAGAGGTGTGTCCCTATAGAATACGAAGAGAAAAGTTATTGATATTTGTATTGAAATAACAATGAAGATTGTAAACAAAGTTCCGTATTTTAAAAGTGTGTAACTGTTTTGTTCATTTTGTTTTACAAATATCGCCTCTTGTAATTAGGTTTTCAATGAGGAAACTGCTATAAACTAATTGCTTACAGTTCACGTTGCTTTGTGTAAATTGTGAACAAAGAATCTACATTAAGGGATTATTTTAGTATCCAAAAAGGAAGTCCGAGTTGAGTGTTTATTGTGTATGTCATATTAGAAAAAATTTAATTCTAACATAATCTTAGGTCTAATGAATTAAGTAACGCACTTTCTTTTTTTTTAATAATCATACCTATATTGCTTTCCCAAGAGATATGTGACCATTTATTTGTCACTCAATTTACTTTCACAATTAATTTTGCATAAGCAATAAGTTTATTAAGGTCAATGGAGAGTTATATAACTATAACATATATTTCACGTCTAATTGAAAGTGAACTGGAGGAGCAAATGGTAATTAAACCATACTCTTGGGTGCCTATGACCTCGCACACAAGTAATTACTCCAAGCTAAATGGTTTAGCAACAGTTACATACGAATGTACAATTTTTAAATGTCTCAACCATGTTACTTTACTAAGTGAAGTCTGACATTTTCAGGAACAAAAGTATAAAGAACACGTTACGGCACTTATCTTTATAACAAGATTAGAAAGAAATATTACAATTTTTATGATCAAATACATATGCTTAGAAATTGAATATTCTCCACAACAAACAATTCTACCTTTATTTAAGTAAATACACAATGTACTCGTATAGGACGTAAATTAGGAAGAAGCATTGATATTAATTACGTAGATATTAAATAGACTTGTTATGTGTATTAATACCTTATGAAATCCTAAAGAAAACGATCTTAAAAGATACACCGTAGCATTCATTGCTACGAGTATCGTAGCACTGCTACCGCTTATTTTACACATTTTATTTTGACTACAATATCTAGAAAGTATACCGGTGTATCTAAAAGTTGAATAATTTTAATAGAAATTGACTGGAAACTTTGAAAACTTCAATATGATGACTACTTAAGAGGTAAAGTGTTTGTCTTAAGGATAAGAAAAGTGTGTGCAGAGACATCAACGCGTTAAAGGGTCACGGGAACTTGCACCGGAAACCATCTCATTATGTAAAGAGCTTCACATCCTACACAAACTCGTATGAGATATGTATGTTTGTTGTAAACAAACTTCATACGTGGCTTCGTGCATTATAATATGGCACACAACGTACCAAATTTTGACGTTTTAATACTTTTAGCTTATTGTGTTACATTTCTTGAAAAATGTTTTTACTTGTCAGTTTAGGAAGTGAAGAAGAGGTGATGTACAAAGTTTATGTGTTATTTTTAAACTTGCTTGCATAATGGAATTATTTATTTATTAAAATTTGTTTATTTTGGAGTTTGTTATCTATTGTAACGAATTCCGGGATCAGCTAGTCTGTACTTAACATTAAAAAGATAAGAGTTTTGTTATTTTTATATTGTAAAGAATAAACTCAAAAACTACGGGGCCGATTTAAAAGATTCTTTAACCATTACAAACGAAGACGACTATGGGTTAATTAATTTTCGAGTAATAGTTAGTCAAGTTTGTAAAGCAACCCTATATAGAACATACTAGCTGTTGCTCGCGACACAGCCCGCGTGAAATTAAAATATATAACCTATGTTACTTACAGATAAATTACCTTTCTAACGGTGAAAGAATTTTTAAAATCGGCCATGTACTTTTTGAATTATGTCAATATACACAAAAATATAAATCTTTCCTCTTTACTATATTAGTATGGATATAGATTAGTATAGATTTATAACATGTATGTTTTGTTTTCAGGCACAGTAAAGCCCTTTCGTCTCTGGTTCCACACAGACGGAGTAGAAGCTCCAGTCGATGTTGGCAACAGAGGATTCTGTTTAAACTATATCCAGCAGCCCTGCACCAATAATGTTATATAGAAATTTAAAAAAATATTTTTTACCACTTTTTTAATAACACTTGATATTCCAAATGACTCTTCAATTTAACTTTTCGTTAAGTCTTATATTAACCTAACATTATCGTAAACTTACCTGTTACCCTAAAATCCATTTTCCGTGTACGAGTATAAATCCATGGTATGGGAAAGTTATGAGGAAGGATGAATCTTGCGTGTAACAAGGAGAACGTTAGTTACCTTGTTACATGCGTGGAAGATCGCGTGAAAGGTGACATGTTAGAGTTATGGAGAGGACAAAAACCTCTTGTGCCAACCCTACGGGAGTAGGATAAGGAGGAAGATGTTGATGAAATTAATAAATTGTGGGATCTTAAACTAAATCACACAATTTTAAGTATATGTTACACATTTTTGAACAGATGATAATTTTTATTACAATTATCAATAAGTATTAGACAGACTCTAGTCAAATTTTACCATCGTCAATATTCTTTTGATTTAATATTAAATGTAAAAAAAACTTCAATGTAAATGGGTCAAAGTAACGTGAATGAAGTACATAACCGTATGTACAAGAAAGGACGGTCAATACGAAACCGTCCCAGAATAATTAACTAATATGCATACCAATCAATAAAAAGCTAAAAGCTGGTTAAATTTTTGTATGTCTGTCTAAACTCTCTCGGTGCACTCCTAAAACTTCCAAAAATACAAGATTTTTTTTAGGATCTCGGGGAGTTCGTAGAAAATAGTAAAAAATATATATAGTATTAAAAATAATTAAATCGTTCATTAAATCGCTATCCACGAAGTGTAAAAGGTAAATTTACTTACTATTTACCTTTATTATTGTTGGTACTTAAAGCTTTAACACTCTAAAGTTAGCATCATTTTGATATAATCGGCTTACAATCAAAGAAAGTCCTAACAATATTTTAATTCTACAATTAATATGATCCTATTTACTCTTTACTTTGAAAATAAATTTGGTAAGTAAGTCACAGGCAAAACTAGTATCGCTATCTGATACTTTAACCCACCATTATTAAATTAAAACTTCATGTACTTAGATTATTTAACAACCCTTATACTCTATGCCATGAACAGAGTCGCATCAGTCCCAGCTTTACCGCAGATACGCGCGAACGTCCATTATAACTTCAAACATATGGCGCGTTATTTCGAATCAACCAATATGGTCATCAACGAACCAACCAGTAAGTAGCATTTTAAAAAATTTAATTTCAAATAACTATAACTTTTATTAAAAGCTTCGTTTATAAACGTATTACGTGTAAAGTACCATTTGTCACGTTTGACGTTTCCCATATGAATATTAAATGAGCCCGCGAACCTGCCCTAGGTGGCTCTGGCGTCATTCAGGACTCATTGCTCCGCTACGTCACACGTGGAACAGCCGTTACTTCGAAAAGAGCTAATTTAAATTTTCTTTTGTCGAAGATGAGTACCGTTATTGAGATGACGAGTCGTCAACATTTATATCCGACGATTGCATCGAGTGCGTGTTGATTATTAGTATTTTTTAATTTAAAAGTAAAAAAATGATATGTGATATTATTCTATTGTTTTAGCGAATGAAGATGTCGATAGTGAGTCGAAGACGTGCGGGAAAATTCTAGTGTTCTTGTCTTGGGTGCTCGTCATATTTACGATGCCTTTTTCCCTCTTCATCTGCTTCAAGGTAAGTGATCTTTTATTACAAAGAAGCAATTAGTATATTTTTATGCCAGTGATATTGCATTCGCGAGATATATTCTGTGATTATAATAACGATTCCAATATTTTTTATAAAAGTTATCGACCGCTCAGCAAAAACGCTTGCGCTAGCCAGTGCTTTTTATTTTCAATGTCTTATTTTTTAATAATTACATTACTTTTCGATAATACTAGATTGCATCTATTTCAATTTATCTTCATATAACAAATTAAAATAACTATTATATAGTATTTTATTTTTGTAAAAGTCTATAATTGAGTAAAGTATGTTAGTTGCTATTAAAGTCATCAGACGTAACTATCCCTTTGAGAGATTATAGTACTGAAATAGCAATGGGAATTATACACTGATCTGTATAAAGGGATAGGTCATTGATTGACACCTTTTAATATTTAGTTTTTTTCTAAAACAAAAATAATATTTAGCTTTTTAGAAAAAAACTAAATATTAAAAGGTTTCAATCAATAAATCTTGTAAATAATGCTCTTATAAAAATTAAATTATAGAAATTCAATGGATATCGATGGTCAATTTTATAATCTACAAATTTTTCGAAGTCATTTTGTCTGACATTTTTGCAACCTCCATACAAAATTTCAGGAAAAATGTTCTAGTATGGGCACTAAATGGCATGTCTGTCGCCAGTCCATTTATAGAGCTCAGTAGAGTTATACAACAATTTTAAGAACTTGTTTGCTGCAATTTCAAATATAGAATTAATCTCTCCTTTCATTGAATCTAAACGTTCCCGTGAAAGACGCTTGAAAACTCTTCACAATAATTTCAATGTCTATTTTTAAATCACGAGTATTATAAAAAGGTTTTAACGTGTTTTCTTCAATATTTAGTCCCTTCGCACACTAAAATACGCAGCTCTACGAAGGTTGTTAAACGGTCTCCTTAGTATAGTTTAAGTATGGAAATTGATACTAAAAGTCTCACTTTGTGACGAATTTGCACTGAGAACCTTAGTTAGTTACATATTTAGGTTTAAATTAAGAGACATTGAATTTAACTCTTCTAAAGTGTAAAAATTTTAACGTAAAAAGCGCGAACAAGTAAAAAAAATGTTCATCCAACGTGCTAAGCTTCGTTAGAGTTTTTATTCGTTGTGAGAGCACTACGTTAATTAAATACGGTTACTGTTGAAAAGGTGCGAGCCCATTTCGTTTACGTTAGAGAGCCTCGACGGAATAACTGTGTACGAGTCGCATTGATTTAGTCTACGTTGTGGACCTTTGCCACATCAATATTGACAATATGCTTAACTTACGGACTACATCGGGCGCTTTCAATGTTACAACGTGCATCACAAACATCAAACACAAACAGTCGGACTATATTTGGATTCCGAATTTACGTAGGTTGCAATTTGTGACTTATTAATAAGTATTGATTTCTTGCAATACGGCGTATCTCAATATCGTTTGAATACGAGCAAACTATGAACTATGTAAATGTATTTGCTGATTAGCATTCATCTGAGTAAAAGATAGAATATATTACATAACCTAGCTTCCGCTCGCGACTCTGTCCGCGTGAAATTTTAAAAAACTTGTAGTCTATGTGTTCTTCCACATTATCCTCTACGTCTATGCCAAATAGTATTGAGATCCGTTCAGCAGTTTAGGCTACAAACTCTAACAAACATCAATTCAGGCATCCATCTATTTATAATATTAGAAAGTTTGTTCGACGAAATTATACACGGTCGATAAAAAACGTGTCATTCATTGTTATACAGGTATAAAATGGTAAAAAATTAAAGTTTACTAAGTTCAACTAAGGTTACCCTACAAGTTTTAACAAAACAACCACATTTATCAGCCACATCGAACACAGCAAAATAACATAATACCCTTAAATGTAACGTTGTTGCAATCATTTTATTGACATTGACTGGCATCGCTTCGGGCAAATAAAATTAAAATTCGAAATCTACCGATTCCTACCCAACGTGCGAGGGGCGAATAACATTTCATTTTTAAAACAACCTACGTTAAGAGATATGTTTATTTAAATAATCTGAAATAGTTTTCGTAAGGGCGGAAATCCTAAACAAAAACATTTGGTCTTTTTTATAAAGAAAGATAACAGACTACCTGCAAAAAAGAGAAACCGGAAATTTTAAATGGTAACAGCCGATTGCAATTTTGCGCATCATTTAAACGGCTTATTTTCTTAATACATTAAACAAGGATTAAAAATAGGATATTAAGCTAAAACATTGGATATTTAAAAACATAATAATTCAGAAGAAAAAAATGTATCGAAATAACTTTATCGTCGATATAACAGTACAGTGGAAATTTAATCCAGGCGCAACTAAGTTCACTTAAGTTGATTCTAGCGATGCGATTAAGTTCTTGCTACCAACTTACGTAATTTCAAGCAGCAATGCTTTCAGCTCCTTCATTCATTGCAGTTAAGAAAAGTCAAGTTTATGAAAGACTCATCTAAGTTTCCAACGCTGTTTACAATATTTAATAGCCTACATTGTTTGCAGATTTTCATCTTGTTTTTACAGATCTTGATCTATTATTAAAAATAATTATAAGTTGTTTAACTTTTTAGCATTTTATGCAGCCAGTTGCGATCATTTTCAAATAAAGTTTAATAAAATACAATATGATTTTTGTTATTCTTCTAAACAGGATATTTTATCTGGTCTATGGTAGGTATATTATTAATATATTTGTCATAACGTTCAAAATTCCTTATGTTGTATAGGTGGTTCAGGAGTATGAACGGGCTGTGATCTTCCGTCTGGGACGTTTGCTCTCCGGTGGTGCCAAGGGCCCCGGTAAGATAACTATTGTATTAAGTTTTACTATAAAATTTTGAAATTGGTAAGTAGGTATCGGTATTCATATTTGAATGCTAATAGGTTAAAACATTCGATCCTTTATCTCGATGGGTTATACAGGGAGGCTGATGGCAATTTTACGAAAAATGATATTTGTTTTTAAGAAATCGATTTTAATTTCTTAGATGTTGTTTGGTTGCAGGAATATTCTTCATCCTGCCTTGCATTGACACTTACGCCCGCGTTGACCTGCGCACTCTCACCTACGATGTGCCCCCGCAAGAGGTATTATCGATAAACTGATTTTAACCACACAATTAACTTTATAAAGTATCCCTCTGGAAATACACGTTTAATTTTTAATTTCAATGTTAATGCAATTATTTATAAAGTTGGTTCAAGAAATATAAACGTATAAATCGAATAATCTCTATCTATTAAGAATAATCAAAATTTTAATATTACTTTATTAACGCAGGTCCTGACTAAAGACTCTGTGACCGTGTCAGTTGATGCTGTGGTGTATTACCGCGTCCATAACGCTACCATCTCGATCGCTAACGTAGAGAACGCTCACCACTCCACACGTCTCCTGGCTCAAACTACCCTCCGCAATACCATGGGCACAAGACCTCTGCATGAAATACTGAGTGAGAGGGAAACTATTTCTGGAAACATGCAACTCGCTTTAGACGAAGCTACCGAAGCTTGGGGCATCAAGGTCGAACGTGTTGAGATGTAAGTACCATACCTACGCTACTAATTTTCTCATACATCTAATACAGTTGATATGTTATGCAAAGAAGTCAATTATCCTTCAATTACTAAACAAACTATAAAAACGAAAAATATCAATCTTCTATAAGTTTACAGCGCAGCGTTAACAGAAAGTCATCTAAGTTATTAAATTTACAAGATACTAGTGACCTTTGCTATAATATTATCATAGTAAATATTTTATCTTCAAACACTTTTCGTTATAAATTCAATAAATTTTAATTGTAAACTTTTACGTCGTCAATATCGATTGACGACGTTATTATAGCTTATGCCGTGAGAAATAGGACACTGTTACCGTAACGTTAAGCAAATTAAAGACATTGAAGGATAACAAAATATTAAACAAGGTCTTGAATAATTATTGAATAGATTGAAATCTTTTTTAAACTTAGTAATGGTAACCACTCAATAAACATTAACATTTATTACAGTAAGGACGTCCGCTTGCCGGTACAACTGCAACGCGCTATGGCAGCAGAAGCAGAAGCGGCTCGTGAGGCTCGTGCCAAGGTTATTGCTGCTGAAGGAGAACAAAAGGCTTCCCGAGCTCTGCGCGAGGCTTCCGAAGTGATTGGTGACAGTCCTGCCGCTCTGCAACTGCGTTACTTGCAGGTACGAACTAATTTTTGCTATGGAATTCTCAGTATGAAAGTAGAAGTTATTTACCGTTATAGTTACTGGCAAAATTTCCTATCTTTTTTCTGCAATAAAATGATTCAGAAAAAGTAAATGTAGTAATAATATTAACATCTTTGTTTATTTACTTCTAGACTTTGAACACTATTTCGGCTGAGAAGAATTCAACCATCGTGTTCCCTCTGCCGATCGACCTTCTTACTTACTTTTTGAGGGCCAGGGAGGAGTCTTAAGCCGCCGTGACACCAACAACACCTGCACTAACGACTAATAGGCTAAATAGATCAATGATGTAGTAGTTGTTAAATGTTTAAACATAACAAAATTAGAGGATTCTAGTCATTTTAACTATTCTTTGTCTCTATAATATTCAATGTATACTGAACTATCACCAATTGTCTTTATATTGTAAGTAGAGCTGATAAGATTTATGTCACGAAGAATGACTACGACACATCCTTCGAATGCATATTACAAGATCAACTTTAACGTTTATAATGAGAACATTGGGAACGATCTGCGCTTACTCCTAAACTAAACATTGAAAAAAAAATGGTAGATTAGAAAATGTTACTCGTTACATTAGAATAATTTACTTAATATGTATTACATTTATTCAAATATCTTCATAACTATTTACTATGTAGATGTTCAATTCAGATTATTAGATTAAAATGCATTGAAAAGGACGTTTTATTTATTTTAATACATTTATTACAGACTTATAAACATAATCATGTTGGTAACTCCAATTGACTCGAGAAAAGTTACATCGTATTCATAGTAGGGGAATTTAATTCCCAACCATACACCCAATTAAAACCAAATAAGTAGAAACTTAATACTTTTCTTACAAGTTAAACATACTTAATATTTTAAACTTTACTAATAAAGAACGATGCTTTATCTTATCTTAATATATCGCCTAAAATAGAGAACTGTTGGATACTTTAAAATCGGTATGTTTGATTTTATGTTTTCTGTCTTGTGTGTATATTCTATCGTTATCCACAGCTTTTATGTCCATTACTTCGTTGCTTATTAGTTTCATGCCCACATTCAGCTTAAGAGATACTTTACCATCTCTAAACAATATATAAACTTTAGATTGACTCAGCATTCTTAACGAAAAGTGGTCATTTAATTTAAAAATTTTCGATCTAATTTCAAAGGGCTTATAATTCATCAATATTTTCATTGACTTTTCTCTAACCACATTATTTAACTCTATTTCTTTCATCTCATCTTCAAATTCACTACTGATTTGTATTTGAGAACGTGGTAGTGAACTAATTTCCTCATTCTTTACAGTTCCAACATTTTTGGCCCCGACTTCTAATTTCTCGATGTAGGGATCTAAAGGTTCTAAAAACTCGAAGATATGTTCAACCTGAATTTTCGGGGGCTCATTTAAAGCATTCCATTTCCAATGGCACGGTGACCCAATGTGACTATCGAAAAGCACACCTTCATCTTGTGTATACTTAATCCTGAGAAACCCAAAATATATTTCATCTTATTTTTTAATTTTGTCAAGAAAGAAGAAACGTAATTTGTCGTAAGTACATGACTATTAATGATAATAATAACTACTTTTGGTGAGGTAGACACGAACTATGCACATGTTTTAAAAACGTTAAACCTAAGGGCGGAAAGTAGAAACCGCCACACTAATATCAGTATAAAATGTTGATTGACAACTGTTTTTAAAAATGTTTAAACTCATCGTTTTTTATAAGCAAAAAATATCATGCCTACAGACCTCATATATCCAAAACGATCATACACAACTCCATGTCCCTTGTCATCAAAGCTAGCTAAAATTTGTGCCTTATCTTCATATCTTCCTTTGTTTTGAGTAACTGCATCGTATACAATAAACTCTTTCGTTGCATTAGTTTCCTCATCTGTGGAAAAAACCACTTGAGGAATACTGAACTTATAAATTTTCTGAACGTATATGAAAATGTTCTTAGAACTGTAGTTTATACTTGTCTCTAAAATGCAGATGGCCCTAAGCGGAATGTCAATAATGCCCGTTAGGTTTAAGGTAGGCAATATCTCTTTGGTGAATGGCAATGTACATATATGTTCTGACAGCAGATATTGCAAAACATCCTTACCAAAAACGTCGACAAAATCCAAAGCTACTTTTCCATTTCTATAAAACCACTTGAATAGACCGTCATCATATACTTCTGCCAGTACCTCGCCGGTCTCGTAAAATATTATGTCTTCGTTCTTATGACTTCCTAGCCAATCAAATTTAGGGCACGAGGGAACCATTTTGTAGATATTTAACTGTAAATCAGCATACAACAATTAAAAACTGGTTTAATTTAAAGCTAGTGTAAAATACAGTGAAAGCAACATTATTGATGGAACTTACTCTACGAACAAACGTTACTGTCGGCAGAACGGTACAACCATTTTCGATGTAATCTCTGTTTGAAAGTCGATACTTGCCAAAAAGTTTATCCTATAACAAAAATAACAGCATGTGCTTACTTGTACTAAATTGACAAATAACGAAAACTATTTCAAAGCATAAAATCATCTACCTTTTGATGTAATGGTTTAGTATCTGAATGTACCGACGATCGCAAGTTCATATCAGAGAGACTTTCTTCATCGAAGTTGTGAGTAACATTGAAAAACAAAGGCTTTTTAGTTTTGGGTTCAACAGGACTCTGACCACGTCTATAACGGACGATCTTATTTCCTTCAATCACTTCTATAAAATCCTTTTCATCAGATTGATCGCATTCTATAATACTTTCGGAGTCCATAGATGCCTGCTCTTTAAATTTTTTGACTGGCAATGGCGGCAAATCTCGGACATCCGGAATTTTAAATCTTTTTATATTATATTGTGGATCACGCTTCCGCTTCTTTTGCCGGTTTAATATCATTTTCTCTAATTCATCAAGAGATTTATTGTGCACTTTTATTTTTTTTGAATCAACACTAAATTCATTTTCTTTTATGTTATCCGATTGCTTCTTACTTTTCCCTTTCTTTTCTCGATTAGATTTCTCCTTTACATTCCTTACAACTGTTTTCTTAAACTCAGGTTTGTGTTTATCTTTATAGTTGCTTAAACCAATGGCGTCTTTAATACCTTTCAATTTACTTATTTCCCCTTCTTGTTGTTCCTTTTCTGTGCTTTTAATTTGTTTTTTGAATCCATGTTTACGTTTTTCTTTGCTAATATAATCTAGAGATTCTTTGGGGTCTTTAATTTTATTTGATTCCCTCTTTTTTTGTTTCCTATCATTATCTTTTGTTTTGTCTAACTGATCACTGGATATGTCGTGTGACTGTATTTTGCTTTCGACAAAGGATTTACCATTCTTGTGTTTCCTCTCGTTGTTTTTTGATTTCTCTAACTGGTCATGATATATATCATGTGATGGTATTTTGCCATCATTAAACGATTTACCATACTTTTTTTGTTTTTCAATCTTTTTTGTTTTATCCAACCGGTCATAAGATACCCGATGTGAAGGTGTTTTGCTATCAATAAATAATTTGCTATAATTTTTATAATCAATATTTGCCATTTTCTCCTGTAACTTCTTTAGCAAATCTTCACAAACACAACTACTTCTAAAACCATGTGTCCCTCCTTGTATATCGCTATCGGTTCGTTGTGTTTCTTTGTGCTGGACGTTTGGCGTTTTTTTTGACGGTTTCAAGAATTTCAGTAGTTCATCCAAGGATAAAGATTTAAGTTTCATAAGTTCTTCATGTTTTTCAAACTCGGACAACAAAGTCTTAATACGAGCTATAACTTCGTGACATTCTTTATTACAATGATCAACGTAACACTCTTTTTCTTGCATATATGCTTTTAAAATATAGTCGCATCTCTCACATTGTAGAGTAGAATTTATATTTTTACAATGATTGCAAATGCCAGGTATATCTTTTATATTAATTACACTAATATCCCTTACAAGATTGTGGATCTGTGGCAATATCAGTTTGCACAGAGGACATTTTGGTGCATATTGATCTTTGCAATGTTTGTACTTCGGCTCAGAATTTCTTAAATCTATATCATTCCTTAGACGAAAACACTTACTGCAAGTAGATGAACACATCGTCTTGCATTTCGTACCCCTGTTGCATTAAAAATAACAAAAAATAAATAAAACTATTAATAGCTATAGTCACAAAAATCAGTTTAACTTTTTTAGAAAAAATTACATGCGTTACCTGTATCCCTCCATTGTTTCACGTCATAAATAAAGTTAACTCTAGGAGATTCAGGTGGATAGCTTTATATCTTGGAATAGCACACAAGTCTTCTGTTTATGACTAACTAGCTATCTCCCGCAGCTCTGTCTGCGTGAAATTAAAAAAAAATGTTAGTAGCCTATATGTTCTTCGAGACAGACTACGCTCTACACCTATGCTAAATTTCATCGAGATCTGTTCAGCTAAACGTTTTCAGCTTTCAGCTAAAGCGAGGCGTTTCGAATACCTGCGTTTTCCACTTCTAGCTAAGGGAATATAAAATCAATTATACAAATTAAGCGGCGATACTATTTCAATAAACAATAACGTGAGAAGAGGCACCTAGGATGCCTCTTCTCACGTTATTGTAATATACTACACTCTACGATATTATAATATAATACAATAATATTATCTCAAGGAAATATTAGGGAAATATAGAAACTAGAAAACCTTATCATTAGCATCACCACTTCTTTTGTTTTTTTGCAAATATAAGTCATTTGATATTATCTTACAATAGTTTAGTTTCAAATAGAATAAGATCACTTATGGATAATTCTGTCATGTTTTGTACCTAACTTACTAAACGTTCCAATACAAATTAGAATCCGATCAATGATACCTGACGGTGCAATGTGAATACGTTGATTTTCTTGGTGTTGTTTTAATTTACTTTAGAAAAACTTACATTAAAAATTATACGAGAATGAAATTACTTTTTCTTGACTTCAGGACCTTCATAACTTTTCATCTACATGAACATGTGACATATGAAATTAATATGTCACTCGCTTATTGTTCTCGTAGGATACAATAAAAATGCAATAACACGCCTCGAGAGCCATATTACATCACATGTTATGAACATTCTTAAAGTAGTCTCAAATTAAAAAGACAATATTAAAAATACCAAGTCGAGTTGGTTTACGAAACATTACAGTCTATCTCATAAATTACATTCAAATTGTTAGTGTTTATCCTTTTTCCTTTTTTGCAAGGCACCTATATCCATGCCTAGCTCCATACAGGACGGGTGGCCCCTTATTATTATACGTTATTACGCTATTCTAGAAACCCTACTGTTTGAGTTTTTATTAAAAAAAACGATCTATAGCTAAAAATATTTTCTAATAATTACTCTCTACAGTTTTAGTAATCTTTGAATTTTTGACAGTTTTAAAATGTCATTGTCATTGTCATTATAATGTCATTGTCAGTAAGCGGATTAACTCGTAAAGGCGCAATATAAGAAAACGTATTTATAATCGCAGTACGTTTTGAAATTCACATAGCTAAAAATATATTCATTAACACAATATGACAATTTACAGGATGATATCAGTTTCCAAGTTAATTTTACAATGTAATCGTTCTTCTTCAATTATATCTAGTAAAGTTCAATGTCTCAATATTAACAGGTAATTATTTTTTATTTTTTTTTTGTAGTTTTTAGATTTGTTTAATGGGAAATTGAATTTTAAACAACTTAATTGTTAATAATTATACTCAAATATGTGATTCTAGATGTCTAACGAACGAACGATTAAAACATACAACTGCGTTCAAGAGTGAAAAAGATAAAATACGCACTTATATTGTACAAAGATATATCAACTATGTCAAAAATTATAAAAAACTTTTACAAGACCGATTTCCAGCCGCAATACACATGTACAGGGTATTTAGTATAGGAATTAAAGATTTCTTAAGTGATTTAAAAACATACATTTCTCTGAGACTGAAAATAACAAAGGATCGAGGATTCTCCAATATGTCACGCCAAGAAATAGAACTATTTGTAAAGATGCCTACAGACATGTGGCGAATAGCACCTGTTTTAATACTGTCTGCTGTGCCATTTGGAAATTACATAATATTTCCTCTTGCGTAAGTTCTTTTAAAATAATCATATTCATTTATTAAATTTATAATAAATATATTACTGAACTTGTTTATGTTTAGCAGGAACTTACTTTCTATTTAGGAAAACATATTTGTTGTTTTTATTTTTATTGGCTCATACACAAGTGTTTGTTTACTGCACATAATAATTTGGCTTCAACTCAAATCAGTATCAATGCTCTAAAAGATAAACACATTATTTCTTTGCATTTTGATAAGTTTTTTGCTTACAGATTAATGAAACCAAAAAAGTTACTCAGCTCTCATTTCTGGTCCATACAACAAAGAGCAGAATTTAACATTGAAGATTTAAAAGAAAGACTTCGTTACAATCGACCAATTCTCCGATGTCTCCAGGCTAAATTAGAGCTTGTACCTGATAGTGAAGTTAAAGAAAAATGGAGAAGAATTTTAGCATTATTAGGATCCGGAGTGCATCCATCAGTTAATGAAGTATTGGCATGTAAAGAACTGTTTTGTAAAAAGCCATACCACTTATCATGTTTGTCTTATGCACATATGGTGAGCAATATTATTGTTTTTAGACTTCATAGTATAAGAAGTTCTACTTATTATTTCATTTTTAACTTATTGTTGTTTATTTGTTTTCAGGGATATTTGCTTAAAATGCTTGGCATACGAAGAAGTTTGTTCAGAAGAAAAAAACTTAAATACAGAGCATTCCTGTTGTTTCAAATGGACAAAGCAATTGCAAGAGAAGGGGGTGTTGATATATTAACTTCGGAAGCACTAAAAAATGCATGCCACATACGAGGATTGAACACAAGAAATTTAAGCAATCAGGACATGAAAGATTGGTTACAACAATGGATTTCTGTGTCTGCAAATGTAGATGCTAATGCATATTCTTTACTATTGCATTGTCCTATTTTCTTTGCATACAATCACCCCCAAAATTGGGTATTAAAATATTAGATGTTTATTTTGTTATGAAATGATAAGTGTAAGATAATTTAATTGTTTGTTTCATGTAATAAAAAGTATCAAATTGGGTATGAGAAAAAAAAGCTTGCTTAATAATTGTAATTTGGTGCCTAATAGTAAACTGTGATCCTGCATAAAAATATTAAATATTTTAACTAATGTAATTTAACTTAATAAATATGATTCATTAAAATCTGTTTTAATCTATCATTCTTAATAACTTGGTTTAGCAAAAAAGACTTATTCTATGTTATGCAGAATGTCAGCAATCACAGCATATATTTTAACAATTCTGAGGAAAGGAAATGAGACTAGAATTAGGCAGAGGAAGCACACTCATTAGATGGATCGTGGAATTGGTACAATTTCACGCCTCTCTTCTGTATGGTCGTGATATTGTACCGGACAAGCCGGCCCATTTATGCGAAAATTTCAAAGCAGGCACTACCAATGTACAAGGTTAATCTGTTATTTCATAATTTCCCTTGTATTTTATAGAGTATCTTCTACAGTAGATTTACATAAAGTGTGCCTAATTTCAGCAAGATCCCTTGTACCATTTTGGTGTTACGTAGTAACAAACTTCCATCTAAAAATACGTATATATAATTGTAATCAAAAATATAAGTATAATTTTATAATGTAAACAATGGGTAGACAATTTTTTTTATTATGACTGATTTGTCATAGAATAGAATATGTCTTGCACAGACAATAAACTGTCACGATAAATGTTAAGCACTGCTTAAAACAAAACTATTGAAATATTCTGAACCCTTTACTTCTAGATAAACATAAGTGAAAATAGTTTAAAACCCTGAAACTGTGTGTTCCATGTTTGCTACCCAAGCTAAATTTCCAAAGAGATTAGCAAACAGTTGTCAAAAATTCTCTATGCTTATTCCTTATCTTTGGTCCCTTGAATGGTCAAAACGGATACGGATGTCCAGTAGTTGTATATTTATATAAAATATAGGTAGATAATTGTGAAGGAAAAATCAATACTGGGTTTGCTGTAGGACCAAGTACTTGTTGAAATTAGAAAAAATGAGTGCAACGGAATATGTGCAAATAAAAGACATTAAAGCTGGTATGAGGAATATTAATGCCGTTTTTATAGTATTGGAGGTGGGTCAACCTATATTAACAAAACAGGGACATGAAATTCGCATATTGCGAGTTGCGGACCCTACGGCCATGATCAATTTTTCTGTATGGGATGAGGCAGGAGCGTTATTGCAGCCGGGAGATATTGTACGACTTACACGCGGTTATGCGGCTTTGTGGCGTTGCTCCCTTACGTTGTATACTGGAAAATATGGCGATATACAGAAGGTGGACGAATTCTGCATGGTCTTCAATGAAGAATTGAACATGAGTGAGCCCCAGCCAGCTCTTGCCGCCATGTCTCAGGGCCAACAGCATTCTCATGCAGCGTCACTCTCACTTATGCCAAATGCAGCAAGTGATCAAGTCAACAACTCTAAGCAAGATCCATTTGATAGTCAACAAAAGCATAAAAGTTATATGTAGTGAAGGCACTAAATCAGCAACAAATATATCTGGCCCAATTGGAAAAAGTGAAACCAAAGTAGCTGTTATCTTGCCGAACTCATCGGGCCAGACAATGTTAGAGAACTATAAGAAAACATGGATGTGTTTGTCTCTATAAGTATAGTTAAAATGTATCTGCATGTTATGTTACATTAAATAAATTATATTGTGTACTAGACATTACTCTCTGCTTGATTATTAAATCCCATAAATATGTAACCGCCTTTTTATTGATCCTATCTTTAGTTTAGACTCATTTTAAAACTATGTCTTAATAAGTGCCCAATTACAACTTAGTGCGCTGAGGCACGAATTGATTGAACTTTATTTATTATGATAACAAAATCAATGATTTACTTTATTTAAGGCAACCAAGTATGAAAAGGTTTCGGTGTTAAGTGATGGCATTTATGTGCACCTATTGTGAGTAAATGCATTTATTGTATTTTATAGTCATAGAAAGGAATTTAGCCTTAAGAGCACCCTTCATTGGTTGTAATGAAAAAATTGTGTTGGTTTTAGGCTAAAAACTGATCGGAGCCTATTGTGATTACATAAGAATTGAACATTATACTAGACATGTACCAAAGAGACTCTAGAATATTCCACTGTTTGTGATACAATTATTACAATTTATGCTGAATTAATAATACATTAGGTGGTAGAGGTGAGAAGATAAATGTAAGCAAAAGATCAGTGTGTTTTTTTACTTTTGACCTATTCTCCTTGATAACTTTATATTTAAAGTGAATTTGTTTGCTCGAATGATGATATGGATGTTGTTTTTGGATACGAATTATATTGTTTGAGATTAAATTGGCAACAAAATTGTATTGCGCTAAGAATTTGTTTTTTATTCAGTGTTTTTGTTCTATTGTTATATGAGGGGGAAGACAATTGTTTTTAAATGTGATTAAATTATTTCACACAGTAGTTTTCTTTGTTTTATTTAATTTTATTTGTTAATCATCAGAGATTCATCAAGTGTTTACTTATGTTTGTAGATAATTAACTTTATATGCGGCCAACATGAGCTATAAGATTAAATGATGAATTTATAACATGATGGAAGAGCAGTACTGCTCTATATACATACTGTGGACCCTATAGAGAAGGGGTGGTTGATGATAATGAAGACATAATGTGCTGTAAATATGGCTTACTTAACATATTTTAATTATGTTTTACAATGGAATTCAATTACCAAAGCATTTGTATTTAAAGATACTGTTATCTGAGTATTTTCAAAAAGGAAGAATGGGAAGACATATAAATTTATATGTGTGTTAACATTATTTAATATTTATTTACAATCAGTTAGTCCTTTTACAAATACTATCATGCTAATCATATCATACTAATATTATGAATGTGAAAGTTTAGATGGATGGATGGATGTTTGTTAGAGTTTGTAGCCTAAACTGCTGAACGGATCGCAATGAAATTTGGCATACATGTAGAGGATAATCTGGAAGAACACATAGGCTACTTGGTTTAGTTTTTTTTAATACCAAGCGGACGGAGTCGCGGGCGAAAACTAGTTATTTATAAATGTAGCTAGTATATTATGACAATAATTAGTAAGATGTTTTTGGAACTCTGCTACCATAAGAGAAGACTTCAAGTGGATTTAAACCTTAATTAACTAATTGCTCCTAATTTACGGCAGGCTCGAACCCCTCAATGGAGTTTGATGGTACGTTCTTTTGTTTGGAAATTCTAGTAGGTACATGAAAAATTCTCTCCTTTCTACTTGGGTATAAATTGAAGGTTTGATAAAAACAACATAATTTATTACAATAAAAAGGTTTTATTTAATAATAAGTTTGGCTGCAAAAATGTCATCTGTCAAAATATGTTTTACGTAAATAAGAGGAAATATTATTGTTTCTATTTTTTATTAATACATTATTTCCAAAAAGTGTTAAATAAGAAGCCTCATGCTCAAGAACAGCAAGCTGTTTGGCGACTTGAATGTGCACTAGGTGTTATATCAGAACCGGATTGTCCTGTGGATGGAGGTTGGTCCCCTTGGTCCTCCTGGTCAACCTGCCACGGGACGTGCGACGATGTTGGATATCGCAAAAGGACAAGAGAATGCAATAATCCACCGACTTCCAAGGAAGGCATACCATGCAGTGGTTCCGACGAACAAATCGAATCTTGTTATCTAACACACTGTGTAGTGGATGATTTTAGAAAATGTTTAAATGGAGATTCCATTAGAACAGATGCAATGCGACAGTTAGAAACAGTACCAAGCATAATGGAGCGATGTCTTCAAGTTGAATGTACGTTTTATGACATTGAAAACGCTTTAGCAGAAGACAATACGTGGCAGCTTAACCCTGAAATTATATGGAACGCTCTTCAATGTGTTAAACATAATGTAGGGTGTCCTGTAGCGGGAGAATGGGGTCCATGGGGAGCGTGGTCAGCATGCGGCTCACTTTGCGGTAAAGGATTTCACTGGAGAATCAGAAAATGCGACACTCCTCCGCCATCTGATGATCGGCTAATATGTCTTGGAAATCCTCTACAATTTGAAGACTGTGAAGGCGATCAATGTGCTATTGATGAGAGTTACACCGGAGAAAATACAGGAGGCAATTGGAGCAAATGGGGAGAATGGTCCCCGTGTTCTGAAAATTGTGGTATTGGTGTAAGGCGTAGGAGAAGGGTATGCATTGAGAAACAAAAGCCACATATTTCTGCTAAATGGGGAACACATTGTAGGGGTCAACATGCTCAAATGGAAGTTTGTAAAAACAAAGAGTGCTTACTAGATGGCGGGTGGTCAGGATGGGGCATATGGGGACCTTGTTCACAAACATGTGGAGCAGGTAGGCGCTTTAGAACTCGGTCATGCACTAGGCCAATGCCATCTGGAGGTTCGAATTGTGTAGGTCCTAAATATGAAGAAGGCCCTTGTCATCAGATGCCTTGCGATGTGTTTTCACACGTTGTTGCTTTATTTAATGGGGATTCTTTCTTGCAGTATGATTTTTTGCAGAAACGGTCAACATTATTTCATTCGTTTATACGATTTATGCCTCTTTCCCCTCACGGCTCGCTCATAAGAAGAGGAGATATATCTCATCCTCTGGTAAGGCTCAGTCTACAAAAATGGTATCTATGTTTGGACGCTAGAGGATTATCACAGTCATGCAGTCCTCTTCGCATCTGTTCGACTTTCGTTCTGGAGCCGGCTGCTTGGCATTCTGCTATGATCACTGTCAACAAAGAAAGTATTTCGCTTAGAATAAATGATGCCCAGATACCCATACATGGAATGTTCCCTTGTGATCCTGAGCTAACAGATGATATGACGTTTATTACTGTTGGTGAAAAATTTCATGGAGTCGTTCAAGAACTAATTGTGAATTTTATACCTTTGGTCATGATGATCAATCGTAATCGATTGGCTAGGACTGACTTCGTTCCCACTTCTGCCTCAAATATAGCCTATGAAAAGGCAAATATTGAGGAAGCTTTTCTCTATCTCGAAAACGATCAATACTTAAGGTTGCCTTGCTTCGATGATCAAAATGAATGGAATTTGCAACTAACTCTAAAACCCAAAAAGGAGGTGGGAATAATACTTTTTCTTCCAGGAATTCAGGAAGATGATTGGCTTTGTATCGCTTTAACTAACTCAAGATTGAAAATAAAATTATCTTTACGTGGCTTTCGTTCGGAGACCACCAGCTCAACGGAATGTTTACCTGACCAATGGCTAGATATTATGTTATCTAAGCAAAGCGAAAGTGGGACCATTGAAACCATTATAAATGCATCGGAACGGCTCCATGTTCTGCTAACATTCTCTACAACTAACAAAAGACACAGTGTTTACCCATTTTTCTCGATACGACCAAATCAAAACGAGTCTAATTTGAAACAAAATATTAGTTTAGCCAATGTTGTAAATAACACTACGTATGTTCTATGTTACGATGAATTTTTTATCGGAAACATACCGCTTGAATATAAAAACGTTAACAGCGAAGAACTGACCTCTTATTCAGGAATAATAGCGTCTTTAAAAGTAAATAATAATTTTATAGACCTTCATAGTTTTGGAGTTGAACGAATTAAAGATAATAAAATTCAACTATCCTCACGCACATCGAGCATATCTGGTTTTTATTACGAAACTAGCTGGGGGATAAGTAATAGTTTAAATCTGACATGTTTACACGCCAGAACAAAACGAACACCTAACAAGGCCTGGTGGTTTTATTTAGATAATGCCATTAATAGTATTTTAGAGAAGAAATCTGCAAAAGCCGTTGATGACGGAAAAGTACTACGACTTATTGCTAAAGCGCCAAACTACCATAGGGGTTTCTACACTTGCCGTGCGCATACAATGAAGAGAACATGTAATATTGTGACGTACGGTGTTATAGGAGAACTTCAATACAAACTGGCAGAGCCGGACGCCACCACAATAATAGCAATTTTCACAACTATACTATTAGTTCTTGGGACGTTGGGGTGGTTGGTTATAGAAGGTATAAACGATTTGCGTAATGGTTACGGTTTCTTTCGAGATGCTCATTTGTCACCAGAGGAAGAAGCAGCGGCAGTTTGTAATTACATTGACCAAAATCTTCATTTATACGGATCTAGAAGCGCTGCTGATATTGCAAAAGCCAGGGCAAGACGTAAAGGTAAATATTTAGGAGGTCGATCGAGTTATGCAGCTCAAGAACCACAAGGCAGAATACAAATTGAAAAAAATCTATCGAAGGGCGGGGATTATCCTTTGAGTGAACCGGAAGAGCTGCCGGCGTTGCCCGAAGTTAAAAGCTTTGTCGCGAATGCAGTTCACAACGTGTATAGATGTGAGCCATCATACATTGCCTCACCAAATCTCGCTTCTAATAATACAGCGCAATCTCAACCGCTGTCTTCATCGTTACAAAGCTCACCAAGGGATCTATTCCCACATTTGTTAGTGTGTAAATCACAAAGTCCTGGTATCGAGAAAGACGAGACACGAAAGAGGTGCTTGCTGCTTAATGAGGTGATTGATGATAAAATAAATACCTCATCACCGGAAACATCACCTTGTAAGTCCCCCGCTCATAAAATCTTGAATAAATTCTACATGTTAAAGCATAGTGATGACTGAAATTTAAAATGATCTGTAAAAGTGATGGTTCATAATTATAGACCCTTTAAACTGAATAATAGGACTTTTTCCAATATCCTAATTATTTAATCTTTTTTTTTCCTATAAGCACTCGCTTTATTCTTTCAACTTTCATAAAGTTTATTGTATTTGGTTTATAATAATGTAAGAAGAATATATGTCTAAGTTTGTTATAATTACAGCACAATTTTGTGAAACTTAAATATGTACCTATAAGATTATTTATTTAATGTGTATTATGTTGGTATTTATTGATTAGAAATTAGTTAATAAATAAAACACTTTGGACACTATGTATTACATTTATATTTCAGATCCAATCAGATACATTAATGAAATATTATAGTATAATAATGTCCAATTTTTAAATAACATTAAAATGCTAAGCTTACATACTTTAGATTATATATTGTGCAGAAGCAATAAATAAACGGTATACGATTTGGTTACATATTTCATTAATATTATGTTTTTAAAAGTTGAATACATGGAATACATAGAACACTACAGTTTATTAATTTTCTATTTCTATTAACACTATTCTGGCACTACATACGCAACGTTACGGCTGCGAATAATTTTCACATGTAAATATTAAAAAACATTGTACTTGTATGTCATTCTCATGGAGCAACACAAACTTATTGACTAGGAATACAGTGACAGAAAATGCTCTACCACGTACATACAAAATAATTTATGGCAAGTATCATTAAATGTCTTTTTAAACGCTATTTAATAAATAAACATTTCATAAATTAATAATTCAAATATAAAAAACATTATAAATTTAACCTATTCAAGGAACATAACTATGACTAAGAATTATTTGTGCAGAACTTTTTCAATTACTCTACATTTAGGTTTGTATATTTAAAATAGGTATGGTGATAAAATGTGACAATAATTATAAATACTACAGAAAACATTTTTTTTTTGACACAAGTGACATTGAAGAACGGCACAAACATGTTCAAGGAACTGGAAGAGACTAGAACAAACCTCACCAGACTAAGGAATACTACCTAAGGTGAGTACAATATATACCACTATATGGTATTCCACCAAAACTCACTGGAAATTGACTATTTAATTTTTTAATACTTTTCTAATAGCTACAAAGACTATTATAAAATGTTAAATACTAATATCGCCAAAATACATTGCGACAAAATGACTTCATAATTATTATTTAAAACATATTAAAACCAATAATATATATATAATAAGGCTGTTAAACAGTTTTCGGAATAATACTCATAAGAGTAAATATTAAAATAAATCCTTTCATGTAATTTCTACATGTCATTCATGTAATTTGGAATGATTAATAAATTAAAACCTGTAACAATTATACAAGTTTGCATTAAAACAACCTTCTAGATATGTGAATTTTAGAAATTACAATTAAAATTCTTAAGCTATTGTTTATTTTCAAGGGTAATTGCAGGACCATACCTAGTAATATTGTAGTTAAATGACAGAATAGAACTGACAATTTGGAAAAAACATTTTCAGTTGTATAGTATAGACAGAAAATTAATAAGACTTAATACTTACTAATAGACAAAAATTTGGCTCATCATAACACATTAATGTTTTACTTGAATTTTTTGCATTTCAATGTTTTATTGCAACGTAATTTCAGTGAACATTGTTTTTGGTAGAAAATCGCAGTTCCCAAAACTCCACCACTCAGGATTGCTGATATTAGAAAATTGCCCATAAGTTTTAAATCTGCCGAGTCTACATATACCGTAAACAAGCGCGCTGGAAAGCACAAAAATATATGAATCAATACATATGGAATTACCAACTGAACTATATAAAATTTAGTGAATAAATAAATGCTTAAGAAAAGTGGGAAACATTTTGAATATAAGTTTGCAGAAATCTCTAAGTTTATATTAGTATTGTAAAACCAAATCAATTTCACTTCTAACTAAAGTTATAAAGATCAAAATTGTATAGTATATTGTATTCCTTCACCATTACAAATCTATAGATGAATTCAATTGAAATAAGAAACTATATTCACTCAATCATGTGTTTAAAGTCTGTAACTACAGACTTACAAAGGTTAAAATATTTATATAGGTCTCTTGTAATTTTTCATTTCCAATTAATTCAACTGTAAATGTGAACATTAAACAAAATAATTACATGATGTCCTTCAACAGTCTGTCCTTTTACAACACTCTGCGATATACTATCAGTATATATTAACGAGGCTTCATCCGCATGGAATTATAAAAACTTTTTTTTATTGTTTACATTTGTCAAATTCTCAATTGCTGTTACCATAATAAACTTGCTTTCATAATGCTGGCAGCTTGGAGTTTATGGTAAAGAAAGGTTTTTTTCAATTCATTTACCCCCTAAGTTTAATAGCGTCTAAATAATACCCTAAAGTGTGTTGTAAGTGTAGGGTTTTTTATTGAAGAAATAATTATTCCCAAATATGCTGTGATTGCTAACATTCTATGCCACAAAGTAGTGTGTTTATGCTTTATTACATTAGTATAGAAATATAGATTATTTTATTACATCATTATACTTACTCAAATTAGTAGATAGGGAGATAATCCATGTAGTCAATGAAACATCATCAGCATGGCCCGTTTTAATCATTCCATAAATATACGATACTTTAGCGAATGCACTCAGAGGTGTACAGAATGGCTGAAATTAATAACAAATTATATACAAACTGAATATGATCTAGATAAAAAATCATATTGAACATAGAAAAGAATTCTAGTTTTACTTTTGTTTTTCTCTTGAACTAAATTCGGAACATTAGGTTGTTTTACATTTACATATTTGTTTATGTTGAATTTTTTTTTATTGTTAAAAATATAAAAGTTAATATTACTCCAGGATCATATTTTAAATGATCAAAAATTACAAGAAATCCTAGAAATGAAAGTAATACAAATACAATATGTATAAGGCAAACAATAGCAGCTTCATAAAGTTTAATAATATGAGTGCTATATCTTCAATAACAGCTACTTACCACAAGAAAGTTCAGAATCTCTCGCGGCAGAAATTCAATCACAAATCCCATAATAGTCAGGAAATAAACAAGTGCTGCAAATGGCACTGCCAATGACCCGAGTAAGTGTTTATATTTCAGCACATAGTATAGAAAAATATACATTTGGACCAATATAATCGGGTATTCCATATAAGTCATGAGGCTGTACTTGTTGGTGAAATTATACAAAGTCACTACTGTAAACCTGAAAAACGAATAAACCAAATCACATTTTTATTAGTAACATGGTTAACGTTCCAATTGATGGCCCTAGGTAGACTATTATTAGTCACAATATTGCAATTTGCACTATTTTTACATTTTTTCAGCTTACTTGGAAAATACCAATTTTTGTATAAATGATATCCAGATCAGGTGTATCCAAACTTACGTCTTAGGACCGTAACATTTTTTATATTCCAGGGCTAAAGCAATTTTAATTTTAGTACCCACCTAAGCATGCACAAGCTTTATTGTTTTTCAATTTCTATTAATAGTGTATTCTGTAAGTTGTGACATGTAAGGACATCTACTTGTAAGTAGTGATACAATGTAATAACAGTATGTACTATCTATTTTAGCTACCCAAACCGAGTAATTATCGAACAGTAACACTTTGGCTGTTGTGGGCCAGATTTGGGAAGAGGGCAGTGGTTGGAGACCCCTGATCTAGAGACTGAAGTACAACATTCACACACAAAATAATAAATAATTAAGCCAACAGTGTTCTGCATTAGACACAAATGAGTTGTTAGAAAAACACAATTCTACTAGAGTGGGGCAAATAAGCTGCGGATTATCAAACTTATCAAACCAAGAATACAAACCCTCCAATTTCCAGCGCCAAAGCTAGAATGTATATGCAGTCTGCTGATCTTGATCTCTTGACACTCAATATCTGAGGCACTTTCAGAAAAAGGCATGATAGTATGGTTAAGGTACTAAGAACATTTGCTATGAATTGTGAATAATTTTCTTCCATGGTGTGTTACTTTAAATCACAATAGATTTTTATTACACGACCCTACGAGTATCGATCGATCTTTTGCTACGAGCTTGGCTGGGGTCTTTAAATTGCTCCGGCAATTGTGCGATAAATTGTTGACAAGGTCAAATAGATAAAAATAAACGTATCAAAATTTACTCCGCCAAGAACATACCGACAAAACATAATATAGAATTATATTTACACATATATTCAATAAAACTTTAGCATTTTTAATAAATATGATAAACAAATTGTTAAAAGTTAAGTCTTAAAGTCCACCAACACTACATTTAATTTAAAACGACATAAAATTGCACGAAATTGTTAAAATTTAAAATTCTATATTCTTTTACAGCAATGTCAAGAAACAAGAAATCAATACATTTTACTTTTTTAACAAATCGTTTAGAAACGCTAAGATGAAATGCCACTCGTACATATTTTTATGAACAGTTTGTTAGGGTTATTTTAAGCTAACATTCAATAAATTTAAAAATAAGTAATGTCCTATTTTTTATCACTTTTTGCATATTTTAATTTATTCATTTTGTATGTTATGGTTGCTTACTATTAATTTGTAGTTATTTAGATTTTTTATAGTGTCAACATTTGCCTACTTTGTTTTTGGTACGATCCGATGCTGGCAATAAGCGTAGCACGAAAAAAATATTTGGCATAACTTGATGTCTAGATGGCGCCACATGTTTCACATTTCGATAATTTGGTTCTACTCGGTGGCTTATTGTTGAAACTTCGACTTTGCAATAGGGATTTGGGTTTGATTCATGAAACTTTTTATGATTTACGCTCGATGTATGACATGACAAGATACCTTTACGCAAACACCATATCATTTCGAACTTATCATACTTTATGAAAACTACACTGATATCTTGGTGCGTGGCAGTCGAGTACACTGCCACGCACCAAAGCGAGCTTGCAGGAATACATCAGACACGTGCAAATGAATCAAGATCTTAATAACTATAAAGTTTTAAAACATGTTTCTGTTTGAAATACATACTTCCCAGCTTTCTTAATAGTTAGACTTCATTGTCTGTAGGTTTACTTTTCGCTTCCGCCCAAATCTGACTTACAAAAGTTTGAATGTGATTTATAAGGAATTGTTATAAATATTAGACGTCAAAATTGCATTAGACACTTTTTATATAAAGAAGAGCTAGTGCTTGACACGATCTCACTCGATGTTAATTGGTGATGTGGTCAAAGAGATGGTACGCGCAAGTTTAGCAGGTGCATCTTCACTCCAATAATCTTACTTCTTCTTACTAATATTATAAATGCGAAAGTTTAGATGGATAGATGGATGGATGGAAGTTTGTTAGAGTTTGTAGCCTAAACGGCTGAACGGATCTCGATAAAACTTGGCATAGACGTTGAGGATAATCTGGAAGAACACATAGGTTACTAATTTTGGTATTTTGAACTCCACGCAGACGGAGTCGTGGGCGAAAGCTAGTAGGTTATAAATCAATGATTTCTCCAATTTGACCATGGTTTAATTGAACGATAAGTTATTAATTACTTTTGTATCTCTACCACCACCAACAAAGCGGGATGAATAATGATGATATCTCGACAAAATAATAACATTGAATTATTATTTACTAAAAAAAACATTCTCGTAAATATCTAAAATTTGATTATATTTATTGGGCACGAAATTATTTTTAAACATTACATTACATCATTTGGCCGCCAGATAGTCGCCAACAAAGCAGCGAAGTCAGTTGTGTGGGTGGATGCGCAGTGCACAAGTTTCTTACTTAGCGCAGCTTCAACCCTGAGGTCCTCCCTCTGCGCCCTGAGATCAGAACGTTCCGAGCTTTCCCCTTCATCAGTCGGTTCATTCGAATTCTAAAAGCGTGAGAGGAACATTTTGCCGTTTTTTTCAAAACATCGCCGCGAGCGTAAAACTTCAAAAGTTGTTAATTCATTTTAATAAATTCATATTAAGAGCATATTTTTTATTATTTTCATATATTATTATATTTAACAATCATGTATATCACTTACTTGAAACTTTGTGAGATTCTATCCGTTTCTTGTATGTTCATGCATTTTTTTGATGACAACCAAGAAGAGGAAATAAATGAAACAGAAGAAACAAAACAAAGAGAAGAACAGGTATAAAGACTTAAGCAAAAATTCCAAGTCAAAAAAAGGAAATTCAAAATGCCAGGTTAGTAATACCATAAGTAAAATTAAAAAAATAAACAGCTCCGTAAATTAAAGAAGCTGGCGTTTTCTTTAGTTTATTTTTTATAAATTAATATTTACTAATAATTTAGCATCTTTATCATAGATTTTAAATCTGTAAAAACGATTACATCTTTTTTAAATTGTTTTCGGAAAAGAAGATTTCAAAAAGCGATTTTTGCTGCAATGTTGATGTTTTATTTGATCCTTTTCTTGTAAATTCACCAACAATTTGTTTTGTTAGTAATATACTAAACTATATATGTTTTTTTCCTTTTTTTATACATATATTTTATCTAGGGAAACTTAGCTGCTTTATTTTTTCATTGCGATTGTTTATTTGTGCATATTAAAGTTAAAAAGCGGAATAATAATGTAAAGATTTGTTCCTTACATTTTTACGACTTGTTTGTATGAGCTTAAAAGGAATGCGTTTGAATGTGTAACTAATTGTATGGTCATAACGTGAAATGTGTTTTTTAAGCGTTTTTTACACTCAATGACTCGGTAACATTGTTTTTAAGTCCAGCTACTAATTTCTGAAATTAACAATCGAATTTCAAAATTATTTCAATACGTTGTTTGGGAAGACAAACAAGAATGGATCGACCGCCCTCTAAAGCAGTAGGCCCGGGATTCCTTAGTACTACCGAAGATCCGACCGGGGTGTAAGATGGCTGGAAATAAATTGATGGTCAACAGATTGAAGAAGAAATGTAGAAATAGGGGATTATCTGAAGCCAATTAAATCTGGAAAAATAAAATACAAAAACAATCGGAAGTCTCCGCTTTAAAAGATAGTTGAGATTTTTACTGCTCAATTTGAAGCAAATGGTTCAAAGTATTAATTTAAAATACTTCTGACCATCTAAAATGGTTTTTACATCAATATTGGGTTCTGTAATGTAAAACACAATAGAAGCCGACGGCGTTTGAGAAAACAGTATATAGCTACGTCAGCAGCGACGGACACTCAAGACATGCAGTTGATTTAAACGAGAATAGTAAATTCACAGTCTTAAATTTAAAATCCAAAAGCAAGAATACATTGATAAGGCTTAATATGATTTTTTTGTGTATCCATACAAAAATCGATAATCCAGATTAATACCCGATTTCAATCATTTCCTTTGCCGACTCATGTCTTTTAAATTGACGTTTTAACGCAAATTGATTAACAGAACGAGATACGGTAGAGTATTGATATAAACACTTCGTTGTCTCCGCTACTTCTTTGCCTTCAGCCAAAAGAATTCAACGCGTGGACCAGATGAAGCGAGAGAAAGTGACTGCTGTATTGAAAGGCTGCAATTTTTACAGGAATCTTTAGGCCCTGTAACATATATCACCGTACAATAAAGGATCATTACAATAATTTTATCTGCACTTCTACAGTTTCTACTAGATTTAAGAGTCGTAGTAACAGATTTTTGGGTGTGTCCATCGGCGTCGAAAGCCGAATGATCTGGCAAAGTCTCTGGGATATGGGCAACCCTTATTGGGTCTTTTTCAAAGTACTTTCTATTTCTATTTTAGTTTTATGATTCTCTAGGGGGAGGGGCAGCGGCGGCAACAACTCCACCTGGAGGTAGCCGTTAGGTTTACCAATTTGTGCAACAGATATTGTAGCGCAACTGCATTTCTGTTACCTTCGCAAATTAAAACATAGTTAATTTCGCTTATGTTTTATTTTTTGATGTTTTCGCCAGCGCAACCAGCCAATGCGAAATTATACAATGAGTATGTTAAAGCTATCCTGTCTTATACTTTTTCTTGTCTTTTTCCATGCTAACATTGGGTAAATAATAATGTGTATAGATGACACGTAAGCACTTAATTTAGAACGTAACATAACTGTTTTTCTTAGAAACATTTTAATAATAAAAAAATCTTTATATTTCTTTTTTCTTCAGATACTATTTATATTATATACTGCTTAGTGCTAGCGGATAAGATTAAGTATTAAAAATGGAAAAATTAAGCTTTTTAAATTATCTTTTGTAAATTATGTTTGTGCTTTCTGAAAATAGGTGACGTTTTAAAAGTGGTAGAGCCCGCTTTAACATCACACGAATGAGTCGGCGCGCCCGGTGTAATACCAAGACCACACAGAAAAGAGGCGTGAAGTGGAAGCAAGTCCGCGTTTCGTCTGATGAGTGTGGTGCCGGAGGCCTAACTTAGTCCCTTCCCCTTTCCACCCTTTTCTTAAGAGGAGAGGATGGGAGGGAAAAGTGGATTTGACGGTAGAGGAGATTCATAGGCAGGGAAATGTCCTCTTTATGTGCGTCTCCTCCTCCGTCAGTTAAGGGTAGGCAACGCATCTGCAATTGCGGATGTTTATGGGCAGCGGTCGCTTTCCATTTCAGTGGATTCGGGTGGCCGCTTCGTCGCTTGCCACTTAATATTATAAAAAAAGTCATCAAAAGTTCATAATATAATTTAACAGAACACTATTGAGGTTTTAGCACATTAGCACATGAATACATTGTTTAATATCATGGTCTCGAAAAACATTTACATAGTTTAAGATTTGGCATATTATTAAAAGCTTTTTAGATAGTAAAAATGTTTTTCTAATGCTGGCCACAATTTAAAAACGTCATTGTTGGGTAAGCATTCGATATAAGCAGTTAAAGTATCACCTTATATAGTACCTAATGTTAGTTAATGTTTTGTTCACTTCAATTTCTTACTGTAGTGTGTTAACGTTTATAATATCCATAAAACAATAAGCGAGTAATCAAAAATCAAACTTAGAGACTGGCGGAGCATCGCACATAGTGTAGTTTTCTTGCAAGAGAAAATAGAACGTTTAATGCATTAGTTTTATTGCATTTAAGAATTAGAGACGCATCGTTTAAGCATTTTTTTCATTCGTACGTGTAACTTCTACGATTAGTAGCATCCGTAATTTGATAATCCGAAATATAAAGCAGCAAGAAGGAGGAACATACTGGAATTTCATAATTTGGGGCCTAATTAATACAGTACTAGGAGGTGCAGTTATATTCCCGGAAGGTGGATCCTACCGTGGTATTCAGTGGTGTATCGCAATTTTGCCCGAGACGTCGAGGGGAACATAAGTTCATGTATTGGCGATAGCGTAAAGTTATAAAGAGACGATAGACACTCCTGCGCAGGAGCCTATATTATTCACCCACCTACGCAGGAAGATACTGGCAGCTGACCACCAGCGACCATTCGGTCCGAACACTTTAAGTTACATGACCGCAAAAAACGACATCAGTGAAAATCCGCTACATGTCAGCTGGCCATAGTTACCTTTTATTTCATTACAGTGAACAGGGCAGGCTGTTTAACAATTAGCATGTTTCATTTTATATATAGAAACCGAGTTTTTTATTCATGCTTTAGGCTTAAAATGAATTAGTTTTTCGATAAAGTGTACTTTTGGCATTTTTAAACATATTGTGTGAAGTTTTAGAATCAGTGTGTAATTTTTTTTTATTGTCCCAGGGAAAGGTTCAGCTGCCATGGGCATAGCAATGCTCAACGCCACTGTAGGTGCTTATAACCGCACTTATTCTCCGATCGCGCTGAGCAATGAGTGGTCAAAAGTTAGTCGGCTGCTGTTCGTGGCGATCTTTTGCGTCTTCGGGACGATTATGAATGGATTTTACTTCGTTTCTTTTCTGGTGGAGAAGAAGCTAAGTAAGAAAGGTACGTTTTTTTGCAGGACTAGCTGTTGCTCGCACTTTGCCATCGTGGAATTATAAAAGTACCCTATGATGTTTTACAGCATATATGTACCTTTCTTTAAAACTCCCATCTAAGTCGGTTAAACCGTTGCGGATTTTACCAGGAAACAATGCGGCCTTGCCGACAGACAGCTAGACAAACAGACAACAATCTTAAAAACATTTCGATGTTACAAATACCTTCCAATTTTATTTATCTGTAAATCACGTATTAATAGAGTTTCATTAAAAATGACCGACCTTTAAGCTGGGTAGTTGATTTTTTGTCAAGTTACGACAATATTAATTAAAATTTAAATACAACAAACTTGACTTAACCTCCAATAAAATATTGGGAAACACAATGGGGCTCCGGCAATATGAATCAGTATAACAAACTATAAATTACTATACCAATTTTTATTGGTAAGATCTGCTTTACTTGTAAGTAACTAGTTACTGTGCGTTTAAGTGCAAATATTTTTAATATAATTCCTATTTCAAATCGAACACATGCATACAACACAATACTCATTTTTCATTTGTTTCTATCAAGATTTAAATGATGTAAATGGAAGAATAATAAACAAGGTTTTTACATGTGAATTTAACTCGTAACACATCAATTATCTTCCTTCTTCCTCATATGAATGTTAGCGATTATCATATTAATAAGTGTGAAAGTTTATATGTTTAATGTTACGTCGGAACTTCAGAATGGCTAGACCGATCTGAAGGAACTTTAGAACTGATGTAGATCACAATGTGGAATAGCGTTTACGGTACCAACTCCGTTTTTAATCATACTAATATCATAAATGCAAAAGTTTAGATTTATGGATGAATGAATGGATGGATGTTCGTTAGAGTTTGTAGCCTAAACGGCTGAACGGATGAAATTTGGCATAGATATAGAGGATAGTCTGGAAGAACACATAGGCTACTATTTTTTGTTTTTTTTTTTTTAATTCTACGCGGACAGAGTCGCGGGCGAAAGCTAGTCCTTTTATAATTCTACGCTGACGAAGTACAGCTATCATATAGCAAAGTTAATTAATGCTATTTATTTTGGGGTAACAGGTAATGTGTTTTTGGCTTTGGTCGGACTCGCCGACTTAATGATCACTGGAGGTGTCATGTCAGTGTCGACGGTTGTCCTGCTTTCGGGCCAATGGGACAACCCAGAAGTATGTCACGTTTTACAATTTATAACTGAAGTGTCAACGTACACTTACACAATATTTTTCATGGTAAGTTTAGTTTAAATAATAAGTAGTTAAATTTTTCTGTATGCATTATCTCTTAATATAACAGGTAATTGACTGGGTTTTCATTGTCTACAGCTGGCAGTAGTGGAGAATTTTCTTCAGGTCTCCTGTCAGCCATGTCACACTCGAAAGTTCGTGAACATTGGGGTGAATAACGTAGTACCTCTGGTGTATATCGCGAGTGTTACTGCTGCAATTTACGGAGTATACAGTGGCTATGACTACGACTATTGCCAGCGACTACATTATGGACATTATAATTATAGGGCTTACACCTCTATATTTTTCTATTTTGTTCCATGCATTATAACAATTACATTACTTTTAGCAACAACATTTCATGTAAAAAAACGCGGCGTGAATGAAATTTACTATAAACGTTCTCAACGCTACGACGACGAATATTCTCGCGCTGCCTTAAATGTTTTGGCATATTTTCTGTACGTTATAGCCTGGACACCCTACCTGATTATTATTTATCAGTATCCTCAAACATCGGATTCAAAATATTACAAATGTGCTTGGCTAGGGATTTCCCGATCGGTAGTGACTAGCATCTTTTACTGCACTTTGGATAACGATTTCCGACGAGCGTATGGTTACCTCTTTAACTACTGCTTCTGCAAAACGACTGTGTCATCGTCATACTATTCGCGTAACAGAAGGGCTAAACACAGGCCAACTAATGAGGTAGGCCTTAATGTCTTGACTCAAGCCCTTAACCCCCAGAGATCTGCGTCTGCGTCGCGGTCGATGGAGACGATAGAATTATGAGCACCTGCCCCGCGCCAGTTCAGGGACTCCGCGGTCAGCTGCAACATTTCACCACCTAAGCCTAACATTACCAAGGTTTACGTACAAATTAATACTAATAATAACTCAGAAGTATATTATGACACGTACTCTCCCACAAATACGGATTCGGAAACGGAAATACGTTAAGTGTATTTCAATATCAAAATGTGCGTCCATGATCCTATTCTTCAAAAAATTGACTAACAATAAAATATATCTAAAATTGTAATCTAAATGTGTTTACATTCAAAGTTATACTTTGAGTATTTTCATAACAACACCACCAGTTTCCCTTGTTCAATCAAAAAGATACTCGCGGTTGCAATGATGTAAAGTATGGGATCATCATCAAATCCTTTGATCTAGATAAACGTATACGATTACACGCACTTGTCAGTGCGTTTATATTAGTTGTCGTTTCTGACATTTGTAACACGAGAGTGTAGTATTGTTTTTTATTGAAGAAACATATCTTAACTTTATATTTATAATATGATGTATGAACATATCACATCATATTTGAACATATCAGAAAGCTCAATTGAAATTTGACATCATGTTAAATATTAATTGTATTTTAAACTTTTTTTGGAAAACTGAAATGGTTGAATATATTGCAAAAATATCAAAGTCACCCAACACAATTTTATACTTACGGCATACAGCGAGACCATTTTTAAAAAGATAAAATCTTTTCTGTACTTTTAAATGTATTTCTATTTGTATTATTAAATAAATAAGGGTCCTATATAAAGCTTTAAACTTATAATTTATTTTAAAAATATAGATTTTTTCTAAAAATGGCAAGAAATGAGAAACTTTCAACTTTTAGTTTGAAAATATTATTAATGAACGTTCGATTCAATTTTTAATTTAAATTCAAATACAAGTAATTGATATTTACTCGTTTGCATTGAATGTTAAATTTGTGCTCAATAATGCACACAGTTTAGTAATTCTGCTATTATAGGTATTGTATTTATCAAAGTTAACTACGTATTCGTGATGTAACATCTTTATCCTTTATCTAAGAAATATTTCTAGTGCATTGGACGCACATTTATAATCCGTGGAAGACGTATTTTTCAATATTTACATAGAACATAAGCAAATTTATATAATAACGTAGATTTAATTAAAGTGATATACATCTGAACCACATGAAATGTACGTAATCAAACAAAAACTCAGGCTCTGAAAACGGATACCGATTTTGTGTAAATAGTTCTGTGTGAACTAGAAATAGTTGCTAAAAGTAGTAAAAAATACGTGTTAAAAATAAAGTGTTAAAAAATACAAAAAAATGTAGCATTAAGTAAAGTGAATTTGATCGGCGCCCTCCTTTAAGATGGACCAATGGTGAAGACTGTGAAAAATGTTTGCATGCGAACCGCGGAGGGTTGCATTGGCAAAGGTTTATGGATGTAAATTAGTGTAATTAAATACATTTAAACAGGATCGTAACATAGAGAGGTAGACAGTGGATTCGGATTTGCGTTTAGTGCAGTCCAGCCTCCATCGATGCCAGCTCAATAGTTGCGAGTTCCATTAGTAATAGTTACTACATTATTCCGCCGTAGCCAAAATCGCTTTCAAATTAGAAATAAAAACAAAGGAAATACAAAAAAAAAAATAAAAAATAAAAGAAATTCAAAAAATTACAAAATACAAAAAATACAAAAAAAGTAGCTCTAGTGTAGAATGTAGAGGTTAAACATTGTTTCAGTAGTCGAAAAGTAAAAGTATTTTGTGTGTTATCTGACATTAAACGTCGTAGCCGGCTCAGTACTAATGGTTATTGTTAAAGATCAGTGCAATGTGTTGAACAATTACGGCAATGCCTAAACCGAACTATGTGTTTTTGCAATGTATTGGACAATTACAATAACCCCCAAAACGGACTATACATGTGTTAATGCGATGTGTTGGAAGTTACAATAACGCCTAAAACGGACTATATATGTGTTTATGCGATGTGTTGGAAGTTACAATAACGCCTAAAACGGACTATATATGTGTTTATGCGATGCGTTGGACATTAACAATTACGCCCAAAACGATCTACCTGGACTCGAAAATGGATACCGATTCTTTAGCGATCATGTGTTAAATCGGAAAATAATATCATTTCTATTATTTACAATGTTTAGTTTCCAAATTTTTCTGTTCTGAAATACTTTAATATATTTGATTCAATTTAAATGTAAGAATTTTATTCAAAGTAAAGTTGATTTATGTATTTTTATTTCCTTTTTGAAAATACTTTTATTTGTAGGATTTAAAGCCTACACAAAAAGTGTTTTTTTGTAGTTTTAACTGTACTAATTCTATCTTCATGTAGTGGGCTTATGTGAAATAGTTGTAGATGTTATTACTATAGAAAGCTTTGTAATATAGCGTGTGTTAACATATTTAAGAATTTTCAAATGTATGTTACATTTTGTCGTAACAGTCCGGGTAAAAACCTTTGTCAATAAAGAATAACTCCGAGATTTCCTTTCATTTAAAATACTGATAAGTAAAATAACAAAATATTCCAAAACAACATTACAGGTATCCAGCATTATATATATAATAATAATAATAGTTTCATGGTTGAATACATACGTTACATTAAAAATGTCGTAGTATCCAATAGGCAAATGTTGCAATTCAGTTTAAGAGTTTATTTCCAAAAGGTTTTTGTTTTTAATTCATTGTTTTTTTAATGCTGGGTTTTTTTTTTACATTTAATTATTTAAACTTGATCATACAGTGGACACGTATACTCCGTGTGCTTGAAGTATGCAACAGATGATGTCTGTACCGTTCATCTACACATGCGATCAAGTTATGAATTTGATAACTGACAAAGGTTTGCATGTTACCCACTGTACAATTGTAATGTAATTTTTGAATACTGGTCACTAATTAACTATTTATAATCTATAATTTTTATTCCACCTTGAGTTTCCACCATCGAAATATCTTTACCAAAAACATATCGTCGTCCTTTTCATTCACATCTAAAAAATACAGATAACAAAGTATTTTCGTATGGGTGTTTCGGCAGTGAAAACTCACGGTTAAGACTTCTACAATTTCTTTTTTAACTTCAAAGTGGTGAGGTCGTTCGAGATGGCTTTGAAAAGTTTTTACAATTATTTTCAATCATATTCTTACAGGACATATCCGTCCTTTGAGATATTTTTGTATTTGAAAGTAATAAATAGTATTTATGAGGTTATAGAAGAGTGTATATATTTTATCCGAGATTCTATTTTTATTCACTTAAACGTATCAAATGTTGTTCTCGATGAGTAAAAAACGCGATTAGACGGCGCGACACGAGTTGACACAACACAAAATGTCAAGTGGAAGTTTTTTAGCCTTTGTGTCGTAAGCTGTCCATTGACCACCTCAAGTCGCTGTCATAACTCACAGGACATCAATGCAAAATCCCTATTTTTGTACTCAACCTTTATCGTACCGGAAAACCGTACCTGCGTTAAATTTTCTAATACAATGTGAACGTGGACTTTAATATTTCACAGAGATAGAAAATTCAAACAGGATGTAGGTACTAAATGAAATTTTCAGTTTAATAAAACAAAATATTTTTGATGAGAATGATTGAGATTTGATAAGAAATGGAGCGAACGACTGTTTCCTTCGTTATCTATTTTTATATAGATATATTGTAAAATTTTATATTTTACTATTTTTTTGACACAGCTATATACAAATACTATTTTCAAAAAGAAATTGACCAGTATATAAGTATGTAGAATTTGAAGTATCTTTCTCTTGTAGATATAAGAACGTAGTAGCTTTAAAACCTGCATTCCTTATAAAACATATCGTATTCGTTTACTTACGTAAATATACTTATATATGTCACATTCTCATATGTTACCTGATTGAATTAATATTATTTTAAAGTTGTTGAATATTGTAACATGTTATATTTTTAATAAGTTTAAACCAAATATGTTAGGTTGATACTGCCAGATACATAATCCGGGGCATAAACTACTTGAATTCACAAATTGTATATATCTTGAAATGATCGCATTAACTAAAATGACACAGATGCAGAAATGTATAATACAGTAAATAGGTACATTTTTACTTAAAAAGATGACGATATCTTAGCACAATAATGCAGCACAAAAAGATAATGTAAAAATACCTCAAAGACATGTAAAGTGCCGGATAAACGATCAATTTTTTTCTCAAATTTTGTATATTTTTCAAAATTAGATTGTATGCGACTTTGACGCTTTTGTCCATATTTGAAGTCTTTGGCGAATGTTTAGTCAAACAAATTTAGCAAAACATTTGATTGTTTACAAGGCGCTTTAAATTTAAGAGCTCCGTATCTGGTGGTGTATATTTTTAAATGTTTTTTTTACAAATTCTGCTGAGAGTAATCGATGTTATCCTGCTGTAGAAACTTTATGAATGTTAAAAATAGTTAGTGTAGGTTGGCAAGAAGGTTCTTTATGGTTTTAAGTATGCAATAATACTCAATATCTTGCATGAATTTAAACTTTGTATGGAAAATTGAACTGTTTTTCAACTTAAATTACAAGAAATTAATTTTTACAGCAAATTAAAGGTAATATCGAGTATCAAATCCCATCTGAACATTTAACTTTAACAGAAAAATAACCTTACAAATTTAACTCTATGAATTGGAGCAAACCTAAAATACTTTCTTGCCAAACATTTCTTTAGTAGCTGTTATTAAATGTCTATTTAAATATATGTGTATGTACCATGCGTTTCAAATAAGATTGTGCTTGAAAAAGCGCCGTATTGTGAAGTAACAGACCCCTTAGATAAAGTGACTTTCGATTAGTGATATCGCTTGTAGAATCGACAAAATATGTCAAAACGTATCTGAATGAATACGTGACAAGCATGTGACTTATCAAATATTATTGTCAGTTCCATACATTTAGACTTTTCGATCAGCGATAACGATAATTGAATGTTACTTTGTTTAAAATACAAAATAAGAAAAACCAGTTGAACAGATTTTTTGTTATATACGCATCTTTATTCCAATATCGTCACTATCCTCAATAGCTGTTGAAAGATTTACATAAAGTTGAAACAACTTTTGAACTGTCGAAAAAAAATTAACAGTCAGAGAACAATATAAAAAAATGGTGACTTTATAGGTATAAAGGTGAGTATACACGTTAATTGTTAATCTGCCGGCACCAATTGTTGGTCTTATCACTGTACGACCGTCAGTACACGGAATCGATAGCGACAGATTTTGAACGGTCGTCGTACAGATGCTTTTAATGTCGTCGATAAAAATTTTCACCTTAAAAAAATGTCGTCGCTTATAATTGTCACCACTAAAAAATCTTAAAGCTTAAACTATCGACTACTTAAGTTTTCCGTGTACAGCGGTCCTAAAAAAATAACATCTACATGATTATTGTTAAATTACCTTAATAACGCTCAATTTTGTTTAAAACGCATTTAGAAAAAAGTTTAATAAATTCTTTGTGTGTCTATAAATGAATTTTATTTTTCTCTTACATTTTCATTTTCGACCCTATGAAAACAGACAAAAATTAAAGCTGCAATCGGATTCATAATCAACTCTGCATTTTAGTATAATAGTTACTTTATTGAAAAGTTCTATTTATTCATTAGAGAACTTAATTTTTTCGAATGTTTAAATCAAATAGTAAGTTGTCGTTAAGCTCGAAGAAAAGCTACATTTCATAGAAAAGGCCGGTAAATATAAATTAAGTTCACCTGATGTTGATCACTGCCTGATGTATTTATAAACAAATCAAATCTAATCATTAATGTTAAGAAAATAGCCTAAATATAAACGACTCTAGGAAAAGGTGGTGCTTTGGAAAACTGGAGTACATTACGTAAGTAACTAAGTTTTTGTTTCAATGTTTTCGATTTTGTTTTTAAAAAAGCTTTGTTCAGATTACTCTATCATTGTAACAAACAAAATACTCGAATATTTCGCATACTGTGAAAATTAAAATTGAATCCTTGAAACTACTTAATTCTAATGAAAAAATAGTTTAAACATGCTTAAAACATTGGATCCAAAAAACGATAAGTTAATAGTTGTCCGTAACTCCTAGAGTTATAATAATCTTGCAAATATGTTATTTCCGTGTAACGAGGCGTTTTTGTTGAATGTCAATCGTCATATAGCCTTGCTCAACAGTGTTTCGGGTTACGAATTGTAACGGTGAAAGGCGGTCGCAAAGTGGGGGCAGCGCAATCCGCGCCATAGCCGACTTCGATCGTCAGTCCACTCGTCCCCGCGCGCATGTTTGTTACTCACCACTAAAACCCGGATCTCCCGCGCATACATCGTCTTCAAATGGGAAACTTTTACTTTCGAAGGAAATTATAAATTCAAGGATCTCAGTGCCAGTGTACGTGCCTGTGCTTTGCAGAATAATATGCATGTGACGGAATACTTTTGACATATAATTTGTTATGATAAAAAGAGACAATCGTAAAATGTTTCTGTGTGTATGTCTCGTTATTTGGAGCGCTGCCCTCGTGCCGGCTCTGGCCCAAGGTGAGTCGAACAATGAAAATATTACTCCTTACTTGTGTTATGCGCAAAAAATTGAAAGTATGCGCACAAGTTTCTGTTTCTTGAAGGAAATATTGAGCTTACAAAAGAACAGTTTTTCGATCTCTACCTTATAATAATCGAGAAGGATAACCGGTTCTTAGGTTTTATAATATTATACAGATATGACTTGATATTAAATTTTAAAACGAAATTTATGACTAACATTTATAATGAAACTACCTTCACTTGCACAACGCTTAATAGAAAATATGCACGAGATTTCTCTAAAATCATATTAATGATCAAGACGATTATATTAAGTTACATACGCCATATAATAAAAAAGAATAAAATATTACGAAAACGGTACTCCGTAGAAGGAAAAGGACAATTCGAAACAACACTGCAACACTGCGAATGAAGTCACAATTTTGCGTCATTAGTATTAAAAACGTAACTATATTATTGCATTTCGCTTCTTTAATCTTCGTCTAAATTCAGAAGAAATAACACTCGTCTTATAAATAAAATAGAGAACTAACCATTGCACATCCTTTTTTTGTTCTCTTTTTAATACAGTTTTACAGTTGTTTTGGTCTATCAAGAACAAAATTATACAGAAGTCAAATTCAAAGTTTATATTTCGTGCAGACCAACGCCTACATGGAATGGGTTTTACTGATTTTCAAAGTAAACTCTTGTTAAGGTTTAAATATAATATAATTAGACTTAAATGTGTGTTCTTAAAAACTATATTCATACTAATATACTTATACTAATATACTAATATGATAAATGCGAAAGTTTAGATGGATGGATGGATGGATGGATGGTTGATGGATGGATGGATGAATGGATGGAAGTTTTTTAGAGTTTGTAGCCAAAACGGCTGAACGGATTTCGATGAAATTTGGTATCGATGTATAGGATAGTCTGGAAGAACACATAGGCTACATACTTTTGTTTTTTTATTCTATGCGGACGGAGTTGCGGGCGACAGCTAGTATTCTTATAAACTCATTGGGTATTAAAAGTTTCTTTTATAATTTTCTAGAGCTTGCCCTATCAGATCAAATTAGCATAACTAAAATGGCGAACGATAACTGGTTCCTACAGATTTCTCTATCGACGGAACCGAATAATTAATTTGTATCCATAAATATTGAGACTTATTATAGGGATTTAGTTTAATTATAAAATGTTAGAGGTTACCCGTTTACTTCAAAAGCACATTGCACATTGGTAAATACAAAAAGTTTCTGATAAGTACATTAAACTTTAACTTTGTAGACTCTTGAGTTAATTCATATTGACTTTTTTCCAAATTATTTTCTCCTTTCTACCTACTACCATGAACATTCTTTAATTCTAATTCAAGCCGACAATCTATTTAATGATAGTCATTAATAAATATCATGTTAAAGCTAATACATAAAAATGGCTGGCGATCAAAATAAGAATGTGTACAATGTATAACTTAATTTTGGATTACTTTAATTTATGTTATCCTTGTTCACGTTCAATCATTAATTTGACTGATATGGCTTGACTTTACGCTACAAAAGTCCTAGCTTTCGATTTCATTACAAAAATTAAACAGCATACAATATACGATTATCTTGCTCGGTCGCCTAGCGGCATGCGGTGTCGCGTGCTCGACTGCTTTCACTTGTGCTGCCACTAAGTACACATAGGGTTGTCAATTGAACATTAATAAAACATATAACAAGTTAATGTATTCCTACATTCTCTACATGACTGATGTCGATAAAATAAGAATTCTAGTGGGTATTATTCATTAAGACTGTACGATGTATACCGTTCATATGGTTTACCAGACATTCCTAAAGTAAAATGAAAACGTAAAATAGTTATTTATCACAAAAAGAGTCTTTTGATTTTTTTTTGACACATGTTACGATAATCATAACGTTGTGACTAAGTGTGATCAGTAAACCGGCGTGATCGCAAGCCGGCGTGTTCCATTGATCGATATACAACCGGTCTTCTGCCTGTGCTATCCGGCGCGACGCTAAATACCTCGCAACTTTGCAACTCTATGCTAACATCACACTACTTAGACCACCTTTCCACTAGCGCGACTAGCCGCAGCGACAGCTATGAGAGTGTATTTTACATTTCCACATATCGACCGCGATTACTATATAAAATGCGACCAGACAGTCGCTTAATGAATAAAGAGCGTTATTCACGTAATTATAAAAAGTATTAGAAAACACACCAATTATTTTGTAATTCTGAAGTTTTAATCATAAACATGATTTATTTAAGAATTTATGTTCATGCAAAATGATACCGAAACTCATATTTCATAACAATAATCTATTTTGTGACATTTGAAATCATAATTCAGATTCAATATAAAATAAACGACACTTACAACTGCATTTAGAGATATGTAATTTACAACATCTATCAGCGGGAATCTACTATAAGGGACTGTTATAAAAACCATTAGACAACTCTGAGAATTGCAGTTAAATGACAAAATAATAAACCAACACTGATCAACACTTATACATACATAACCACTCCACAGATCTATTACATAAATAATAGTGATTACGGATTGGTAAAGTCTGAAGTAATGACGCCATTAACAAAGACTTGTGTTGCAAATGTTCATCTTCTATAGCATGTTAATCTTTACTATATTACACCAAAATATAATTAGATATGTTTTAGTTAAACACAGCTTTTTAATTATTTGCTGCTCAATTGATATTATGGACCCCGACCTTTTTATATTTTAACCATAAATATGTTTATATTACTGCACTGATTTATAATTAATTAATAGTCAAAATTGCATCTATCAAACCTCCGTCCAAACTCCGTACCTGGTGCTAGTCACCCTATCGCCTATCAAGGAGCGATAAAAGGGTTGACATTTAATCTAAAATGTATTTGAAACACTGTTTAAGCTTTTTATGGTTAAGCTTCTATCTCTGAACAATATTGATAACATCAAAGTATTAATTAAACGATAATAATATTAATTATTGAATGGTAACATCAATGAAAACGAAGCATCTTTGAGTAAGTACTTTGTAGAATTTCCAATTATTCATTAGAGAAAGATATAGCATTTCTTTGGCTTCACAAAGATCAAATAAGCTTAAGCTTTGGTTGTCAATTACAAGTTTATTTAATAAAAGGCAACATTTAAGTAGAGCTCAAATCTTAATACCTAAAAAAATTACTCATGAAATTATTTACTTAAAACAAACACTTTTAACTTCTATTAAATGTCATGCAAAAACACGAATACATTGTCTGTCTACCCTTGAATTTCAACCATCCTTGCGTAAAACAACAATACTGTTTTTCTTTTTTTTTCTAAAAGAAAGTAAGGGGATGGCAATTGTTCATTGTTAGAAATTAAAAGATTCTTGTTTATTTAAATAGAATCTCCTTCAATTAGTGTAGCAGACACCAGTAGATATTTGCAAGGTTGCAACAAGCGCTCGAGGCGAATAAAGCAATTAACAAACTATTTAATAACATCTGACAGCGGTTTGGTGCACTCTATACTTTGTAAAATTTGCTTCTTACGAACTTAAAATGTTGGCAGAACGTGTTTCTTGATATTGTAAAGTCAAAGTAAATTTATAACCGTCGTTTTCTATTATCAAACATACAAAAACTACTAACACATTGCTATGTCTGAAAACTCTCGGTAAATTCAGTTTCCACGGTAGCACATAACATCGCTACGAGCTCTAACCATTCTACGCGTACTATTCGTGTTCGACGCTCATAAAAGAATTCGTTAATTAGTGCCCCTTACTCGAGCGTCATCTGACTTCCGAGAACAACGTTACATGTTACGTAAAGCAGCTTCACGCAAACTCTATGCACTCGCATCGCAGTGAGATAGCTGTTCTCAGCAATTTCAGTGGAAATTTAATGAACGTACTGGCCGTCGATAATTATTTGCTTTGTTAAAATTTGTCATTATTATAAAGACCATTATTATTAAAATTTAATTACTAACGTATTAATATTTAACATAAATGTTTAAACCACGTATGGATAAGGTACAAAACTACTATATTATAGGAAACCAGAAAGTAATTATATTGAGAAATAAAGGCAGATGATGAACGAATTTGGTGCGAAGAGTGGGGGAAGTCTACAACCAGCAGTGGACAATCACAGGCTGAATTCTAAAAAAGAAAACTGTATCAAACAAATTAAAGGTCGATCAAGTTTCTTATAATACTATATATTACTTTGAATTTCATATATGATAAATTAAATTAGTTGATGTACACGGCACAAAGTAATATTTCAATGCAGTTTCATATTACACGTTTATTACTTATTAAAATTTCATTTGATGTGCTCTTCAAAAGGCAGCGATGAATTCTTTGAAAACGGACGGTTAATTAATTTAAACACAGATTTATATCTATTCATTTTTCTTTGCCTTTGAGAGTTAATACTAGAACATAATTAAATTTAATTATGTTAAACATAATGTTTTGTATCTCTAAAAAAGTATTATTTACTTAAAAATCTTTAACATTGTAAACAACGCGGGCAACTAACCTGAGTTAGAGAATTTTGGAAAATGTGTTAGTTAGTTTAGTACTTTTATACCATAATTTTTTTAAATTGTTTAAACTATCGTGAGACATTACTTTAAGCGAAAATTAATTAAGTGCGTGCGAGGCGCGACGCGACCGCGAACAAAAGTTAAATAATACTCGCCCTGAAGAAGGATCCCCGAAGGATCCGAAACTAGTCGGTGCCGTCCCCGGAGGAAAAAAGCGTGAGTTGAGCCGTTTTTTATTAATTTTCGCATAATTTTTTTATTCTATTTATCTTACTCTCGTATACTGAAACTATATTTAAATACGAGTATGTAACAGCGTCTCAAATGTGATGGCTCTAAACTCATAATTCCATCAATATTTTACCTCTGTCAGATTGTAAACTGCGCTTACGTGTTCGAGATTTATTTCAATATTCAG